AATAATCTCGTTAAAAACTTTCTTTATCTACAGAAACATGCACTAAAAACCACATTCCCGGAGAAAAATACAGAAAAAAGCATGCAAAAAGATGATGGAGAGCGAAAAATCCTGGAAAAAAGCCAAAAAAAATCTCTGTTTCTCTGGCCTCTCCCCACATTTAAAGCCTCTCTATCATCTTCAGAAAAAAGAGTGCAAATTTTTTTTTTCGGCATGCAAAAACTCACGTCTATCGTCAATGGGTCGGGCTTATCCGAGGGGGTTGCCGACTGAAAAAAAAACAGCTAGCATGATCTAACATGAGCAATACTTTAGTCGCGATTTGAACTTCTTTTAAGTGTCTCAAAACAGATTTATCTGCATAAAAACCGAGATTTTGAATATTTTCCGCAGTTAGTTAAGCTTGAAATCCACAAAAAAACCATTTTTTTGATGAAAAAGTTAGTAGAGATCCTAATGACCTGAGAAAATCACAAAAATTCCTGATAATCGGAAAAACTGAACTGAAAATATAAACAGCCTTCTGGTCGCATTTGGAATGGCTCGATGTGTTGCGGTCATCAAAAGATTGAGCTCATTTTATCTTATACTATTGAGCGTAAGTCGTTCTGTGGTCGGGCGCGTTTCGCCAGAGCCAAGGCTAACAGGGCGACACCGGGACAGCCTCAGGACGACCCCGGGACGACCCCGGAACGACTCCGAAACAACTTCGGAACGGCCCCGAGACGACCTTGGGACGACCTCAGGACGATCTCGGGACGACCCTGGGACAACCTCGGGACGATCCCGACTCCGAGACAATTTCGGAACGGCCCCGAGACAACTTTGAAACGGTCCCAGGACGACACCAGGAAGACCCCAGGACGATCTAGGGACGTCTCCGGGACAACCCCAAGACGACCCTGGGACGACTCCGAGACAACTTCGGATCGGCCCCGGGACAACTTCGAAACGGCCCCGGACGACACCGGGACGACCTCAGGACGACTCCGGGACCGCCGTGGGACAACCCCGATACGACCTTGGGACAGCCCCGTGACGACCACGAGACGACCTCGGGACGTCTCCGGGACGACCCCGGGAGGACCCGGCACCCGCGGAGCGCCTTTTTTTCCTCATTATTTTAGTGGCTTATTTCTCACCCATATTTTAAATTTTACGAGTCGGGGCGACCCCGGGAGCAGGCTTGTGCGAGGGCCGGCCCGTCAACCTCTCATGACTTAACAAGTAAAAATAATTTTTCCGTGAAATTTTTTCAAAATTAAATTTAAGATTTCTTTCGACCTGGCCCGAGCCCACGCGGGCTTTTTCTGAAGTTTTAAGCCCAAAACCCGGGCCAGGCCGCCCGGCCTGACGCACATGCCTGCCCGGGAGGACCGTGGGACGACACCGAGACGACCCGGCCCGCGAAAAGTAATTTTTCCTCATTTTTTCACTGGCCTGTTTCTCACCCATATTCTACATTTTTCGAGTCGGGACGCCCCGGGTAGCCCCGTCAAGCCATTCCTCATGCGACCATTTTTGTCAAGCCTTTTTGTTGAGAAAGCTCAACCATTAATGAACTTCAACCACCTCAAAAATCCACTTTTTCTATTTTTCCCTCGAAATCACCTGAATAAACTCCAAGGTGACGTCGTCCCCGGCGTCGGTTCCCCATTTCTCAATTCGAGCCTTCAATTTGCTGCAATCTTCCCTGGGCGTCACACGAATGTCGCAATCTGTCAAACGGAAAAATTGTTCTTCCGTTTGCGAAAACCGGTTTTTTGTAACAATTTTTGACCCTTCGACTAGAGTCAAGGTGATATTAATTGATAGGAGTCTATGAAAAGATCTCTGATGTAATTTTTGGTTTTCGAGAGTCAGGTTATCAATTTTACTGAATTATCCCAATTTTTTGCGCTTTCTAAAGTCTTAGGCTATTTTTATTTTTCTCTATTTTATCATATCTTATGCGCTCTAACGAACAGTTAGGATTAGGAACGCAGAAAATTCAGTAGTGAACATTCAAATGAAAGCTTACAGGAGAAAAAGCCTTTTTTGAAACTGCGGCTATTTATTCAAACCCTTTACGCTCTATCGATAAAATTACATTTCTCAAGTTTTTTGAATTTTTTCGCCACTTCAAACTTTCTCTCATGACATATGATTTGAGGCTCTTTTTCAAATTTCTGCTGAGTCGTAATATTAATTTCTCTAATTTGAGAGCTTCGCGGCTTTTTTGAGGCCTCAAATGCGCTCTACGGATAAAAACTTATTTTTTGTAAATAGCGTACTCGGATTTCGGTAACGCAAACCGGACACGCTCCGGACGCTTCCAAGCATTTCAAGTGGCCACTTTAGTACCGTCAGGAGTCTTAAGTGATCCCTAGAATTGCTCAGAACCATTCAACTTTTGTCACCAAGGTCCGAACCTCTTTTTTTTTTCAAAAATTTCAATTTTTCAAACTTCTACTGAGCCCTAATAATTAAATGTCTGTTAAAAGACTTCACGGCTTTTTTCAGACCTCAGATTCGCTCCATTGATAATTTTTTCAAAGCTCGATTTTCAGACCCTGAAGCGCTCCAACTATATATCATCTTGGCCAGGAGCTCAAATTCGCTCCACTGATAAAAAACGAACATGCGATGAACTTGTCGGGGACGACGTTGACCTGGACGCCGCCGTTGACGATCGTCAAATTCAACGACGTGACGTCACCAACCGTCCAATCCGGATTATTTTTCAAAACTTCCATTTGCTCCGCTCGATAGCTCATGGCATTGTTCATGAACTTGTGCTAAATCCAAACTTTTCTTGAACTTCTTCATGATCTTTGTTCAGTACCAACTTCTCCATGGCGGTGTTCTCGATGAATTTGGATCCGTGGCCGGGGGAGCCACCAAAGGTAACTTTGAGCCCTGGAAAACGAGTTGGGAGTGGCGGAAGACGTCGGAAAACCAACACCAGGGGCTTCTCTCGGCGTAGAAGACCTTGTAGACGTCGTCTTCCGTGGCGATGCCCTCGTCGAGGGTGAAGCCGACGTTGAGCTTCTTGAAGTCGTCCGAGGAGCAGAACGTCTTCATGCCGTTCACGCCGCCGATCTCCTCGTCTTGAAAAAATTTTTACTAAAAATCTCAAGAAGGACAGAAGCTGTCTGAAGAGATACCAGACAAGCAGATGCTCTTTTTTTCTCTAGACTCTCTTCAGAAAGTTGTTTTTTTTTTTGATTCTTTGAATCCGTTTTCACATTTTTCATAGTGTTTTGAGCGAATCTTGAGATGGGGATAATTTTGCCTGAGCCTATAATTTTTTAAATTTTGATCTTTTCATCTAGGATAAGTACAAAAGAGACCAAAATTTCAATTTTTTTGAAATATTCTGGCTTAAAATTTACTCGTAAAACAGGTTTCGAGACAAAGAAAAAGGCAAAAAAAGTAGAATGCATTCAAAAAAAGAAGAAAAGAAATGCAGAAAATGAGTTTTTTGGAGAATATGATTTTTCAAAACCTTCAGTCCGTTTCCAGAGCCTTTTTGGAAATTTTGAAAGAATAATATTTCTTTTTTTTTAACCAACCGAGAAAATGAGCCATTTTCAGTGTTATTTCAAGTCCAGCCATTTTAAAGGCGCAAATATTCAGAATGAAGAGGTCTCAACAAGAAAATTTCAATACCGTATCTCAATATTATCCACAGTAATCCATAAGGATACTATAAGCAGATCAACTTGCAGCTCTCGAATCATTAGGCACGCCAAAAAAAAGGTTTCCAAAAATAATTTTAAAATCAAAAAAATTATATTTTTCATGTCTAAAACCATAGAAATAGCGTTGTAGCAAAAAGAGAATTTTATAAGCAAAAAATACCGTACCTTCATTTCTACAGTAATCCACAATGGTACAAAAAAAGCAGACCAATTTGCAGCTCTCAAATTATTTAGCAGACCAAAATTGCAGCTCCCAAATTTTTAGGCAGACCAAAATTTCAATTATTTCGAAAAAAAGGCTCACCAGGCCCCCAAACGATGTGAATCGTCCTCAACCACTGCTTTTTTCCATTATTAAAATGCCGACGGATCGCCTCGAAATACTGGGATCCGACGCATTTCATGTCCTAAAATCTTTTTTTATTCAATTTTGGTTTTTTTCAGTTCCACCTGAGACCCTCTTGCGTAAATATCACCTTTTTCGTCTTTATAAGCTGAGTAAGGATCATATTTCCAGTGCTCCTGAACATATAATTTTCAAAATTTGAGGGAAATTTGAAAAAGGTACCGGAAAAGTTGGGACGACGTCAGTATGGGAGTATAACATGACGGAGGGAAGTTCTGGCTTGCTGCCAGGTATCGTCATGATCACAAACGGGGCTTCTGCCACTACCTATAACTCGAAAATTAGAATAAAAATGCTATTTTTGACCCTACAAAGGCTGATTTTTTCTCAATGTTGAGCTCATCCGCAAGGTTGAACAGAAAAGACCTGCATGCTTCTGGAAAAAAAACCAAAATTTGATAATTTTATATCTGAAACTCACCATAATCCGGATTTGGTTGTTCGGTTTTGACGCGAAGGTATTCGCGGAACTTTGTCACGGCAATGTCTTCAGTAGCCATTCTTGAGAAAAACTCTGAAAACTCAGTTTGAAGGGTGAAATCGTTGAAAATCAACAGCGAAAGATGTGTTGGGCGTAATAAAAAGGGAAAAACTGGCGTATCAGTTGTGTAAAATGAGAGGAATGATATGGATGGCCAGCCAATTTCCGTTTATCAATGGGGCGCGAAAATGAAAAAAAAAAAGATTTGATACAACACGCGCTCAAGCTCCCACAATGAGCTGAGGCTCTCAAAAACAAAAAACAACAAGGAAAAGGCATGTGTCTAGTGCAGTCGGTTGGCGAACCAGAGATTGAGGTCGGCTCGTAAATCTCCTCAAGGTTGCGCGTTGGATAAAATGCGAGGTACGCAAAAGTGCGGCTGGAACACGCCTCACGACGAAAAAAATTTTTCTTCTTCCTTTTTTTCTATTTTCTTCTTCCTTTTTTTCTATTTTCTTCTTTTTAATTCTTTTTTTATTGTGTGTTAAATCAACATATGAGGGGTCTAGGACGATTTCCTAAGCGTAAGGACTCATTTAAATCTAAATTTTGGTCTAAACTGGAGCGAATTTTATTTTTTTACTCGAGCAAACTTTTTGACGTGGAAGTCCAACTAATATTGGTTTCCAGCAACTATTTTACATTTTAAAAGTTCTCTTTTGTTGCTCGGATATGCATTTTAGTTTGGATAGACAAAAAGAGCCGGAAAAAGAAGAAAACTGAGCGAAAAAGCTGGAACGACAGAGAAAAGGGTCGTTCTCGAATGACGTTATTTGGATTCTGCGCACTCATCGGGTTTTTCAAACGCTTAAGAAATGCAAGAGGGCAGCTTGAAAGTGGAAAAGGAGAACGGAGAGACATGACCGGTCATTCCCGGAAAGAAAAATAAAATAAAAAACCTTCCTCTTCCCTTCTTTTTTCTTTATTTTCCTTCACCCAATTGATTAATTGGCAGAAACTGAGCTGTGTAAAAAGAAATCGAAGATTAGTTTTCATGTATTCTTTTCAGAATGTTCTGACAGGCTTTTTCGAAATATTTTTCTATTCTATTCGAATAAAAATGTTTTTCATCAATGTTTGAACATAGTTCTACTTTCTCATTGAAATATCTTGGCTTTTCATTGAAATTTTCAGAATTTTCTTTAAATCTTGCTATTTCTGGCTCATAAAGCATTATTTCGAAACAATTTGTTTGATTTCAACGCTTATTTTCTCAAAAAAAAAATTTAAAAGTTACTTTTTGCGTGAAATTGAACGTGAAGTACGTGGCGCATCATTTTTTATTATCTAAAAAATAACATTTTTTTTCAATTTTCAGGTAAAATGGCGACGATTCGGCAACGCATTGACACTACACACAGAGATGCCATTGTGAGTTTTTTTGTTATATATATATATCTAATAGTTAATAATATGGATAGGATAAATATAAAAAGTTAAAGAAAAAAAAAATAAGTTTTTTTCGGGAAAATTCCCTGTTTTTTCATCGCTTTTATATATACCTTTTCATCATTTTTTTTCGGAAAATGATGTAATATTTTTTTAAAAGTATCTAAGAGTTTGAAAGAACTTTTTTTGGAATTTATTTCATTGAAAAAAATGGAAAAAGTGATACTTTTCGTACTGTTTTGAAGTCTTGAAAAGCATATCAAAAAGAAAAATGAAATGGTTTTTTTTTCAACAAGGTCCTCGAAAAATAAATATTTGAAACAGAGTATGAAGGCTTTATAAGCTTGGAAAGCGTTTCTAAATATTCTGAGGGACCAAGAATCGGGAAATAAATGTATTTACAGTTCATATAAATCAATTTACAGTAGAGAAAAAGGTCAAAAAGATCATTTTTTTTTAAGGAAAAACGGCTTTTAATAGACTTTCTAGCTTTTTTTCAAATGACCTTCTTGAAAATGAAAAAAATTGAAAAAAAGCCAGAATAAGTTCGTTTTTTTCGAAAAAAAGGCGCTTTATGGTCTTACGAGCTTTGCCAATCAGTTTTATTCCATATATAAAAAAATTTTTTTTTGCCACGGTAAAATTTCTTTGAATTTTAAAAAAATGTTTAAAAAAATGATAAAATTCGAAAGAAGCCTTTTCAAAGTCCATATAAGTTTCTAGACAGTTTAGATAAGGTGAAATTTTTTTTTACATGACAAAGATTGTCTTGGAGATGAAGCAAAAAAATGAAGTTTTTCTTTTTTTTTTTTTAATTCGGTATTACGATATCATGAGCTGATTTTAAAAGAAAGTCGTTTTTTTTTTCTGTAAAAAGGTTCCTTTTTATGCTTTTATGGACTTTTTCCATCGATTTCTAGAGGTAAATTGGTTCAAAGTCTGGGAAAAAAGTTTGAATTTCCGCCAAAAGCGCGTTTTGCAGTAATGTTGCTCTATAGACAAACCAAATATTTCATCCAATGAGAGGAATTTAAATATTTTCCCAGCACGACGCCCAACTGAATCTCTACGGGAGCCGCTTGGCGACTTGCGGATCGGACCGACTCGTCAAAATCTTCGAAGTCCGACCGAACGGCCAATCTTTCCCGATTGCCGAGTTAGCCGGCCATTCGGGTCCCGTGTGGAAAGTTTCCTGGGCTCATCCGAAGTTCGGTGGTCTCCTGGCCTCGGCTGCTTATGATAAGTATGGAAATATTAGTTGATTTCCAGATTTTAATGTTTTTTTGTTGAAGGAAAGTGATAATTTGGCAAGAGACGAGCGGCCGCTGGCACAAGTCCCATGAATGGGCAGCCCATGAGGTCGGTATTTTGATTTTTGAATGATTCTTATGTTTCAGAGAGCTTTTTTGACAATCAATCAAGTTTTAACAAAGTTTATGGGAAGTTTATGAGTGTATTACTGTTTCTAACATTGAAAAATCAACTGCTGGTTGGAAAATTGAAAAATTTTCAGTATTAAAAAGATAATTTCTTGAAAAAAGAATCTTTTTTTCGACTATAACTTCGTGTTCCTAACAGTAAAACTTTAAATTTTGTGTCTTCTGTATTTTTTTGGTTAGGTTTCAATTTATAATTAGTTACTGTTTTTTTAAAGAGCATCGGTTACGAAAAAAACTAAGTTTTGAGACAAATTTAAGGGAAGTTTTATGGGTTTTTTTACATCAAAAAAAGTCATCTGCAGTTTGAAAAAAATTGATAATTTTTAGTATTAATAATGAGTTTCTTGCTAATTTTTCCTCGTCCTCAACTAAATTTTGCTATTTTCCAAGAATTCGAGCAAAGGTCGAAAAAGGCTCTATAGAAATGTTCCTTTTTTGCTGTTTTTTTGCGCCATTTTATCGGCTGTTTAGCATCATTTTTGCTGCCTCTCCCTTTTCCACTTTTTCTTGAGCCTTTAAAATCACAGAAAAAATGAAAGGTTCGATAAAGAAATCCTTTTTGCTACCTTTCTGCGACCTTTTTTTGCCTCTCCCTTTTAATGGCCCTTATCCACCATTCCGACTTTGAAGCTCCCAAATCTTTAAGCAGACCAAAATTGCAGCTCCCAAGTTTTTGAGCAGACCAAAACTGCAGCTCCCGAGTTTTTGAGCAGACCAAAATTGCAGCTCCCAAATCTTTAAGCAGACCAAAATTGCAGCTCCCAAATTTTTAAGCAGACCAAAATTGCAGCTCCCAAATTTTTAAGCAGACCAACTTGCAGCTCCCAAATTTTTAAGCAGACCAAAATTGCAGCTCCCAAATTTTTAAGCAGACCAACTTGCAGCTCCCAAATTTTTAAGCAGACCAAAATTGCAGCTCCCAAATTTTTAAGTAGACCAAAATTGCAGCTCCTAATTTTATAAGCAGACCAAAATTGCAGCTCCCAAATTTTTAAGCAGACCAAAATTGCAGCTCCCAAATTTTCTAGCAGACCAAAATTCATCTTTCAAAAAGTTTAGAAGACTAAATTGTACCCCCCAGAAGCTAAGCAGACCAAAATCCAGCTACCGAAATATTTTGCGGATTTCTGCGTTACAAATTGGAACTTATTCTTTTTTTTCCATTTTTCAAAATAAAACCGTATTCTTCAGGCAAGCGCGACTTCCGTAGCCTTTGCCCCTTCCCAATACGGCCTTATCCTCGCTTCTTCGGCAGTTGATGGCGAAATAGGCCTTCTGGTTTACGACGCCGCCACGTCCCAGTGGACGTCTTCTAAGATTTCCAAGGCTCATGACCAGGTTTTCCCGGAATAATGAAGATTTTTGAAAGAAATGATGATTTAGGGCGTGAATTCGGTGAGTTGGGCGCCGGCTTTGGTCGCCGCCGGCGGGGAAGAAACTCCCAAAAGGCTGGCTTCTGCGGGAAACGACAAAAATGTCAAGATTTGGGTGTGAGTTTTTTAAAAATTATGATAGAAAATTTTTTGCTTTTAAATGGAAAATTAGGGTGTGATTTTTCAAATTTCATAGAACAATGTTTTTTTCTTGTTACTTTATGGTTTTCTTTGCTTTGGAAAAATAGGAAAAAAATAAATCAGGGCTAATTTGAGCTTATTATAATAATATTCTAGCGACAAAATGGAATAATTATTGATTTATTTTGTTTCAAATAGTACGATTATGTTGCCAAAAAAAGGGTTCTATCAAGCTTCTCTTATACAAATTCAGAAAAAAACCTTTTTTTCAGTTTTTTTACTTGTAGTTTAAGGGCGCCTGACTTGAAAAAAAGGTATTGAGAGAAATATTTTTTTCTGGATCAGAAATTTCAAGTCTTTGGGTTCAGCCAAATTTCATCAAAAAATCAAGGCCGAAAAAAATATTTCCATCTATTTTTGAAGAGAAGGCGGAGATTTCATTGCAAGCTTCTCCCGTTCAAATTCATCAAAAATTTTAGAACTTTCTTTCTATTTTTTGTATAGTAAGGCGCATAACCATACATCGGCTGGATCCCACCCCAGCCTTCTGCGCGAGAAAAAAAATGTTTTAGCCCTGGCTAGCTTGGGACACTAAACAATAGGGTCTCCTTCAGCCAGGCAATCTCTCTTTTTTTTTTTTCACCGCCTCGGGACCTAATTTTCGATGACTTATTTTAAACCATTTTTTCCTGTCTTAGAACTAGTAGCTCATAAGGTCTGCAGCAAAGTTTATTCAAGAGCATTCTTTTCAAAATTGGTTTTTGAAGAGAGGGCGAGAACGGCGAATGGCACTGCGAGAAGACCCTCCACGGCCACACGGACTTCGTGCGGGACGTCGCCTGGTGCCCTGTAGTCAATCATACCACGTATACGCTTGTCAGCTGTGGATTGGTGGGTTTCCGTAGTTGAAATTTTGAAAATAAACTTGTTTAGTTTCATAGAAAGGTTTTCGAATCAATAAAAAGCTTGTTGGCTGTTGGTGGATTTCTGTGGTTATATACCTGCTATAAATTTGAAAAATCTAGCTGGAAAAAAATACTTTTTTTCAAAAAAATTAGTTGTGGATGCTTTAAAAAGCCAAAAATTTAGCTTGAGAGGTTCTGAAAAAAATCTGAAAATGAAAGTTAAAACACAACAAATATAGCTTGTAATAACTTTAGAATTCGAAATTAAACAGTTCTTGATTTTTAGGAGAAGCTTTAGATTCATTTCTTGTAATCATTGTCTTGTTTTGAACTCAAAAATCAAGCTCGAAAGGTGCTGAAAGGCCCGTTGAAAGAGCTACATTGAGAAATTCGAGAAAATGAGACGAATCAGGTCGAAGAAGTCACTTAAGAACACTTACTAGCCCTTAAAACCCTTGAACTCTATGAAATTTGACGTTTTCAGGACGGAAATTTGGTCCTCTACCGCACCAAGAACATTACGTCAGGTGAATGGACCGTGAAATTGCTTGAAAAGGTTATTTTTCATTCAGTTCTAAAGATGAAATTTAAATTTTAAAATTTTTCAGTCAAATGGAGCCCTGTTCCACGTGTCCTGGTCACCGTGTGGCGGATTTTTTTGTCGGTTTCTGGCGATGATAATACGGTGAATATTTTGTTTTTCTTGTTAAAACTTGTAAAGAGTGTCTATATAGATATATGAGAAGGAGAAATTTACCTTGAACTTTCAAAAAAAAAAGAAGAAAAAAGACGAAAGTGTTCGAATTACAGTATTAGAATCGATAGAAAGTTCTATCTCTACTGAAAAATAGGAATGTCCATGTTTTTTTTTTAGAATATCTCAATTTTATCGTAATTTTTAAACATCATAACTTCTAAATTTTTGTCCACGGATTTTTTAATTTTTCAGCTTGAAACGTTTAATTCAAGACAGTAAGAAGCTTTTTTTTTGTTAAAAATCAAAATTTATACTGAAAGATCATCTGTTCTGGGTGTTTCATAGTGACATTCTTACTCTTTTAAAACTTTTGAAGTCTTGTTTTTTTTCTTCAAATTTTTGATATAACTTGAAAAATTTGAAGTTGACTGTGATTTTCTTGGCTTTTTGTTGAGGAAAAAGGCCTTGTTTTTTTGGAGAATTTTATGATTTTTTTACTACTCAGTTTCATCTGAAAAATTATTTTTACTTATTTAGAAGTAGTTTTTGTGGTGTTTATAAAAGCATGAAAAAATTTTAAAACAATATTTTTTTAATGAGCACCTTCTGTACCTTTAAAAGTCTTAGAAGTTCGATTTTTTTAAATCTTTTTTTCTTTTTATTCCTCAATAAATGAATCTCGTACTGGTCAGATATTTTTTTCTTTTTCTCTAAATTTTCGATATAAATTGAAATTCAAATTTCCTGACGGGTTTTTTTCGGCTTTTTTTGTTAGAGAAAAATACCTGGTTTTTTTGATGAATTTTAGGATTCTTGTTTTTTTAAATTTGATCTGAAACTCTCACTATCTGTTTAAAATATTTCTCTGGTTTTTATAAAAGTAGAGAAAGATTCAATGAAGGTCTTGAGTTCCCAGTTTCATTCCTTGACCCTTAGAAAACCCCTTGAACTTTTTTTTAAACAGAGTTTTTCCATTTTCTTGAATAAATCGATAATTTTATCTCTCAGATATTTTCTTTCAATCAATAATTCGATCTTTCCAGATTTCGATCTGGCGGGAAAAATTTCCAAGGTCAATGGACCAAGGTGGACCGGGACAACAAGGAAAAAGGACGGTTCTTTGCCCCCCAAATCAACGATAATTTTTTTAATAATTTTAACCTATTTTTCCTTCATTTCTCTTGTATCGAAATATTCTCCCAATCTCCATAATTCCAATTCTTCTAATTTTCCCCCGAAAATTGCTGTTTTTCGTCTCATTCTCATATTTATTCCTGTTTGCCGGTATTTTTATCGATTTGTTTTTTCGTTTGAAAAATGTGATTCTGAACTTTATTTTTGTGTATTCTCCTTGGAGAAAAATAAAAGGTGGACAAATTTTTGGTTTTTCAAGGGATTTGGGATTAGTTTTGGGGATTATACTGCATATTGATTTTGAGAGATAAGCTGAAGGCTAGAAATTTTTTTTTTTTACTCTGACTTCTGGAAATTTTTCATTTTTTTGAACATAGACAGACCCTTTACGGGCCCTTTGAGCGTCTTTCTATCTGTCTTTTTCCACCTTTTTGGACCCTTTTGAGAAACAAAATATTTTTTTAAATTGAGAAGTAGTGAATGTGTATGAACCAAAATGTGCTACAGTAATACAAAAATCATCAATGGCCGAGACTTTTGGCACCCTTTTTGCACCCTTTTTTCACCCTTTTGCACCCTTTTTGCACCCTTTTTGAGCCTTTTTTTCACTCTTTTTTAATTTTTTTTAAAGCTTTTTTCACCCATTTTTCCCCCCTTCTAAGGCTTTTCAGCCCACCAAGAAAGAAAGGCTCCATAAAGGTCGCAAAACGGAACCCATTTAGCGGCCATTTTGCACCCATTTTCCGCAATTCCGACTTTCGCAGTGTAAAAAAGAGCTCAAAATCCAACTGACTGGGAAAATTTCTAGTGGCCCCTATAGAGGCTCGCCAAGGGCTATTTGGAGAGGACAGTAAAGTGGCCACTTCAGTAGTTTTTCATCCAGCGTTTCTTCCAGTAACTCTGATAATTTCAAAAGAAACCGATTGGACCAGTTATGTTGATCCATTGGCCCCTAAAGGGGCCACTAAGTGGTCTATCAGAAGCACTTAGACCTCTAAAGTGGTCATTAATTTTTAATCCCTCAAGTGGCCACTAATTTGACTACTATAGTGGCCACTAAAACGTCAAAACCCTATAGTGGCCGCTAAAAATTTTCCCTGGATGTCTCAAAAATCAAGCCTATTTTCCTCATTTTACCATAAATTAACGACAACACACTCCCTTATCACATTGTTTTTCGAATCGAACCAAAAAAAAAGATCTTATCAATGGTTGAGAAATGTTTAAATTCACACTACGGCCCGAGTTTTCACCCCCTTTTTTTTGTCAATAGCTTTTTTTTCAATAGGTTTCGTCACACAACGTTTATTTTACCCGGGTTTTTTGTTGAGTCATTTTACAAACTTTTCATTTTGCCGCCTTTATAAATAGATAGCTGGACGGTTTCTCGGCGGGTTCTTCTTCTTTTTTGAGGATTTTAAGGTTTTTTTTTGGTTTTTTAAAGAAGGATAAGTCATAAATTCTAATTTTTCTTATTAAAAAAAGGGTGATAAATCAATCAATAATCCAATTTTTTTCTCGTTTTTTTAGAGCTATTAAAAAAACCCATTTTCTAAGACTTATGGAAAAAAATTTTTGCTTTAATGGAAATTTCAGATTGAATAGAATTTCGAAATATCCTAATTTTGTAGATTTTTTTCGAAAAAAAAATTCAGAAAACTGCGAAAAATTCTAGTGGCGACTTAAGAGGTCTTTCAAGGACTACTAGAAGGACACTAAAGTGGCCACTTTTTTCCGTCTTAGTGACCACTTTAGTGATTTTTTAGTGGTCTAGTAGTACCCCTTGGACTCCTAAAGGGCCACTGAATTTTAGTCTCTTAAGAGGCCATTATTTCGACTACTATAGTGGCCTCTGAAACATCAAAACCCTAAAGAGGCCACTTAGTCACTTAAGAGGCCACTTTTTAACTACTATAATGGCCACTAAAACGGTCAAAGTCCTAAAGAGGCCCCTAAACTTTTTCTAAAAGGCTTTATTTTCATTCGTTTTAAAATTCACGTCGTTTTTCTGAGTAAAAAGTACAAGAAATCCGAAAAATAGCTTTTCAAAATTATTTAAATCAAGGAAAAGCGAGAAAATATTACTTTGATACATGTTTACACCTGAAAAAAACTTATTTTCCTGAACTTTTGGTACAAAAAAAAAATCAGAAATCGCCACAAAATTCATGAAATTTTCATTCTCCCTCGGCTTTTTGTTGTTTTATCAATCTATCAAATCAAAATTGATCACTGATACGATGATTCATAGCTTTTCGAAATTTTCCCAACCGTATATAAAGGCCAAGGGAAACCAAGAATGTCAACATTCGTCACAAATTTTTTTATTTTCCAAATATTCCTTCCATTCGTTCCGTTTTCTCAACTTTCTTATATTTCTCTTGACTTTTTGTCTTTTTGATAATTTTTTCCTTTTTGGTGAAAAAATGCGATGAATTTAAGCCTTCATAAGCCCCTCAATGCTCCTCTCAATCTGATAGCGATTATTCTTTTTGAATCAGAAAAATTTTTTTCTGGAAAGATTCAATTTTTTTCAAACTTAGAATGAATAAATATTTTTTTGAAACGGTAAAAAAACTATCTTGATTAATTTTTTTGTAGACCATTTGGAGAATGAATAAATTTTAATTTCACTTTCAAAAAAATTTTAATCGGATTTTTTTCGGAACTTTATCAATATTCGAGCACCAAATTTCATGAATTATCACTTAAAGGCCCTCTTTTTTATAACACTTTCTGAGAATCTTGCTTTCAAAGCCATTCCAAGGCGGCACGGCTCCAAAATTTCTTTTTATCATTTTTGAACAAAGAAACGTACCAAAGCCATTCGAAGGCGTCTGCGGTCGCGTCGCGGCTCAAATTTTATTTTTCGAAACTTTTTCTGATAAAAAGGAACTGCGAATTAAACTCACCAAAGCCATTCCAAGGCGTCTGCGGTCGCGTCGCGGCTCAAATTTCATTTTTCCTAGGAAGCTTTGAAGAGATCCCTATAGGGCCCCATGAGACAACCCTAAAGGGACACCTCTGCTCGCCCTATAGGGACCCCTAGAACAACTAAATCCTAAAGAACACACTTTTTATCGTTTCGGTTGAACGCGGACCTGCGAATCAAACTCACCAAAGACATTCCAAGACGTCGCGTCGCGACTCTTTTCAACCGCGACGCGACGCGCCTGTGAATCTTATCAAGCTATTCCAAGGCGTGTACGGTCGCGTCGCGGCTCATTTTTTTTTATCGTTTTGATAAAACTAGGACCTGCGAGTCAAACTCACCATAACCATTCCAAGGCGTCGCGTCGCGGCTCTTTCAAACCGCGACGCGCCTGCGAATCTAAGGTTTCCTCAAGCCATTCCAAGGCGTTCACGGTCGCGTCGCGGCTCAATTTTCGCATTTTTCTTTTGGTCAATCTGGGATTTCTGAATCATAATTACATGAGCAATTCCAACCCTGCGAATCTTATTTCTCACCATATCATTTCAATCAATACTATAATGTTTTTCCATCAAAAGAAAATGAAGGAAAAACACAGAAAAGCAAAAAAAGACTGAAGAGAGCAAATATTGTCCGTTTTCTGCCGTTCCCTTCCCCAGGCCGTCGTGTTTTATTTGCATTTCCCTTCCGTGGCTTTTCTCCCTTTCATTTTTTAGTTTTTTCGCGATTTACACGTGTACTTTTTCAGTTCAAAAGTCGTATTTAGCATCAAAATTTTCCAGGTTCTCAGAAAAAAATGGCGTTGACCTGCTCGGACATCCCCAAGTTCATCTGCGCCCTCCTGTTGCCGGTCAGTTTTTTTCGGGACTGTGGAAAACTCCAGGGGCCACTTAAGAGGTTCCGCAAGGAATAATTGAGGACACTAAAGTGGTCCCTATAGTAGTTTTCAATGGTCTGGGAGTACCACATAGACTCCTAAAAGGCAGCCACTAGGTACTATACTACTAAAGTGGCCACTTGAACGTCAAACCCCTTGAGTGGCCACTAAAATCATCTCTATAGAAGCCACTAATTTGGGTCTTAGTGACCACTATAGTATTTTTTAGTGGTCTGGTAGTACCAATCAGACTTCTAAAAATATCACTTAAGTGACCACTTATTCGACTACTATAATGACCACTTGAAGGTCGAAGCCCTTAAGTGACCACTATGAACGCATTCCTTAGATCTGCAGGGTGGAATGGCTTTTATAGAGAATTTGAAAAAATGTCAAAAAAGCAGTGAAATTGAAAAATTTCTATTAAAATGAACACAGAAAACCGATTTTTTTTTTCAAATTTCGAAACGATTTTTTAAAGAATTTCAACCTGTTGTTAGTATATTTCAGTGCCAATCCCTTTATTTTCGAAGAAAAAAATAAAATTTGTTCGACTATAGTGAACTAATAGCTTTATGACTAGACCAGGACATAAGCAAACATTATTTTCAGACTTTCTAGTTCCTAGTAGGATCATATTTCTTAGGTAACTATAGATTTTGAGGCTCATTAGGGCCTTTTTTTGAGATCTGTGACGAAATTGTGCAATTCGATGCGACAAGTGTTCTTTTTTAATTCGTTTCAAAAAGTTGTGGTCGCGTTTGGAATGGCTCAAAGCGTTCCAGCCTTCATATTCAGTCTCAGATTTTTGATGAGGCCGCGCGAAAACAGTTTCAGGTCGGCCGCACCATGGAATCACATTTTGGTCGCGTTTGAAATGGCTTGAAGCGTTCCAGCCTTCCAAATTCAGTATCAGATGTTTGATAAGGCTTCGCGGAAACCGTTTCAAGTCGGCCGCGCCATGGAATCAATTTTTGGTCGCTTTTAGAATGGCTCGAAAAGCTCTAGCCCTCCAAATTCAGTGTCAGATAATTGATGAGGCCGGGCGAAAACCGTTTCTGATCTGTCACGCAATAGAATCATTTTTGGTCGCAAAACGCTCCGGCCTCCAAAACCAGTCTTAGATTTTTGATAAGGCTGCGCGAAAATCGGTTTTCGTCTGCCGCGCCTTGGAATCAATTTTTGGTCGCATTTGGAATGGCTCGAAAAGCTCCAGTCCTCTAAATTCACTCTGAGATTTTTGATAAGGCCAGGCGAATACCGGTTTTGGTCCGTCGCACGATGGAATCATTTTTGGTCGCATTCGGAATGGCTCAAGAAGCCTCAGCGTTCCAAAATCATTCACAGGCCGCAGCGCGACCGCGACGCTCTGAGCCATTCTAACTAGATTACATCCTTTTGAAGCGAATATCCTTTTGTTAAAAACTTCCATTTTTTCAGCCGATCGGCGTCTGGATGGAAAAAGGGTGCGGCGCTCAGTTGGTCATCAACATCCTGTTGACGCTTCTCGGCTACATTCCCGGCATCATCCACGCCTGTATCGTCATCCTTTGGTACTAGGAAGCCGACGACTTCGCATATTTGTATATAATATCGAATTTACTTTGGATATATGATATTAAATTTCACATTGTCAGATTTTCCTAATAACTTTGAATAAACTTTGTATGCATAAATTCTGTACTTGATTATGTTTTCAGGCAATATTCTCAAAACTATTTCATTTAGAAATAAATCTGAAGGGCTTTGAAATGCTCAGTGCTTTACAGTTTAGGACGGAATTTGTCAAACAAGTATAAAAAAATAGCTGAAAAAAAGTAATTTTGATGTTTGTTTCTAAGCGGCCACTACAGAGCAACTTTACGTATTTATTATAACAAAACCCATGTGGGGACTTTCCCGCCTTTTAATTTGAAAAATGCTTTGGATAACTGCTTTAAATCCAGGGTTTCTTCTCTGAAAAAATATTTAGTCAAACAAAAAACACACACCGGTAATAAAGAAAACACAAAATATCGCTATCCCCTCCGAAACCTGTGTAAAATCATCATTTTTCACCAGAGAAGCATTTTTGCGATCAAAGTTTGCAAACTATACATTATTAGAAAGTTTTCGTGACGAAAAGAACTTTGGTGACAACAGAAAAAATTAAAAATTGAAAGAAACGAAGAAAAAAGCGAAAATCCGGAAGATGGAGAAGCCTGTAGTCCATAGAGCAACCTTGCTGCAAAACGCCCTTTTCGCGGGAACTCAAGCTTTCTTTTCTCCGACTTTGAATTATTTTTTCTCCAAAACTAGGAAGTTCTGTACTTTTCCAAATTCACCGTTCGATTCGCAATGAAAAGCTCTACAAAGTACTGATTTGAACTGAAACACCGTTTTTTACTGCCCCTATGCCTTTAAATTTTCTGAAAGAGGCATTTTGATCAGCTTTATTCGTGATCAAGTGGTTATGTTTTCCAGTTTTCCTCATAAAAATTCATTAATTTTTGGCAAGATTATGTTTTTTGTTTATTGCATCTTCAATGTAAGAGTACATGTGCAATCGACTTTCATTGCGTTAACTGTGTTTAAACGGCGGCAGGAGCTGTGGCTTAGGCAGAGAAGTTGTGAATTTCGCTCGTAGAACATCAGGTACAAGAGAGGTCGTAGGAAGAAGTACGGTGCCGGCTTTCCAAAGGCCGTTGGCAGAGATTGATTATGTACAAGTAAAAAAATCAATAACATGTAATGACACAACAAGCGTGAATAATTCCAGGAATATACCCCAAAAGGGTCAAAATGATGTTGACGGCGAGTTCAGCGCCACATCCGGTCTCGAGCCAAACTCCGAGGGGCTGAAAATAATTTATTGAAAGATGATAACCGCATGGGGAATGGCTCGAAATTCTTCCAATGAAAAATAAACTCACCGGGAAAAGAACGGCGCAGATGAATTTGGGGATGTCCGAACAAGTCAAAGGCATATTCAAACAGGAAACTGAAAAAATTACAAATTTATTAGTTCACCCAACCAAAAAAGGACAACAAAAGCCTCGTGTGCGAGTGATAAGAAAGTGATAAGTGAACTCGGTTTGGCTCGATTTTACCTCTAATATTTATACAATCGATAAGGCAAATAGATATGTGTGAGATTGGTTTTATGGGTGATTCATAGGTCAAGAGGGTGACGTGGGGTCGAACCGATGACTGTCCGAATGATAGTGAAGATAGTTAGCCAGTCGGCCATGAGGAAGTTAAATTTTTATTTTAATATCTGAAGGAAGCGTTTCAAATTTTCCTCTGGGATCTTATTGCAACACTTCAACTCTTGAAGTTTGAGCCGCGCTGAGGAGTTTTAGAGTTATCCCTAGAGGGCTAGGAATTGGGGGGATTACCAGCCCTTATAGGGGCCGAATAAGGGATCCCTATAGGGGTAGAATCAAGGTGGACCCCATAGAAGTTGTTTTATTCGAAAAACGCTCGTTTATCAGTTTTTCTCATGGAAATCTTCGCTTAGAATTCTTAAGAATTATCGACCAGCATGTCCCCTATAGGGACCACTAACTAAAATCCCTATAGGGACCACTTTTGCAAACGCTAGGGGTCCCTGTAGGGGCTGGTGACTCTCCAAGGGTCCCTAAGGTTGCCCCTATAGGGACCACTATGAAGTTCCTAAGCAGCGCCTTAACTCATACTCAGGAACGCCAGAGGGGTCCCTATAGAGTTTAGGAGAAAAACAGCCCTTATAGGGGACGAAAAAGTGATCCCTGTAGGGGTTAAAGGTCTGTCCACTTAGCCCTTAAAGTTCATGTGGTCCCTCTAGGGGTATAGGGGACAAAAAAGGGGCCCCTATAGGGGCGAAGTTTAGACGGACTCCCAAGCCCCTTATCTGGATAAATATGACCAGATATTTTCAAAAAAAAAAAAGGGATTTTTCTATACTTTTTTGCCGCGGCGTGAAATAAACTGTGCTCATTTTGTTTGCTCTTTCGCTTATCTGCCCAAACCACACCGTTTCCTATAAAAACCGCCATTCTTTTTGTCTTCCTATTTTCACGCTTTACTCTTACCTTTCTCTATCAGTTTATTTTTAATTAAAGATGCCGATCACCTGCTCGGATATCCCGAAATTTATTTGCGCCTTGCTCTTGCCGGTTGGTTTATAGCTTTTTTCAGGATTTTTTAAGTTTCAATAAGCTTCTTTTATTCATAAAAGAGTAAATCGTGATTTTCAGCCGATTGGAGTTTGGATGGAGCGAGGTTGCGGCGCCGCACTGGCCGTCAACATCATTTTGACCATTTTGGGCTATATTCCGGGAATTATTCACGCTTGTTGTATAATTGCTTGTTATTAATGGTATTAAAAGATTATTCCGCCAAATTTAATATATATATTTTTAATAATTAACTTTTTCAGCTCTGAATAAATTACATGAAAAAAACCCTTCTTAACTCGAAAAAAAGCCGAATTTTATTGATTTAAAAACAAATTGCTGATAAGTCTCCAACTGGAAAAAAATACAGAAAAATACAGAAAACGCGGAAAAATGCGGCAAACGGATAGTAAAATTTATAAATTCGAACCAATTTCTTTAAAAATAAAATCATGTCAAAATCATATCGAAACAGACACCAAAGGCAAATCACCTGCAAAAAAAGTTTTTTTAAAAAAATAAATGCTGAAAAAAATTCAGCCAAAGTGACAAGAAAATAACCATTTTTCTTTTAATCCAGCCATTTACGTGAAATTGATCATTTTCATTTTACCAATGACATCAAGCTAATTATGACGTCATTAGTTCAGAAATGAGTAAACAGAAAATTCCTATAAAAGCTGAAGTTGAGAAATGCAACTCAGTTTTGCTGAAATTTAAAGTTTTCATTCCGGGATCATGACGCTCACAATCTCCGACATCCCGAAAATCATCTGCGCCATCTTCTTGCCGGTTAATTTTCAACATTTTCCAAAGAAATATTCCAATTTCAGCCCGTCGGCGTGTTTCTGGAGTTGGGATGCGGTCCAGAATTGGTGATCAACATCGTTTTGACCTTACTCGGCTACATACCCGGAATAATTCATGCGTTATGCATAATCATCGCCTACTGAACTGTACTTTCTAATTTTATATAGTTTTACTGTACTCAAATAAATGTATATACTCATGAACATGAACAACTTTGCAATAAAAAACGCAGAAAAACAATTTCACGCAAAACTTTCCATTTTTCGGTTACGGTACTCGCATCCGCAGGAATGCGTCGGAGTGCGATCTCTAATTTCGAACGTTTTTTGTTTTCTTTTTCCTTGACATCATTTTCGGATCGTTTCTGTTTTAAAAAGAAGTTTTTCGACGGCAAAATGACTCTTACGTGCTCGGATGTACCGAAGATGCTCTGCGCTCTCCTGTTGCCGGTTTGTTGACTCTTTATTTTCGAAAGTTTTTCTTGAAAAAAATTTAATTTGTTAATAATGAAGCAATCTTGAGTGATTCTAGCCTTTTTTTCATGTTTTTTTATAAAATTATCCATTCTTGGACGACCAAAAAAACTTAGTATTTCAGGTAAAACCCTAAAAAAATCTTATCTAAAAAAAGATAAACAATCCATTTTTTTAATGAGGTAATCCTTCCCGAAGAAAAACTTATTTATGCACGTTTTTCTGATTCGTCCTCCCATAGAAATGATATGTTCAAAGTATCAGAAATTGTTTTTCACGTCTTTTCTTGTTTTTCTGCTTCTATTTCAGCAGAAATAAAAGTTATGCTGATTGATCTGTGAGAATATGCTCTTTGTAATGTTAGATGACGTCTTTTTTATCATCAGAGAAGAACTCTGGTCTTTAAGAGAAGTGATGAATCTTTGTAGAAAAATTTATGAGGAGGAAATTTTGAAATAATGATAGAAGTTGAATTTTTAGCCGATTGGAGTTCTGATGGAGCGAGGCTGTGGAGCTGATTTGGCGATCAATATCCTTCTGACGCTTCTGGGCTACATTCCCGGCATCATTCACGCTTGCTTCATCATTTTCGCCTACTGATCCTGTAAATATATCTAAAGTTTCAACGCATTAATTTCGAAATTTACAAAGTTTTATCATTTTCCCCCTGATATTGTAACCAATTATTACCACCACACTTCACTCGGTGCGAGTTTGTCAAGTTGTTTTTGTGGTGTTAGCCAAGTTTCCTTGTTGTATTTTGCCCTGCCGCCCGATAAATATTTATGGTTGGTGTTTGGTGCTCCTGAACGCTTTGGAGAAATTGGCGTTGTTGACTCGCCCTTATAAAAACTGCGCCTCCCTGGTTGGTTGACGTTGTTTTATTTATCGTTGACCTACTGTTTCCTTGGAAGATTTCCTGAACGAATATTTAAAGACGCCGTCGAGGCAATTCTCACCAAATATTCGAGCTCTGAATATTTATTTTGAAGCTTTCTCTCCTTTTAATTCGTGCTTCTGAATTCTTTAACTTTTTGAAGGATTTTTCTACTTTATCTGTTTTCCAACAGCTCCTAGCTTCAACTATTAGTCTTTGTGTGAGGAATCACATTTTTGCACTTTATTTTTATTCAAATCATGAACAAGTTGAAGCATTTCTCAAAAATTTATATGGAAATTTTAATTCTAAACGTTCCTAAGCAAGGCTAAGTCTCTACAATTGTTAAAAAAAGATCATTTCTTTTGAACCTTAACAAAAATTTTCAATATATTTCACAGATTATTTGAAAAATTTCCTTATTTTGCACAGTTTGCAAGGCTTGAAAGAATTGAAACAAATTATAATAAGTTCAATAATTTTTTTCTCAAAAAGCAATTATCTTATTGAATTCATCATTTTTCAGGTTTTGATACAATTTTCGTGACTTTTTTTTAAAATTCTCTTGGAAGAAAAGCGAATTGAAGCAGACTTGTCCGAATTGAAGCAGACTTGTTTTTTTTTTGACTTTTTTTTTCAAATTCCTTTTCCGAATTTTTTTGTTGTATATTTTATGTTAGTAGAGCATCAAATAATCGTTTATAACTTTCTGACTCGAAAAAATATATATCGATAAATTTTTGAAACCTGTTTTGGTTTTGATAGAGAAAATTTTTCTGTGAATTTTATCTCAATGCTTCATCGTAAATATTTACTATTTAAATAGTGAAAATTTCAAGGCTTTTTGAAATATTGTTCATAAGAAAATTAATGATGCCTTGTTCATAAGAAAATTAATGATGCCTTGTTCATAAGAAAATTAATGATGCCTTGCAACAAAATTATTGATGTCGTGTTCGAAGAAGTTTCCGCAAAAGCAAAATTATCTCTGACTCCGAAAATTAGTCTTGTCTTCCACTATCTGACGGCTTTTTTGCGAAATCACTTTTATCAAAGCCAAATTTTAACATAAGAAACCGGTCTCTTTTAATAGAATAAAGTTTTTGGTGAACACTTGATTTTTGAAAGAAAATGAAGCCACAAAGGCTCTTTTATTTTTGAAAACCAGCTTCAAGGTTCAAGGGAACAAGACGAAGCTGTTGTTTCCGATCGGAAACCTTGCATGATTATTGATCAGCCTCAAAAAAACGTATTGGTTGTTTCGAAAAGACAAACAAAACAATGGGAAAGGCCCGGGGAGACTCGTGTGTCTCCCCGCGCCGGAACCGACCAAAGACCACTTTGATGACGAATTTGTTGTTGTTGTTGTGTTGCTACACCCCACTTTTTCTCTATTTAACGGCCATTTTTCAGTTCTTCCCCCCTCTCTTTTCTCGCTTTTTACTTGACCTTTTTGAATCCGACTTCTCATGTTTTTCATTGCGTTTTTCAATGATTTTTCTTGACATGTGTGGTTTTCAGACTTTCATACACATTTTAAAATGGCTTTGACCTGCTCCGACATCCCAAAACTTCTTCTCGCCATCCTCTTGCCGGTAATTCTTTTAGATTTTTGATAAAATAGTAAAATTTTCTTAAGAAGTTTTATAGGAGTCGAATATAGCCTTTGTCATTATTATGCTAGTGGATTAAGAAAAAAATTTGAAAAACTGTTATTTCGCGATTTATGCAGTTCTTTTTAAAAATCTGAATAATGATTTGTTCCGAGTTTTTTTCAAAGAATTTGAATATTCTAAATCAATATTTTAAATATCAAGTTTATCTTTATAAGTATCCGATCAGATTCTCAGCTCTAATCTCCGCATATTTTCAAAAAGGATGATTTTGGGAAGATTTTAACAGAAGGAGAAGCCTGGAAAATCCTCTCTTAGGGTTAAAAAATCGGAAAAAATCCTAGAAATCCTCTGAGTGACTTTTTTTGAAGGGACGTTTGTATTAGAAAAAAATTCAGAAGATCTTGTTAATAATTTTCATAACTGTTCAAATTTATTTTTTTATTAACACTTGAAATTTTTAATATTTGCATATTCTTCTAGAAGATGATGATGGAATTTCAGAAAAAGTAAGATAAGTTTTTTTAGAGCCTTTTCAAAGATTAGAAGCCAAAAATAAGATGCGAGGAATTTTTCTGAGTGACTTTGAAAGGGACTAGTTTTATTTTTTTGGCCACGATTTTTTTCGAGAAATTCTAAAGGAAGATCTTGATTATCATCATTTTCTAAAAGATAAATATTCATAACTATTATTTTTGAAATTAAATTTCTCTCTCTTTCAGCCCGTCGGAGTCTGGTTGGAGCGCGGTTGCAACGCCGACCTGGTCATCAACATCCTGCTGACCCTCCTCGGCTACATTCCCGGCATCATCCACGCCATCTGCATCATCTTCGCCTACTAAAACATGCCGCAAATCACTTAAATCCTATGCATTTCCTCAATATTTCATAATATGTATACTTTCAATGTTGCCCAAACTGCACCTCGATCGACAAATTGATGAGATTTCCATTTGTGAATATTTTGTACATACGGTTCGATTCTTATGCACTACACTTATAAACATTTTTTACCAACCTCGTGCTGGTTTCGAAAAAAAAAACAGGAAACAGATTTGACGCGAAATTTGAATAATCATGGAGGTGTTTGTTGGGTAGAAATCGTGTACTTTTTACGCCCTTTCGAAGGTTTTCGTTCGTTTTAAAACTATGATTTTCTCTTTTTTCTTCTGTTGAAGCATCGTTTACAAGTTTTGGAAGCTCAAAAAGTATTGAAAGAAATGGAATTCCGAAAATATGTTTATTAGAAGTTTTCTTTTTGTTTTTTTAAAGTCTAGAATTTAATTTATGAAACCAATTCCTCAGGGTCAAAACGGCTAAAATGGTGAACTGAAAAGGTATTACAAAAATTAAAATCAACAGAAAAAATTTGATATCAGATGTGGTTCAAATCGAGAAAAACCAGGTTTTTGAAATTCATTTGTTGGAAGAGACCCCCATCTGAAAATCTGCTTTAACACGGAAGTCGGTGAAGAACGTTCTCCAAAATGGCTTCAACATGCGAAAATCTCTTGAATCAGTAAACCGAAATTTCAAAAAAGTCAAAACTATTGCCGTGTTCAAAGTAATTTCTGCGAAATGCAAAATGGTCTCTGACCCTCCAAAATTTAGTGATCTTTTCCTTTCTCTGACGGCTATTTTGAATTTCGCGGAATCACTTTGAACACGGCATGATAAACTTTAATTTCTACGCTTATAGTCTGTTCAGATTTTTAATGTCAAGTGCAATGACGTCATTGAAAAACACTCTGTGGATGGCTCGCTCTCTGATTGGTTTATCGCACCATTAGGGGCGGAGCTTGAGCGACGACTTGACATTCAAAATCTGAACAGACTATAACAGGTCCGGCCACTGAATAAAACCCTATAGGGGCCACTTTTACAAGCTTTTAGTGGGCCCTAGAGGAAATCCTCCGAGGGCCCTATGGTTTTTTTTTTAATTTTCGAGGAAAAAGTTCACTAATAAATATATAAGATTTTTTTTATCAATTTACGAGATCCTTTTTGAAACTTTTTCGCTAAATAAAAAATTTTTTTTAAAAAAATGTATTTCTACCGAAGTGAATCACCAGTTTTTGTGAAAAAGACCAGGAAAATCAAGGGTTCTTAAGAATTCTCCTGTTTCTCAAACAAAGGTCTAACCTTCTTTGAAAAATATTTGTGATTCAGATATATAGACATTCAGACGAAATGATACGCTATCAAATTTCAACCCTCTGTAAAAAAAAACCAGTTCTTTTAGTGTGTCAGTTTGCTGTTTTTGTTCGTTTCCAATCGTTTTGCGACTTTGCCGTTATCGACTTTTCTGGCTTTGTCATATTCATTTTTTTGCTCGTTTTATAGATATTTTTTACAGGTGTGAAAAATGCGACGACTTCTATTGATATTTTTATTAATTTGCTATGCCACGACTAACCAAATCGTTGACGAACATGGCCAGGAGGTTCTCAAGGATTTTCAGGTGATTTTCGAGTTTTAGGTTTTTTTTTTGGTCATGAGTTCTTGAAACAGGGATAGTGGGAAAACGTAGGTTTATATATTATTAACGAATAATCGATGTGTATTAAAACGACTTAGAAAAACCTCTGGCTAATAAAAAGTCCAAAAAGGCGATCTTCTCTTTGATCAACGTTGATTTTGAGTCCGCTGATCTTTGATAAATCAAAAACTGACGCTGATCTTCTACAAAATGATGTTTTGCTTCATCTCGGTCTTGAATCCAGCAACGTCACGAATCCAAGTCCGACTAGCCAATGTCGCAGGAGGGATATTCTGGTTCGGAAATGACGTTTCCATTGAAGAAAAAATTTGGGAGATTCGTCATGGATATTTTCTTTTCAAAAACTTAATTTTATCACAAATAATACATGAATAACTTTATTATTCTTTCTATATCGTAAATTTTATAATTTCTCAAATATCGCTTTTACTCACATGTGATTGGGGAATCTTTTGAAACAACCGAAATAATTTTTTTGAACTCCGCGCGGCTTTTTAATATTTTTTAAAGCGTTGGAGCCACTTGAACAAAACCCTTTTTTTTCCAATATCTAAATCCAAAAGTTCAATTGCTAGGCCATAAATCCCGTTGCGATTTTGCCACGCACCCATATCACTTACCTTATGGATTCCGAACGCCTTGTCGGGAAAGAGAAAAGAAAAGGGGAAAAAAAGCGAGAGTGATGGCCTCATCTATTGACGAAATCATCGTGGAAACGGGTACGATGGACAATCCCCCCCAGGGCGCCACGTCAATCTCCGCCCTCAAGACGTTAGTCCATTCATTCAAATCTGAAACCTTCCCTGGATTTGGACTTTTGCCGGTAAAACTACACATATTCCCATCATCTGGTCTGGTCGGTTCTTCACATGAATGGATAGCCCTGTGGCTGATGATGTTTGCTTTTTTCGCCTTTTTTCGTGATCAGTGAATTCATTGACAGTTGTACGACATGAATTTCGGTGGTATTAAAAAAACACCATCGATCGTATTGCTAGGGAAGACTTTTTTCTTTCATGTTTTTCGGTTTATAAAACATCCATAAACATTTTTTTTTTCCTATTTCTTTGTGTTTTAATCATAAACCAACTACCTAATTTATATAGGAAAATTTAACACGAAGATTTTATCGAGAAAAAAAGTCGGAAAAAGATTCGTCGGAAAGTTCCCTAGCGATATGGAAAAAACGGAAAAGTCGCCGTTTGAATTTTCGCTGGTGTTTTTTTCATACCACCTGAATTTCGAAATGCAAATCGGAATATTTCCGAGCGGCGTTTTTTTTTAAAATTTCATTACTTTATTTTCAAACGGGAGCATTTTTTTGACTGTGAGCTTTTTCATAAAAAAATTTGCAGGCAGAGCAACTTGCAGCTCCCAAAAAAACTAAGCAGACCAAAGTTTTACCTTCGAAAAGCTAAACAGACCAAAATTCAGCTATTGAAAAATTTTGCGCATTGCCGTCTTTGAAATTATTTTTGCGTTTCAAAAGAGTTCGCGAAATACGAAAAAATGGAATTTCGGGAGCCATTAAAAAATTGGGTCCTACAACGATATGGCGGCTTTTGCGCGCGAGTTCAAGTTTTGGTTGAAAAATGCCCGATAGTTTCAAATATTGAAGTTTTGCGCGTAAAAGCTGAATCGCTTTTTTTTTTTCAATTTACACGAAAAATAAAGTTTTGAAGTTGCCGAATTTATTTTGAAGGTGATGTAGTACCACGACTTGGAATTTCACCAAACGACATTTTTTTTCCCTTATATTAAGGTACTCTACTTTCATTTGCCCCCACAGCAATAACAATCAATTTAAAGCGTGACCTAGATTCGAAAAACGCTTCACGAACGCACGCAGCGGAACAGCGGAATGTCGTTCGGTGAAATTTCAAGTCGTGCCACACAGACCATATCAAAAAATTAGCTTTCTTCAATTGTCTTTGATTTTCAATTTTAACAAAATTTTCAGCTCTTCACTTGGAAATGGGAAGAAGTCAACCAAGTGTATCTCATCACCGTCTGGTTGCTCATCGCCTCTCTTGCTAAAATTTGTAAATTTTCGAAAAAACTTTTATTCAATTTTTATTAACTTTCAGTATTCAAACTACTTAAGCCGATCTCACAATGGCTTCCCGAATCCTCGCTTCTCATTATTGTAGGCCTCATTTTGGGCTTTTTGCTCCATCAAACGCGGTTTAGTGGGTAAGGTTCTACACTAGAAAAATCTCAAGATCAACTAATTTTTTTGTAGAGTCACCCTGGATTCGAAGACTTTCTTCTTGTATCTTCTACCGCCTATAATTTTTGATGCAGGTCTTATTTAAGCCCTGATTTTTCAAATAAACGGAAAAAATTGAGGTTATTTCATGCCAAATCGAGCTTTATTTGAAAATTTCGACTCTGTGATGTTGTTCGCCGTTCTGGGAACGCTATGGAACACTTTTTCCATCGGTTTTTGAATATATTTTCAATCGGAGATTCAATTTTTTTTTAGGAATTTCACTTCTCCTCATGTGTCAATATGGTTTATTTTCCATGTCTTTCACCACTTTTGAAATATTCGTCTTTGCAGCTCTCATTTCCGCAGTTGATCCGGTATCTATCATTCTTAAATAAAATGAGGATATTTGAGTTTAGGTTGCTGTGATCGCAGTTTTCGAAGAAATTCAAGTCAATGAGTTTTTGTTCATTAATGTGTTCGGTGAAGCTCTTTTCAACGATGGGGTCACTGTGGTAAATTATTTTTTCGACCTTTTTTTGAACCTGAATCGCGTATGAAATGCGTTCACTCCCATTGTGTCTGCTGAACGCGCGGCTGACCTCGTCAGCATCGGTGGTTCAGTGGTAGAATGCTCGCCTGCCACGCGGGCGGCCCGGGTTCGATTCCCGGCCGATGCAATTCCCTTTTGCTATTTTTTAGGAATCTCATTTTCAGGTGCTCTATCAAATGTTCAAAAGCTTTGCCCTAGTCGGTTCGGAACACCTTTCGATATCCGATTATCTCACTGGTGGACTGTCTTTCTTCGTTGTTGCTCTTGGAGGAGCTGCGATTGGATTGATTTTCGCTTTGATCACTAGTTTGGCTACCAAGTGAGTTTAACTCAGCTTCAAAAATATCAAAGCGAAAATTTACAGGTATACAAATGAAGTGAAGATTCTGGCGCCAGTTTTTATTTTTATTCTGCCTTATATGGGATATTTGACCGCTGAAATGGTGTCACTTTCTTCGATAATTGCGTGAGTTGAGAAAAAAAACATTGAAGAATCAAAACGAGTTTAGAATCGCAGTATGTGGAATGGTTATGAAGCAATACGTCAAAGGGAATATCAGCCAGGCCGCGGCGAACTCTGTCAAATATTTCATTAAAATGCTCGCTCAATCGACTGAAACCGTCATTTTCATGTAATTTTGTTGGTATTCATCATGAAAAAATGCTCAAGAAAAGAAAAAGTGACAAAAACAATATTTTGAGCTTCTGTAATTCGGAATGGTGTATGCACACGACGCAAAAAGACATACCAATTTTCCGAAAAAATTTGATAGCCCAAAACTCTTTTTGAAGGTTCCTTGGTTTGTCAACTATCGCATCGCCTCATCACTTCGATTTCACATTCATTATTGCAACTGTCCTTTTTTGCCTACTCTACCGAGCCGTCGGTATATATCCCATGCGATTTTAAATCGAATTTCTTTTAGGAATTGTCATTCAATGTTACTTTTTGAAGACCTTCCGTGGCCGGAAATTTTCAAAGGTTAAACTTTTCGATTTTCTCTTCTGAAGTTCTGAAATTAGGTCGACCAGTTCATCATGTCCTATGGCGGGCTCCGTGGCGCAATCGCCTACGGTTTGGTCGTTTCCATGCCGGCTTCGATCAATGCCAAGCCGATGTTCGTGACAACAACTATCATTGTTATTTACTTCACAGTGTTCTTACAAGTTTTTTTTTAGGTTGAAATTGATATAAGTTTAGAAATATTGCAGGGGATCACGATTAGGCCATTGGTCACTTATCTCAATGTTAAGAGAAAAGAAGATCGGCAAGCGACAATGGCTGAGAGTGTCTATGTCAAGGTTGATTTCCGAAATTTCGTGATTTTCAGAGTTTTTTTCTTTGAAACAAGTTTGAGTTCCCCGAGTTTTGCGGAAGAAAAGAATGATAATAATGAAAAAAAAATGCAAGAAAAATCATAGGAATTTGCAAAACAAAGTTTGCGCCATCGTGCGCATTGGCGCAAATCGATGGTTATTTGCGTCTTTTTTGTGCATGTTTTTCTATTCATTTTTTTGTGTTTTTTTCTTGATAACTTCGATTTTTCAGTATTTGGACTACATGATGTCGGGCGTTGAGGATATTGCTGGACAGAAAGGACATTACACATTTATTGAGAAGTAATTTATTTGAATTTTTCGCTTCACTGATTTTTTTTCAGCTTCGAAAGATTCAACGCAAAGGTGATCAAGCCGGTGTTGATGAGAAACGAGAAAAAGCAATCTTTTGACGCTACGACCATTGTCCGAGCCTATGAGAAGATCACCCTGGAAGATGCCATGAATCTTGCCAATCTTCGGCATTCCATCGAGAATAAACGTCTCGAAAAGATTAAAAGGTTTGGAAAAGTTTCTGTTGGTTTTTTAACGATTTTTTTTTGGCTAATATAATTTTAAAAAAGGGTCCTTGTAAAGGATTTATGTCATGTCTTATTATTAAATTTTCAATTCACCCTCTAGATTTTTTTTGTTTTTTGTTTTTTTTTAATTTTCTCCTCAAATAATCGGGACAGTCTGCTTCTATGTTTTACTTGCTATATGAAAACTTGTGGATTAAAAAAATTCTTGGGATTTCAAATATTTTTTTGTGGCTTAGTAAGACTTCTTTGCCATAGACCAGATCTCTTTGAATAATTTTTTTTCATTCCATAAATTCCAGTGATGCCAGAATCGCTAATGTTTCCTCGAACCAAATCGCACCAGAATTGACGGTTACCCCGAAAGATATTCAATTGAGACGCGTAAGTTTTTAAAATTACTACTTCCCCCAAAAAAATGTTTTTTCAAGTTTATGGATTCTGGCGAGAACATCGACACGCTGTACTCGTTGTTCAGCGACTTGTTGGACAGGAAACTGAGCGAAATGACGAGCAAAAAAGTGGAAACGTCGGCTGTAGATGGAGAGGACGACATCAAGGACGATTATATGAAGGAGATTGAGGTGGAATAAAATGTCAAGTGATCACTTAAAGAAAATTCTCTCACGTCTTTAGTGGTCACTTCGGAGGCGCTACGGGTTCTCTAGGGATCACTTGAGTAGTGTTAGCTCTTCTTTAGGATTCACTTGAGAGGTCCATTCCACGAGTATCCATGATTATTGAAATTTTTTAAAAATGCGTTGTTTTGGTTACTGTAAGATAGGGCTACCGTAACCTGGATTACTGTATGTTCTTTTTAATTTCAATATTTTGACTTGGACAGTAATTTTTGACTCGATTGAAATCAGGCTCACAACGTCATGTTTTTCACAATTATAGTTTAGATTTACCGTACTCTGGGATACTGTAGGTTGGTGTAGATTGAACTTTCTGCGAATAAAGCCTCTGATTTTGTTGTTTCCGAATGATGGGGTTACTGTAGTTTTTTTAAAAGGGTTTTTGTTACAGTGTCTCCCACAAGTTTCAAACTTTGAGAAAGAGACTACTGAAAGAAGTTATGCTGAAGGGTTAACTTAAGGGCTCTCGACCCAACCTCCAAGCTCTCCACAAGTCTTCCGATAATCTCCCGTCCGATGTCCGATTCCGACAAGGCCGTCGTCAAAGCACCGGCGACCTGGAAACGGCCAAAAAAGCCGCCGATTTCAATGTTTAGATCCTAATTCTGTTATTGCTTAGCACCCACTAACATGTAAATATTCGCAATCTGTGATAAATGTTGATAGCTTTTTTTGTACTTTTTTATTGTTGGTTGAAATGTCCAATTTCCATTTTTGTTAATTAAATTAAATCAGATCTACCGTACTCCAGGTACGGTGCGTTCGATCGGCATTTTGTGGCTGGAAAATTCTCAACAGGAATGTAAAGACTTTTCAGCGACAGTATCGCAGAGGCTACTGTAGAGAGGAGGTTGGTATTTTCGCTACAGTAGTCAAAGAGAAAAAATCTGCGAGTTTTTAGGAAAACTGACCTTCGAAACTGTAGAAAACGACTATGGGACTGTAGGATCAACCCAGTTTAGTTACAGTAACCTACAGTAATCCTACTTTCAAAAAAGGCCAAAAAACCGTTGACAGAACATCTTACGGGTACAGCCAGTAATAAAAGTGTAACCACTAAGAAGTCCCGCGAACGGTCGGTGGCTCTAGGAGTACTGTATAATTAACTACAGTAGAATTGACTACGGTAGGATCGACTACGGTAGGATCGACTACAGTAGGACTTTTGGGATTTTACCTTACTGTATTTTAGAATCTGTCCTTCTTGAAAAGGAAGCGAACAATTTTGAGAATAACCGAGAAAATCTATAATTTGTAGTTTGTTTAGGACTACTGTATTTTGGTTACTGTAGCCTTTTTATAAAGGTTTTTTTGCTGGTTTACTGTAGCCCTAACTTCCAAATAAGGCGACCCATCGTTGACAGAACATCTTACGGGTACAGCTAAAAGTAAAAGTGTAACCATTAAGAAGTCCTGCGAACGGCGGTGGCTCTAGGAGTACTGTAGAATTAACTACAGTAGAATTGACTACAGTAGAATTGATTACTGGAGGATCGACTACGGTAGGATCGACTACAGTAGGACTTTTGGGATTTTACCTTACTGTATTTTAGAATCTGTGCTTCTTGAAAAGGAAGCGAACAATTTTGAGAATAACCGAGAAAATCTATAATTTGCAGTTTTTTAGGACTACTGTATTTTAGTTACTGTATAAAGACATTTTAGCCGGTTTACTGTAGCCTTGACTTCCAAATAAGGCGACCTATCGTTGACAGAACATCTTACGGGTACAGCTAAAAGTAACCATTAAGAAGTCCTGCGAACGGTCAGTGGCTCTGGGAGTACTGTAGGGTGGACTACCGTAAAATCGACTACAGTAGGATTTTTAGGACTTTTCCTTCTGTTTTTGACCTTTTTTATATTAGTTAAAAGAAATCTGTTCTGGTAGTTTCAAGTTTTCTTCAGGAGTACCGTATTTAGATTACTGTAATCTTCGAGATCTGAACAAAAAAAACTGTAGCCTACTTTAGTTTCTCTATATTGACTCGCGAGTTTAGATAGCTACTAAGATTTCCTAAAAGCGATAGTTTCACGGGTACTGTAGCTTTCTTACTGTAGACCCAAATAACTCCTCGGTGAAATTTCCTTTACTGCTTCAAAGAAAAGCAACGAACCTTATAGAGTCATGATGTTCTGTAGATTACTGTAGCCTTGAAGACCTGAAAAACGCTTCGGTACTGTAGTTTACTGTAGCTTACCTGTCTTTGCTCACAAATTAGGCGACCCACCGTTGACAGAACATCTCACGGGTACAGCCAAAAATAATAAAGTGTAACCATAAAGAAGTTCTGCGAACGGATGGATCAGCCACCTCTGAATACACAGTGTTATAAGAATGAGACCTTTTTAGGGTCCAATGACTAGAAATACAGAAAAAGACGGGAAATAAATGGAAGAGGACAAGAAATACAGGACAAGACAAAAAATACAGAACAAGACGAGAGAATGCATGGGAAAACCTGAGATTTTTCCGGTATTTATACCAGTCTGGGTGCCGAAAAAAGGCGTGGCTTATTTACTACGTGCCAATGGCTTTTTGCCAATCGAACGATTAGGCAAAGGAACGCCGTGCTTGTGGCAACTTTTTCGTAACTTTCCACGCTATTTGGGGCTGATATCGGATCTTTAACGACTAGATTATCTGTTGATCGGCACATTTTTTGTCAAGGTGTCGATGGATGTGTGATTTTTCGTGGGAATTACCCTTTTTTCTGTTTTTTGGGGTTTTTTAATTGATTTTATTAGCTTGAAACCGTTAAAGATGAGAAAAATGACCATTATTCCCCTTTATTTTGTCATTTTGGTGGAATTTTAAGTTGAATAGTTTATTGTTTTACTTTGGAAAGTATTTTTTGAGGTTTTATCACTTGAAGTTATTAGCTTTATCCGTGAAAATCTTGGCTCATAACCGTTAAATGTAAGAAAAATGGGCTTTTTTGTCATTTTGATGTGATTTTTTCAATTCGGAGCTGAGTAAAAAGCAATTTTTATGATCTTCTACGCTTTAAATGAATTTTTTTAAAGTAAGGCGTAAAGATTTTTGCTGATTATTCAGAACTTTAAGATTTGGGTATTTCTTTTTTTATGTGGGAAAGTGTGTTCTGAGGGGCTTTCAATTCATTTTTTTCTAGCTTTATCCGTGAAAAATCTTGGCTCATAATTGTTAAAAATTAAGAAAAAAATGGGCTTTTTGTCATTTTGATGTGATTTTTTTTCAATTCAGAGCTGAGTAAAAAAAGCAATTTTTTTATGATCTTCTACGCTTTAAAATGAATTTTGAAAAAAAGAAAAAAATGTTTGTTGATTATTTTGAAAAATTTCAAGATTGATTACAAGAAAAATTTCCTACTTTTTATTGAAAAAAATATTTTTTTCGAGATTTTTTTCACTAAAAATTTATTTTTTTATTTCCAAAAATTTATTTTTTTGTATGAAATTTCTAGCATTACCCGTGAAAAATCTTGGCTCATAACCGTTAAAATTGATAGAAAAATGGCTCTATTTTTATCCTTTTCAAAAAGTTCCATGACTGATTTTCAAAAAAAGGAGTTTTTATGATCCTCCTACAGATACGTTTCGAATGAACTTTAAAAGGAAGAAGAGAATTTTTTAATCGTTTTGTTGTCATTTCCAATTTTCGAAAGCTTTCAATAAGTTTCACTGCTTTTTCAGCCTTCAGAATGGAAAAAAGTGGTTTTTTATAACGGTTTTAGAGTTTCAAAGAGATTCCTTATGTTTTTTTAAACAGTATATAGGTTTTTTGAGCAATCAGGTGAATTTTGAGATATATTGTACTGTCAAAATTATGAAAATGGCTTAAGATTTGGACTTAAAACGCTTAAAACTGGAAAAATTATTTTTACCTGAAGCTCCTAACAGGGAAAATGTGTTGATTAGCCCAAAAAGGGACTGAAACTTGAATTTCTACGGATTTTATCCATTTTCTTCTACAATCGTCCTTTAATAGTGTTATTTTTGAGGTGGAAAAACTTATTCTGGTCCATTTTTTTTTCTTTGCTTCTTTTCTACGTTCAGAAATAGTCATTGTGATCAAACTCTAATTATTTTTCAATCAGAGGTTTTGATTTTTTTAAATGTTATGAATGGAAAATTTGAGTTAAAAGCGCGAATTTTCGTTAGTTTGAATTTTTCCTGCAGTGGTTCTAGGATAATAATTGACTAATATATCACTAAAAAAAGAGCTCTTCGTCTTGAGACCTTTATGAAAAACGACTATGCTCCTTTAAATTCCTGAAAAATTAATTTCGAAAATTTTTTCGCAAAGACTATTGTTCATAATTAACATTCCGAACAATAACCTCTGTTGGAAATAGAAAAATCCAATTTTTCGGCACCTAGTGACCCCCTCGAGATCGCCAGACGTTCGGCGTTGTTACAACATAAAAAGATGTATATACGAAGGAGAGAGATGAGAGAGGCCAGAGAAAGATAGGACGAATAGGAGAGACACGATTCCTCTAACCGTCTGGCCAATCGAGTCCAAAAAAAATTGTCAATATTTGACCTCGGGATTTTGGCACCTTTTGACAGTTCCTGGAGCGATTTTTGCGCATTTTGCTCATTTTTTGGTAATTTTCACCGTTGTAGACGCTTCTATGGGTTGTATATATATTTTTTAATCTTGTGAAGATTTGATTTTTTTCTCTTATTTAAGTTTAGAAAAAGGTGAATTTTTACATAATCGGCGAAAAAAATAATTTTTTTCAGAATCTTTAGTATTATTTTTTTATAAAAATATTCCATTTTACTTGAAATTTTTTTATTTTTTTATTAAATTGGGTCTTTTTTTCTCAAAAATTAGTCTGAAAAAAGAGCGATTTTTCTGAATTTTTTTCAAAAACTCAAACGGCTGATTTTTCACTATTTCCTTTCAAATTTCGATAAAAAAAGTTGTTTTCCGTTCTTTTTTCAAAAATGACCTTCTATCAACCTTGAAGAAAGTGTCCGCATTTTCGAGAAAAGATGCAAAATCTGATAAGAATTGAATCTATTGCACAACCGACCGGTTTCGGTTTTAAAGCGAGGAGAGCGGGATTTTTTTGAAATTTTTTTCCCGTTCTTTGAACTTTTTAAAATTGAAAATGAGATGAAATTCAAACTTCATATGATATTTTTTTGTTAGTTTGAAGTTGAAAAATGATCTTCAAATTGAAAAATTTTTTTGAAAAAAAGGTTTTCTTAGTGTTTTTTTCAATGATAAAAAAAGTCTGTAAAGGCTTTCCATGATTTTTGATAATTTTTTTATATTTTTTTATCATCTTCGATCAAATTAATGAATCAAGAAAAATAGAAGAAAGATTAAACTCGAACTAAAGAAAAAAAGTGAAAAATTTCTGAAATTTGTTCGCCTTATGTATGTTTTCTGATTGAAATCATGACCAAATAGATGATTTTTTTCTTAGAAATGAATTTTACAATTTTTCTCCTGGTTAAAAAGCCTCCAAAAAGCGTGAATCTATCTGAAAATGGAGAAAATCGTTTAATTTTTCCGGGCATTCTGGAAAGTTCGGGCGGTTCGGTCACTTTTTCAAAATGGCCATTTTTAGAAAATTCGTTTTCCAGTTCTAAATTGTTCAAGTGTCCAGAATGCGTAGAATTTCCGATTCTGGTTCAGTTTTAGGGTTGGAAAAATCAAATTTCGGCTCAAAATAGGAGATTTTGTGTTTCTTTCAATAAATTCGACCTGAAATCAAAGTTTGTCAAGTGCGCAGTAGTGTTCATGAAGACTTGAGAGCATTTTTTGGCGAAAAAAGAGAATTTTTATATAATATAATGGCCAGATTTTTCGAAAAACTGTCGTATAATGAAGAAATATGTGCTTTCAAACCGTTAACACCTTTAAAAGGCCCAAAAAAACTCGTCAAACTTTGAAAATTGAAGATATAGGCGGCATAAAAACCCGTTTTCATTGTTGAGCGTGTACATTGGACCCATCACTGCTCGAAAAAGCCAACCAATCATCCTTGAAACAGTAAAAAGTTGTAAGGAATGTACCCATCGAGCCCGGGAGGACAGAAACTATTACACTGGGCGCGTGTTTGAACCTTCAAGGAGCCGATCAAAACGAGGCGATTTTCTGGGGTTTTTTAAAGTGTGGCGTGAGACCTTCTCTTTGTTTCATCATTTTTTGGTTTCCTGATAGCGATTAGGATCAGAAAATTGAGCTTTTCTAGGTATTTTGGTCGTTTTTTAAAGCTTCTAGGGGTCTGAATCATATTTTACGACGTTTTTAAGCGTGAGAGATTTTTTTGAATGTTCTTTTCTTCCGTGGGAACTCACGTAACTTCACTTTTCCATATGATTTTTTTCTAATTCATATTTTTCAAACATTTGCGAAGCCCTCGTTGAGATTTTGTTTATTGGGAAAATTTTTAGTGGCCACTATAGGGTTTTGACGTTTTAGTGGCCCCTATAGTAGTGAAATTAGTGGTCACTTAAGGGGTTAAAAGTTAGTGGCCACTCTAGAGGTCTAAGTGCTACTACTAGACCAATAAAAATTTTAGTGGCCACTTTAGGGGTCAATGGATCAACACAACTGGTCCAATCTGTTTGTTTTAAAATTATCAGAGTTATCGGAAGAAATGTTGGATGAAAAACTACTGAAGTGGACACTAATTTTTAACCCCTTAAGTAGCCACTGATTTGACTAATATAGGGGCCACTAAAAATTTTCCCAGTAATCCGATGTATCCTCCTTGCTTCCTGTTCATACTTTTCTTGGATCTTTCAGCCCAATATGAGCAAAGATGTGTCACTATCTTGGCTGGATTATGCGATTTTCGCGGCGAGTATCGGACTGTCCCTGGGCACCGGGATTTATCATGCAATCAAGTTGGTTTTTGGGAGTTTTCTGGGAAATTATGTCTTTTTTTTCACATCTTAAGAGCAATAAATGAGTTCCGGACGATTTTTGGTCATCTATAGTCTGTTCAGAGTTTGAATGTCAAGTCGTCGCTCAAGCTCCACCCCTATTGGTGCGATAAACCAATCAGAGAGCGAGCCATCCACAGAGTGTTTTTGAATGACGTCATTGCACTTGACATTAAAAATCTGAACAGACTATACTGATGAAATTTGCAATTTTTTTAAATTATCATGTCGAAAAGTTCAAGTGAGAGGCTATTTGGAGTTGAAATCAAGTTACTCAAAATTGTAAGAAAACCTTTTTTTAATTCAAAGATAAAAAAATGACGCAAAAAGGAAAAATTTTTTTGACTAGCTGCTCAATTTTTCAGAATGAGAAACGGCTAAAAAAAGTTCTAAAAAAAGGCCAAAAACTCGATTTTTTTCAAAAAAATTTATGCGCTTTGGTAATAAATTGTCAAAATGACCCTGTTTTTTTGGAATTTTTAATCTTGAGCACAAAAATTCAAATAATTAAGCTCATAAAGTCTGCATTTTACAGATTCTCCAAAAAACGAACAACTTGGCTCCCCACGAGTTAAATGCACTTTGGTACTAAATTTATTAAAAATAGCCCTTTTTAGGGTCATCAGATATAAAAAAATGAAAAAAAGGAGCTCGATGAGGCTGCGAAATTTTCAGAAATAGACAAAAAATTTTTTCTCCAAGTTTATGCTTCATTTTTTTCAAATAAAAGAAACAGTTTTTGGAAAATCAAAAATAAAGTAAAAAAACACATCGAAAAAAATTTTTCAATAAAACCGAGAGCTCGATTCTCCTCCTTTTTCATGCCCTTTTTTTGAAAAATTCAAGACGTTGAGCTCAAAAATTCAGAAGCCGAATAGTACTCCGACGAGGTGACAGAACCGCCAAGGAGGAATATTTGATGGGCGGACGGCAGCTTCCGCCGCTCCCAGTGGCCCTTTCCTTGCTGACGACCTTCCTTTCGGGGATTCTGATGCTTGGAGTTCCGGCTGAGATGTTTCAGAGAGGTGCGATGGGAAGACGATTTTATAGAGTTGAAAACAAAATGTTGAAACTTGTAAAAATCTGAAAAAGTCATATTTTTTCGAAATTCAGGTATAACAGGTTAACCTGTTGATTAATTGGGAAAGGTGTAAAATTCAGAAATTAGCTCAGGTATAACTTTCAACCTGTTTATTAGGTATAGTCCGTTTTTCGCGTCTTTTAAAAGATTTCTCTGCGCCCTCCTCGTCTCTCGGCAACCCTCTCATTTTACCGTGCTATTTTCATGTTTCTCTGACCTTGCTGGTGAGACAACAGAGAGACGCAGACACCGGAAAATATTCAAGTTGCAAAGAATGGACTATAAATCAGCTAGTCAGAGCAAACTTGAATTTTGAAGAAAAACTTGACTCTATTGATTTTTCGGCTCATTTTTCTGCCTGTCCAGTATTCTCCTGTTCCAATTTTCAAGAACCTCATTAAATGACTATTTTTCTTCTTCTAATTAGCCGGTGTCACGAAATGACAACTGTTGGTAATTGGAACCCATCAGAGACTTTATTGCCTTCCAAGAACCTTTTGCATGAGCTTGAAGAGTTTTTTATTTGTCTCAGCAGAAGTTTTGTAACACTTTTTTGAGGCTTTGAAAATGGCAAAAAGATTTTTGACCTGGATAGGATCCGAACTTGAGAGTTGCTAATCACACAATCTGTTTGATAAACTGACTTCTCGTTGGATGAAATCTTATCTGAACTGGTTAGAATTGAACCCCAGGCTTTTTGATATTTTTGAGGACGGAAAAATGGCAAAAAAATTCCTTGACCTGGTGAGGATTCGAACTTAGGTCCTTGTCACGTTCGCAAACTGGTTGAAGAGCTTTTTTCTCGAATTAGGTTAGAATTTTTCTTCATCTTGAGTTTTTCTTCATCTTTTCTTCATCTGTGAGGATCCCAACTTGGCTCCTCACCACATTTATAAGTTTGTTTGAAGAGTTCTTTCGGCTGTAAAATTGCGGAACTTCCGAGAAAAAAATGGCAAAAAATGATTAGACCCGGAGGGGGTCCGAACTTGGTTACTTATAAAATTTATACATTAGTTGAACAGTTTTTTCGGCTCAAAATAGGCAAAAATAGGCGAACTTTCGAGAAAAAAATGGCAAAAAATTATGCGACCCGAATAGGATCCGAACTTGGATCCTCACAAAATTTATAAACTAGTTTAGGAGTTTTTTTAGCTTAAAAAAGGCGAAACTTTTGAGAAAAAAATGGCAAAAAACTTATTTGACCTAAAGAGGATCCGAACTTGACCCCTCTCCACGTTTATAAACTAAATTAAAAGTTTTTTTTGCTCGAAAATGAAATTTTTCTGAGACAAAAAAATGGCAAAAAAATTATTCGACCTGGAGAGGATCCGAACTTGGATCCTTACAAAATTTATAAACTGGTTGAGGAGTTTTTTTTACGATCAAAAACTTTCCGAGACAAAAAAAATGGCAAAATTTGTTAGACCCGAAGAGGATCCGAACTTTTTGCAGGCGTTCAGATCTGGCTGAACTTCGTCATCGGCGTCGCCTCATCCATCATCACTTGCTTCGTTTTTTTGCCAGTTTTCCACAAAATGAAAAGCACCTGCCTCCATGAGTATTTTATACACAGGTTCTAGAAAAACCTGGAAAATTAATTAATTAATTAACTAGGTACAACTCTCTGTTGATCCGAAGGATGTTCTCAGCTTTGTTCCTTCTTTTCACGATAACTTACATGGCCGTCGTGGTTTATGCGCCCTCCGTCGCCCTATCGCCCGTCCTTCAAATCGACAAGTTTTGGCTCATTTTGGTTGGGAAACCGCGCTCCATTGGACTCATTTTGAGGAAATTTAGATATTCGGATGTACCACTACGTTGTACACTTGCATTGGCGGGATTAAGGCCGTCGTTTGGACCGATTCGCTTCAAGCCGTCCTGATGTATTCTGGAGTCTTGTTGCTTATTATTAAAGGTGGTTATTGACGTCATTTTGACGGATAGTGACGTCATTGATGGTCTTTTTGACGTCATTAAAGGTTGTTATTGGCGTCATTTTGAAAAATAGTGACGTCACTGATGATATTTATGACGTCATCTGATTTACTCTAAAGAGATTTTCCCCAATTTCGTACGGATAGCGGCTTTTTTCGGAGAAATGACGTCATAAGGAAGTAAGATGTCATTGATATCCATGACGTCATGATCCGTAGCTTTCGAAGTCAGAAAGTAGAAGATTTTCTTTAATAATGACGTCATTTTGAGAATAGTGACGTCATTGGTGGTCTTTATGACGTCATAGTTGTCAAGGGATAAAGTTTTTCAATCTATGAGGTCGGAAAATATATTCGATTTACTCTGTAGTATTTTTCAAAGTTCCGTGGCGGAATTTTCCTATATGACGTCATTAAAATATGATGCCATTCTTGATGATAATGACGTCATGATTTTATTTAAATCAAGGAAGTAGAAGATTTTCTCTAATAATGACGCCATTTTGAAGGATGGTGACGTCATTTCGAATGATACTGACGTCATTGATCGTCTTTATGACGTCATAGATGTAAAGAAAAAAAATATTTCTTTAAAGAACAAGAAGACTTCATCCTCGATTTTATGACGTCATGACCAATGGTTTCAATTAAAACAAGGAAGTATACGATTTTTCTCCAATAATGACGTCATTTTGAAGGAAATTGACGTCATTGGTGGTCTTTATGACGTCATATTTGTCAAGAAATGAAATATAATTTTCTGAATCTTTAAGATCGGAAGGTATTTGATACTCTATAGTATGTTTTGAAAGGCGGTTTTTTCTCTATATGACGTCATAGTCATTCTTGAGGGGGGGAGTATACTATCTTTCCTCAATAATGACGTCATTTTGAACATTTTCCTTTCTGATGACGTCATTTCCAGGCCTATCCCATCCGAGAGTTGGCGGATTTGGCCGCGTTTGGGAAATTGCCAGTGAAAGTGGACGGTTATCAGAGTTTGTCCGGCTCGATTGGAGAATCGACCAGGTTCTTCGTTCTTTATTTTTCGAAATGTCTTCACAGACTTTTATATCGCCCTCCTTATAACATACTTTCTATTCTGTAATTTGTATATTTGTGTTTGAAATAAATAAATAAATCATAAAGATGTCCATTTTTCAGTACAACAGCTTGTGGATCAACATGTTCTCCGGAACGATAGTCTGGCTAGCTTCATTTGGCGTCAATCAACTGGCGATCCAAAGATACGCCAGTTTGCCGTCGTTGAAGCAGGCTCAGGTGAAAATAAAGGGTTTTGAAAGGGTTCAAATATCTTTAGTGTCAAATAAAAAGATCTAGCTCCAAATTCGACAAGAACTGGTTTACTCCCCAGAGAGAAATTCGGTAGTATCGAGCAAAAAATAATCCCGAAGAGCTCCCAAATCTTTATTTTACCGCAGATCTCCCGAGTTTCTCCCTAGGAAGAAAACTGCCTGGGAAACAAAATTTTGGTAAAATCAAGTTCAAATTCTTCCATGTTCAAATATTAGGTCGTTTACTAAGTTTCTTTCTTTTTTCGGTTGAAAGTTATTTGGTGTATAACTTTTCAATTTTGGATTCAAACAGCAAACAATTTCTCCCCCGTCATTCTCAGCTATCTGTTAACATGACTGTTAATTTTGGAGTTCCTGACTTCAAAACGAGCAATGATATACTCAAAAAAGGGCAACTAACTCGATTTCAACCCCTCTTAGAAAAACACTTTTTTTTGTTTCTTCTAAAAAAATTTATGATTCAATGTTTTGTAGTTGATGAAAACGAGGGAGGATGGAAGTACAGATAGAGTAGGCAAGCTGACTTTTTAAACAAAAAACCAGCCTAAAAATCTTTTTTCTTTAAAAGTTTCGGTCAGTGATCAATGACAATGACATGGTCGCTCAACATTCAGACGCTTTTCTCATCAACGGCTTTGAGGATGATTTTGATTTTTTGTGGTTATTTAGTACAGACATGGTCTGTATCAGTCACGTTTTCTTCAGAAGGTCTAAACGTTCGACGCCGTCAGAGAGCCTCCAGAAGTTAATCAAGCTGTCATTTCAGTTGATTACCGTTTCTCAAAATTTTAGACCGGAAAAACTCAGTTGAACCACTTCTGCTTTGACACATGGCTGCAGTGACCTTTGTTGTACTTGTTTTTTTATTAACTTGAGAAATAGCAAAAGAAAAGAAAATTTGAGAGTGGATAGAAACCACTGCCATGGTGCTATAAAATTTTTTTGATGAAAAAAGGCTGTAAAATTAAATCCTCGTGTTTCACGGTAGCTGCCGGTTGCTAATGTTATGCCAATGATTTATTTCAAAACCTCAAACCTGATAGATAATTACAAATGTACTTCGGGGAAAATCAAACGAAAACAGGACGCGCATTGTTTCAACAATTTTGGCCAATCATAAATTTGTATGGTCTGGCTTTTGAATAAATAACTCATTTCTCAAATTTTTTGGAAGCTAACGAAAACTTTCACGAGCAACCACACGACCTCAGTTTACGTTTTATGTAACTTGTTCAAATGATAAGATAGAAAAAAAGTAAGATAAAAAAATAAATTCGCAAAAACTTTCCGAAAAATCGAGATTTTTCGAGTTCGGACAAAAGCTCTGTATTTTTTTTTCTGCATAGTGTTATAGGAATACAGTTAGTTTTAATTTGAACTTCAGATTGTGAAGTAGTAAATACTATATGAAGCAAAAATTGTGAGATGTGCTTTTTCTGGTTGAAAAACTTTTTTAAAAAAAAGTCCTTCAAAAAAAGAAAGAAACTTAGTAAACAACCTAATAATAAACAGGGTGATTTGTTTTTCGAACTTGGAATGTGCTTTGAAGTACATTTTAAACTGTAAAAATCTAACCAGGGGATGTTCCGAGCTCACATTCTGAATAAGATTAGGTTTAAAAGATGTAATTTTTTACGCTGATTTGAAATCTTTTTTCAAAAAATGCTTTGCGTAGGCAAAGTCGTAAAGGGTTGAAAAAGGCACCATAGAAATTTTCTTTTTTGCTGCCTTTTTGCGCCATTTCATCGGCCCTTACGCATCATTTTTGCTGCCTCTCTCTTTTTTACCATTTCTTGAACCTTTAAAACCTCAAAAAAAAAAATGGCTCATTAGAGGGACCCTTTTTGCTGCCTTTCTGCGACCTTTTTTTGAGCCTCTCCTTTTTAGCCGCCATTATCCACCATTCCGACTTTGGCCGAGTAGTAATTTTTGGTGTTGAGCGTAAATATTTCAGAAATAGTAAATTTGCAGCCACAACTAGACTTTTCCCAATAAAAGCCAATTTCAGAGCATAATTCTGTTCACCCTGGCGCCATTCACAGTTCTATGCTCCATTGTCGCTTTTGTCGGCTTCATTGCCCTTGCCTATTTCTATAATTGCAATCCGATCGAATCCGGCGAGATCAAGGAGGTCGACCACATCACCATACTCTTCGCTCGGGATATCCTGCGTAAGTTTTGAAAAAAAGGGAATGGGCACTGAATTTCGACATTTCCAGAACCAACCCCAGGTCTTTTTGGCCTCTATGTTTCCTGTATCATGTCGGCAACACTTTCCACCCTCTCCAGTGGAATGAATAGCATGGCGGCGGCGATTTATGAAGATTTCTTGAAAAATTCTCTCGATGGGAAGATCACCGACACGGCAGCGACTAGGTTGAATAAGGTTGAAAATAAAAAAAGGATTTTTGGGAATAAAAAATTCCAGTTGATCGTCCTGGCTTGTGGAGTTATTTCGACGGCGTTGGCGTTTGCCGCGGAGCCGCTGGGTGGAATTTTGAGGGTTTGAAGCTTTTTTTCAGGAAATTTAACAGAAAAATTGAGAAATGGGATAGATTAAAATGTGTTTCAACACATATTCAATGTGCAAATTGAAAATCCATTTTACATATGTACTTTTTCAGATTTTCTGATCATTTTACAGATAATTTAGGACAAAAGCTCATCAAATTTCAAGTTGAAGTTGAAAAATTCAGCTTGAAGATGTAATTTGAAACGTTTAAAGTCGCTTTCCAGTTGAAAATTTGAAAATCAAGCCTTTTTGAGCCCGAAAATTAAGGAATCTCGTTAAATCAGGCTTGTAAATGTCATGAGAAACGTTTGGAGAAGTTTTCCAAAGACCTTTTAGCTCCTTTCCTAAAGTTAAAATTGAAAAATCCACTTGTAAAGGAATTTTTTCAGACTTCCTGACTGAATTTGAAGTTCAAAAGATCAAAAAATGCATCTTTTAGATGTAAATTTGGGCAAAAGCTATGTTAAAGTTGAAAAATTCAGCTTTTCGCTGTTTTTTGAAACGTTTGAGCTCCTCTTCCGGTTGAAAATTTGAAAATTTGAAAATCAGGCCTTTTCGTGACTCAAAATTGAGGAATCTTGTCAAATCAGGCTTGTAAATGCCATGAAAACCGTTTCGAGCAATTTTCTGAAGACCTTTTAGCTTCTTTTTTGAGATAAAGTTGAAAAATCCACCTGTTGAGGAACTTTTTCAGTTGTTCTGATTTCATTTGAAGTTCAAAAACCAAAAAAATGCACCTTTTAGATGTAAATTTGGGCAAAAGCTATGTTAAAGTTGAAATATTCAGCTTTTTTCTGTTTTTGAAACGTTTGAGCTCCTCTTCCGGTTGAAAATTTGAAAATTTGAAAATCAGGCCTTTTTAAGCCTAAAAATTGAAAAATCTCGTCAAATCAGGCTTCTAAATGCCATGAGAAACGTTCCGAGAAGTTTTTTAAAGACCTTTCAGCTCTTAAAATTGAAAAATGCACCTTCCAGGTGTGCATCTCGGTGATGGGCGCCATGTCCGGACCGATGGTGGCCATTTTCGTGATGGCTCTTTTCATGCCGAGGACGGGGACCGCCGCCACACTTTACTCGTTCATCATTTCCAACGCGATTACGTTGGTCCTCTGCATCGCCAATTATGTTCAGGACCCTTATAAAGAGCTCTTCTTGCCGACTAATACGAGGTACAGTGTGAGGGGGGAGAGTTGTGGGGTACTTTTAAAAAAAGCCAGCATCAGGCTCGATCAAAACATATTTTGATCCTTTCTCAAAATTTCCACGAAGAAAATTCTTATTACTAGGTAAAAAAATAGTATCCAATGGATTTTGAGTGAAAAAGAGCCAAACATGTGATTTTTGTCGTTGAAAAGGCGGATATTAAACGGATTTGCGTTCTTTGGGCCATGCCTGGTTTTTTATGATTGAAGCCTTCCCAAGGCTGGGTAGGGCCTGGAAAACCACCCGGAAGTAGCCCATAAATTGGACGAAAAAAAGCTGTTTTCACCTATTTTAAGTCATGATTTCGCCCTCACCTTCTCCATAAGTTCGCATGAATAATCAAAATAGGTTTGACGGAAAAGTTCCTTTGAAGACCCTTAGAAGGAGCTGGAAAGGTCCCGCTAAGGACTCCTCAACCGATGGGAAAATGTCTTTCTCTTTGCCTCAGAGGACCTTGGGACCTTTTTACTTGTTTTCCAGCATCTTTCTATTGTGTAGGATGTGAAAAAGATATGAAAATGAGAATAATCGCGATTTTAGGGTCTCTGTTTTTTTTTTTGGAAGAACCTTTTTTAGAAATTGAGAGAAAAGTTAAAACGCTAGACAGAGAAAAAGAAAGACTATGACGTCATCACCTTGCAGTTTGGTGACGTCATTTCTTCTAAAATCAGACATAGGAAGGTTATATAATAGGTATTCGAAATGGAATAAAGATATCAATTCGCCAGCAGATGACGTCATCTTTTCCCAATTCGTGAAATTTGAGCATAGTGGGATTTGATATGACATCATTGAAATGATACCCAAATTATGACGTCAATACTCCGATTTATGTGATCAGAACTTGTTGAAGTATCGATATGACATCATTAATATGACTCAATGACGTCATTTTTTGCAGCTCCTGGGGATGTGATGGTAATAACGATTTCTCTATTCGTGTCCAGCCTGTCTACGACGCTCACTATGGAAATCCTGACGCGCTCTTCATCTCTAGGTGATTTTTATGATGTCATTTAGATGGAAAATTCGATGACGTCACTGAAAAGCCTGACATCATGAAGTCTATAAATGTCAGCTCTTCCTCTCGCAAATTAGACTGGATTATACTTTATAAGCCAAAATCTTTTGAATTTCTTATCAATGACGTCATTTTTCATTATTATTACTTCATGACGTCATTAAGAACATTTTTAATTTTATGACGTCATTAAGGATATCCACCTACGCCTACGCGGGCGTTGGTTTCGTGCTGATGCTGGCGACCGGCTACATTTTCTCGTTTTTCGAAAAACCGACCCATTCCGTCGAGAAAATCAGCCACCTGACGTTCGCTGGCAGGAAGTGAGTCATAACGACTCAGTATTGCTCATGTTACCTTATTTTCCAGCGAGCCTTGGCCCGAAAACCGACACGAGTTTGATCACTTCCTCTCCGAGACCAAAGCTTGAAGATTTCGAGAAATCCGCAAATTTTTGTCTATTTTCTTGCCTTAAGGAAAAGAAACGGGTTACTGTGGCCTTACTGTAGATTTTTATACGGTGTGAAAAGAGAAACGAATAAAATTTTATTTTATAAGTCGTTCCTTGTCGAATTTTGTACGGAAGCTCTGATCCGTTGAAGTTCCAGGTATTCCCTGAAAAATTGTTTTGTCTGACTGTCTGCGCTCTCATTTCTCTTGCCACTGAGAGAATGAGAGAGTCCAGACAGTTAGATTAGTTCAAAACTCACGGTGTTAATAATTTCTTATTGCCCATAGCTTCTTTTTGAACCAGGTAATAGGTCAAATCGGCGGCGGCTCGTTGTTTTTCTGAAAATGGATGGTCAAGTGGGCTAGGACCTTGGCTTGGAAAGTGGGTATCCAGGTTCGACTCCTCCCGATGTTTTTTTTTTGCAGATTTGGCTTTTTTCAGGTTCAGAGAGCTCTTGGTCTCGCTCAAATGGTCACAGGTTCGACTCCTGTCGAGGTTTTTGCTTTTTTTCGATTCATAATCAAAAAAAAATTGACTAAATTTTCTCATGGGAAATGAGTAGCTAGACGTTCTCTATTTTTTGTATTTTTTTGTGGGTTTAAATCTAGCTTCACGCTAAAAAGGTCCCAGGTTCGATCCCCCTCAGCGTTTTTGCCATTTTTTCCATAAAAGGAAAATTAGTTAGAAGAGTTTCCACTTGATTTTGTGTTAAGTAGAAGGTATTTAGGATTAAAAAGGTTCGATCCCTCTCAGCGTTTTTGCCATTCATCCTCTCACCTTCAACTTTAGCGGCCTCAAACTTTTTCATCTCCCATTCTTTTTTCTTCTGATCGATTTCGATTCTATTTTGGATTGTCGCCACTTTTGCGACCGTCTCGGCTTCTAAAATTTGATTTTTAAAAATTATTCCAAAATTAGAAAACTACCAATAATTGCCTTATTCTTCTTCGTTTCTGCCTCAGTTTCTACGGCTTTCCGGTGCTCCAAAGCGATTGAAACTCGAGTCTGAAAAAAGAAATTGTCTAGATTATCATTAGGGCGCACTTTCCTCACTTTTTCAATTTCCATTTGCTCATAATTGTCCCTGATAAGCCGTGGAATCGTCGGTTTTTCAACCCGAACTCCCATTATTTCGATATTCGGTAATAAATCCCCGTTTAGGATATTCCTTAAGATCTCGCCGATCCTACCTGAAAACCTGGATTTTTGAAATTTTCAAAATATTTTTTTTCTACCAAAATCATCGACGTAGACCTCGTGAACCGTACGATTGCTGCAGAAATGATTGATTTGTAGGCGAATTTTCTCGTCGATCAATAATTTCTCGTAGTTCACTGAGTAGTGCTTGACGATCTCGTGAACTGAAAGAAGGGATTTTGAAAACCCGTGGTCGCATTTGGAATGGATCGACCTTCTAAGAGATGGCCTCAACTCAAAATGGATCTCCTTATGGAGAATAGTATCAGTGAACGCAGTTTTTCATGCTGATTCTGAATCTGTGATCAGAAAAGGAGTGAAGGACCTGTGGGAAGAGTAATAGGCTGTGAAAGTTGGAAAAATGAGATTGAGTCCATTTTTGGACGGTGTAAAGGGTGGTTTTTTTTTGGGGATTTTTCAAGTTTATTCGTTTTTCAAGCTTATTCGGATGAACCAGCGTAAAAAACTGAGCCTGAAAAAATTATCATTTATCAGTAAAAATCCAACAAATAGTTGAGACCAGTAGCTAGAAGCGAGAGAGCGAAAGTTACGGAGAGTCGGGCGCAAAAAGAGCCATTCCCTATGCAACCACAACGAACCTGCATTGATTTGTAGCTGAGAAATCACTTTAATCATCTCGAAAACTAAAACTATCCCGCTAGAAGTTCCACATCGGACGTCGGAAATAAGAAATTCCCGAGGCACTACCTGAGTAATATGAGCAATGATCAGACGAGAAAAGCAACAAACCTTGACAATTTTAAATGAAGTTACAAATGGAAGTTTATAATGGAAACCTGGCCCGTTAACAGTGTCTAATAGAACTCCGCCCTGGAAATAAGATCATTTGGAATGTCTCGACCGCGACTCAGCTATTCCAAATGCGGCCATTTGAAGAAAAAAAAAACTCACTCTATAGTAGACAGCGACATTCCCTTCTTGTACTTGATGGGTACATAAGAAGAGTATAATCATTAGAGAAATAAATATTGAAAAAATGAAGATCGTAGGTCGCCAGGCGTCGCAGCAACAATAATCGTCAGCCATGGCTAAAAACTTTTTCGATAATTCTTATCATTAGAAGCTTTTCCTCCATTTTTGGTATTATGAGAGAACGGAAAGCATTGAGATGAAGAACTTTTGACTATATTTTTCAATTTTTCTTCTTAGGAAGTCCAGAGTGGTCCCTATAATGGTTTAGAGTCTGAAACCTCAACCCCTTAAGCTCAGGTGGTCCCTATAGGGGTCTCTCAATTTCATTTATTTAGTTTTTCGCATAGATATGCTTCTTCTCATGAAAATTATCGACTAGCATTACCCCTATAGGGACCACTTTCGCAAGCTTTAGTGGCCCCTCCAGGGGTTGGTAAATTGGTCTCTAAAGGGTCTACTCTGGAGTTCCTAAGTTATGAGACAATTTTTCTTTTTAAAAATGTCATTTTTTGAAGACGCAAGGTATTAGGACAGTCAGTGAAGCGTATTTTTGACTGCGTTTACTTTTATATTATGTAAAACTCCACATAGTTAACGGTAGAAGCGAATTTTTTCAAAAAAGAATAACTTGTACTCTGTCGACGTATTCTTCGTGTAGTTGCTTCCCTGATGTCATTCTGATGCTCTGGTGACGTCAGATGTGTCGTTGAAAGCATTAGTGGCTGAATTTTTGAGATTTTTGAGAAAATATGGAATCGGAAATGATAGAAAAGTTAGAAAAAGGGTAAGATCAATGGAGGGAGGAAAGTTTTCAGTTGGTTTTGGGGTAAGAAAAGTGGGTTTAGAGTTGAAAGTTGATGATTTTGGTGGAGAATCAAGTGTTAAGAATGAAAAACGTCTGGTTAAGAAATATTAAATTTCATTTGGATTTTTTTATAACAGTATCGAATGTTCCAAAAAGAAGCTGAACTTTCGGGAATTGTAAAAAGATTTTTTTTTTCTCTTCAAAAAGCCTCACAATTCAAAGTTAGAGCTGCTTTTTCTTAATCAGAAACTTTTTTCACACAATTTGAAAAAAAAATAATCTCTCAAATCTAGTTCAAACTGGACGAAAGATTACAAGATTACACCAAAAATTTCATTTCATCGGAAAGAGGAAAAAAAAAATTTTCAATGCCACAGACAAGACCGCGTGAAGAAATAAAAAAAAAATCGAGAAAGATAGCAGCCGAAAAGGACTATTTGATTGATTCTAGGTCAAATAGACTGATCAAAAAAAGAAGAAGAAGAAGAAGAGGAGGAAGAAGAGATAAAATCAAATTGAGAAGAGAGATTGTTTGGTGGCAATTTGGATAGCGTTGACATTTGGGTGTGAATCGACTAATGACGGAGAAAGTTCATTTTATCGTCAGAGAGAAAAAAAAAGAAGCGAGACTTGAATCGTAAATTTTAGAAAAATCATTAAAGTTGTTTGGGGTCGCTTGAAATTAAGACGCTTTGAAGTCGGTAAACAAATGGAATAACCATTCCAAATGCGACCATCTTTTTTTCAAAATATTGCATAAATTGAACTTTGGAGATATTGTAGTGCCTGAAAATGGTCTAGAAGGTCTTGAAAAGGCCATAGAGAAAGAAGAAAATATGAGAAACTTGAGAATTTTTGAGTGGTCCCTATAGGGATCAGTGCAGTCGCGATTTTTTTTTAATTGGCGGCTTTTTGAAGAATTTTCTTTGCTCCCGTTGAAATAGGACATTTTTGCAAAAATTTTTACCGCTGAGGATCGTCAGAGTGGTCCCTATAGGGTTTAGGAGACGCCAGAGTGACCACTAGAGGGGTTAGGGGACAAAATAGTGGTGCCTATAGGGGTCTTCTAGTTTTCTGTTGGTTTGAACGTTAAAGAGAAAAACTGAAAGAATTATTCTCTGATGATATGTTTACATTCAAATATCGCTGATATATGAAAAGCTGAAGCCCTTTTAGGGACCACTAGCAAGCTTCCCCTCTAGGGGTAACTTAGAACTGCAAAAGTGGCCCCTATAGGAGACCGTAGAGGGGTACCTTCAAGACCCCTTTGCCTCTATAGGGGCCCCGGTAAATGTCTTAAAATTCCACAAGGACATTTTTTTAAAAACTTATGAGCTTTTGAAAAATTCAACTTCTTTAGATTTTTCGAACCTTTTTGGCTAAAATTTTTTTCCAAATTTCCATTTTCATGTTGAATTGAGGACTTCCTGGCACTCGATAACACATAAAAAAACGATTTATCTATTTATTAATTATTTCATGTGTTTTACTTGGATTTGGCAGCTTCAATGGTTTTTCCGATTGGAGACAAAAATGCAGTCGGAATCTTGTCTCCGTAGAAAATCTTGTTGTTCTTCTCGATCGCCTCGATTCGCTTCAACTCGAGGTATTGTCTAAAAATCAAAAAATTTTCGAGAAAAAGATACAGAAATTACGGGGTCAATAATTTCTGATAGGCGATCGATTCCTTCTCGGATTTGTAGAGGGCGGCGTCCGCTTCAGCTTTTTCCTTTTCTGAAAAATGTGACCGCATTTTAAAGGTCTTTTACCAATTTTCTCAAAAAAATGGAGCTGGGAAAAATTCTTCCAAAAGGCCGCATTTTATAGATATTCTATCAATTTTCTAATGAATGGAGCTTGGAAAAAAATTCTTCCGACCGCATTTTAGAGATTTTCTATTTTAAGAGAAGAAGTTGAACTGGAATGAAATTTTTCTTGAAGTGACTGCATTTTATGGATTCCTTTTGACTAGGAAAAAGGGCTGAAGAAGAATTTTTCTTCAAAAAAAAAAAAAAGGTCGCATTTTACAGGTCCTCTATCTTCAAAAAAATAGGTTGAGTTGGGAAAATCCTTGTGAGAAAAGTGGTCGCTCTTTATGGATACTGTTTTCTCAACATTTTGGCTAGGAAATAGGGCTAGAAGATGATTTTTTTTTTTGAAAAAAAAATGTTTGCATTTTATGGATGTCCATCATTCTGGTGAAAAAAAAAGTTGAGCTGGGAAAAAAATTACTCGGAAAAATTTTAGGTCTCGAAAAAGTCTATGTTTTATTCACGAAATTATGGAGAAATGTTTTCTTCTTAGGATCTCCAAAGCGGTCCCTCAAGGGGTGCGAAAGGGATCCCCATAGGGGTTTTTTTATAGGGGACATGCTAGTCGATAGTTGCGAAAAAAACTATAAAAAAATGAATAAAACAAACGACACCCTGTAGGGGCCACTTGGGGGGCTGAGAGGTCCGACCTTAAATCTCTATAGGTGCCACCTTGATTTTACCCCTATAGGGACCACTTTTTCGGTACCTATAAAGGTAGGGACCGCAGACGAATTTTCAAAAATTTTTTTTCAGCATTGAGCTATGTATGGTTTGATAGCTGTTTCGATTCAGAACTCAGAACCGTTTAGTTTTTCAAAAAAGATTGAGGATGAAAAAAGTTATGACGAAAAATGTGGCGCGCCGCGCACCATTTTTTTAGTACTGAAATTTTGGTATTATCCATTTTTGACATTTTTCTCGATTTTTCTTCTAGAACAAGTTTTGATACTGGTCTATTATGATGTAACAAATCATAATAGAGTGCTAAAATGATGCTAATCAGCTAGTTTGCCGAAAAAAAGTCGGTATTTTTCCAGAAAAACAAAAAAACTGCCGCTTGCGGGCATCGAACTCGCGACCTCAAAATGAAAAATCGCAGCGCACGCACTGCGCCAAGCTGTCAGGTGTAGCGCGGGGAGCTTCCATCCCCCTTACCCTTGAGCCGTTTGGATAGCACAGATTGCCTATTTCAAAAAGAAAAACTTGAAGTGATTAAGCTATTTTGATCAGAATATGTTCGCAAATCTTTACTCAAACGTTTCGTGGAAATTCACTTCGAAAAAACTGTTTTTTCAGTGCTTTTTGCCTCTTTTAACGATCGCTGCATTAAAACGGCCCCGTATATTTTCGGCAAAGACGAATTTTTTATTTTATTTTTTTAATTGAAAGATTTTTTACTAATAAATGTATATAATCGTTTGAAAAACCTGCGTTCGACCGCTTTCTGTGTGATAAACGCCGCTAATTTTATTCTCTATTTTCAAGAGCATTTTTGCGTATCAAACAACTTTTTCAAGCACATATGCTGTGGAGAAAAAAATTTAAGTAAGCCCATGGTCTAAATTTTTGAAAAAAACGAAAAACTCGATTATATTCGCTTATTAACGATATTTTTGAATTATGACTTTCGGCGCTCCCTAAAAATTTTTTTGGCAAAGACGAATTTTTTTATTTTATTGTTTTAAAAATTACCTTTACTTGAATCAAAAATCATTACATAAAAAAAGAAAGAGTGCGTTCGACCTGAAAAACACATGAAAAAGCAAAAAATGACAAAATTTTTTAGTTCCATTCACGTTTTTGTACGACATTCCGCGAGAACGCATCAAAAAAGCGTGAAATATTTTTTAAACGAAAGAGGAAGCTTTTCTGTACATGTGTGTCAAATTTTATTAGCCAGTTCCACATATTTTGCAACTACAACTAAATTAAAGTTGTAAACCAAAAAAATGCCACTTTTTCTATCGCGAAAAGGGGCGTGGCTTTGCGGTCCCTATATAAAGGGCTGTTTCCTATCCTAACCCCTGTAGGGACCACTCAAAAATTCCTGAGTTTCTGATAGTTAACTTCTTTCTCTAAGGTCTCTTCAGGACGTTCTAATCTCTAGATTTTTCAGTTTTTTGAGCCTGATTATTGTAGTCTTCCAAAGTCACTTCAACCTCTAGGAAAATCAAAAAATGATACAAAAGTTCAAAAAACCAACCGAGAAGGATAGTATTTGCGATTTTGTTGATCGATTGCTCCCTTTCCTTTTCCGAAATTTTCTGCTTGTTGCGAATATCGGCAACTTGAGACTCCTTTTCGGCTTCTGCATGATCAATCGATAAATCAATAAAAAATCAATAAAATCACCAATCAATGCCCGTTTTCTCTCGGTTTCCGCCTCCTTCTCGACGACTCTTTGACGTTGGGTGGCGACTAGAAGTTTGGTCTGAAATGGGTTGGATTTTTTGAAGCTTCTGGAACTTTCTTGCTTTGTTCTGAAATAGGATTGGATCCGAAAAATGCCGAAAATGCTCCCTAAAGTTTTCTAGAACGCAGAAATCAACAAAAATTTCAATGATAAGAGTCTAATTTTCTTTCGGAAAGTCATAACTTCACTCAAAATCTTTCATTTTTGATGAACTCAGATGTTTCTGAAGCTAGAAAATGAGTCCCATCGAATCGTGTACCTTCTCAGCTTCCATCAGTTCGTAGTTTTCCCGGATTTGCTCGGGAATTTTCGGTTTTGTGACTCGAACGGCCTGAACTTCCAGTCCTGGCGCCAGCTCGCTCAGCTCCTTTTGTAGAGCCGTTTTCAAGTTCTCATCGATTTTATCTACAAAATTATCGATTTTCCTCAAAAATCAGATAATACTGACCGAAAAGATCAATGTAGACTTCCTGGATAGTGTGCCGACTGCAGAATTGATTAATTTCGTGGTGAACCTTGTTGTAGATCAATGGCTTGTCGTAGTCGACCGTGTAGTTCTTGACAATGTCGTGGACTGAAAAAGAAAGGCATGGCCGCATTTGGAATGGATCTAGGCGTTGCGGTCGCGCTGCGGTCTTGGTAAAAATCAAAGTATTGATTTTCCTAGCACGTATGGTAGTTTTAGAAACACGCCTAATTTTTCTTTTCGAGTCTCTCTGGCTTTTTAGCTTTCTACGATTTTTTGAAAAAAAAAGTGGTGGCCGCATTTGGAATGACTCTCTTTTGAAGAGAAGCTTATTAGCTCTTGTTGAACTTTGAGCACTCTAGCTTTCGAATGAAATAGGTACCTGCATCTTTTCTGAGAATATTAACAACTTCGATCCGACCAAAAGTGATGATAACTCCGCCAGAAGTACCACAGGGCACGTTGAGAAGCTCGTCAGTTTGAGGTGTTACCTGTAACATGAGCAATATTGAGTCATTCTTCTTTACTATGAGCAATATTGAAACTTCACAAAGATCTATTTTATTAAAAATTTATTATTCGATTTAAAATCTGGTCATTTTGAAAACATGTGGAAGATCATAATTTTGGAGTAACTTGTAACATGAGCAATATCGAGGCATATCCATTTAAGATGAGCAATATTTGATCCTCAAGTTCCGCCTCTTTTATTGATAAGCCTCAAAACCAACCTGAATAAGTTTATGTGTCGTGATTCCCGGCAACTTCAAATGATAGCCTGGTCCATTTACTGAGTTTACTAGAGCTCCGCCCTAAAATAAGGAAAAAGTATTAATAACTTTCATTTGTTGCTCATGTTACCCGATAATAAACGGCCACAAATCCTTCTTGGACTTGATGGATCGAGGCAAAAATGACGGCAGCGAAAATAAGTAATCCGACCGTGAGAATTACGCAAACGATCAATTTTATGAAGTGGCCTCGAGCTGCATCTGAAGAATTTTTCAGTCAGTTTTGAGAGAATTTTCTAGTATTCTGGAACATTATTTGAAGCTTGGTAGTTGAATCTAACGATAGTACAGCATTTGAACTGATTTTATCGGTTTTGAGGGCTCTGGAAGGATTGGGACCCTTTTTTCGTGATTTCATTCAAAACATGGTATTCAAGGATGGCCCCCTTGCCCTTTAAAAACTTGTTGGCCGCACGGAGAATGGCTCAAAGCGTCGCGGCTGTGCAGCGGTCATTTTGAAGCTGCACCCGACCACAATACGACTTTAGCGCATAGGCATGGGAGCTCCGGGATGAAAAATTGGAAAATTGAACTTGAGCACGGCCGCAACGCGTTGAGCCATTCCAAATGCGACCAAATGGAATTGGATGGGCTTCGTAAGGAAAATGTTTACAAAATAAGAGTTTAATAAGTTTTGTTCGCGCAGCTCACAAAGACTAATGATTCAAAAAACAAAACTTGAAATCTTTAAGTATTTTGAAACCTTGAAGTGATCTAAAAATTGATTTTTGAACCGCCGAAAGGAAAAGAAAACTCTTGACGTTTTTTGAAGTTGAAATTCGAATCGACGGCTTTTTTCAAGAACCATATCTTTGATTAGAAAGAATTGAAAAAAAACAGCAAATTTTTGGATTTTTTGAAGTTCAAGGTGTACCTTTTCCGTTGGATTGACAAAAATTGACTCTTTCTTAGAGTTTTACACTTTGATTTTCGATTATTTAGTTTTTTTTTTCGAATATTTTTTCATTTTGAACCTCAAAATAAGTTCATTACCATCACGCTGTCTGTGACCGTAGCCATCGCCGTAGGGAATCGGCGTCGACGGCCTTTCTGACCTTGTTGTCGTTAAAGGCGTCCCCTGCTCTCGGTTCATACCTTAATTGGATCTAATTTTTCAACGTAGTTGATAATTGTTTTTGAGTATAGTTTAGTCACTTCTGGCTTGAGTAAGAAGCACGAGAGGCACACTAAGGATAACTGCCATGATGAAGGCGATATCGCGCGTCATGCATGGACGACATCGCAAAAAGGCCGCGCCAACCTTGCGTTTCTTCTGTCGCGATATCGCATTTTAACTTTTTTATTGTGCCAGAAGTGCGAGATCGCGTCAAGAAAAACGCGGCGTGAAAACGGTACATTTGCGAAATTGTCAATGTAACGACATCGCTTTTCTCCCGCGCCGAACTGAGAAGTTATTTCAAGCGTATTTCAATTTAGTCGCCACTGTCTTGAGAAAATAACGAATAAGCGTGCTAAAAACAAGTGCCGAGATAGAAACGATATCGCGCGTCGTACATGGACGGCATCGCAAAAAGGCCGCGCCAACCTTGCGTCCCTCTTGTCGCGATATCGCATTTTAACCTTTTTTTGGTGTGTCAGAAGTGCGAATTCGCGTCGAGAAAATGCGAGCGCGGCTGTACCTTTGCGAAGTTATCAATTTACCACTAGCGATATCGCTTTTCTCTCGCGCCGAACTGAGCAGTAATTTCTAGCGCAAGTAAAAGATTTCAGTAGAGAAAAGGTTTTTTTACAGAAGCTTTTAAAATAGCATAAAAATTAAAACTTCGGGGGGTAGGATAAACGAAAAAGAATGGAAGTTCTAACCTTTAAACAGCACTATATTCCAATTTATTAAGGCTCTCGAAAATGATCTGGTCCTTTGTGGTAAGAAATAAATTTTGATCTTTGCATGATTAGCAGGACATGGTTCAAAAATAACAGCGTCACGCGTCTTTTTCGTATTTCTGACTCTAGATAAAGTATATGCAGAGTTTTGATGTTTTGAACGATCTTTGAAGACCGTTAGACCTGTGGTTTGACCTAAAAAAAAGATAGAAAAAACCTCTGCAAACAGGTTTTCTCAGCAAGTAAACAACTGGCAGTCAGACTTCCGCGTACCTAACTAACTTTGAAAAGTTGATAGGTTTTGAGATTTTTACACGTTTTCAGTTAAGAGACTATAGTTTCAGCACAGTTTCGATAATAATAATATTTATTTACAGGCAGAACAAAAAAAACATGTACAGGAATGGTTTTGAAATAAAATGAATCGCAAAAAGTTTTATAAAGCTTCAAATTTTCAACTTTTATCATGAAGAAAAAAAGGCTTCCGGCGTTTCTGAGGCTTTATATATCTACCAAAAAAAGGTACTCAGGTACGCCAAAGAAGTCCCTATAGAGGTTAGGGGGACAAAAAAAGTGTACTCTATGGGGGTAAAACTTAGATGGTCTCTATAGGGTCCAGATAAAAATATTAAGAAGACACATTTTAAACTTTTCCTCTGTTCAAAATAATCGACTAGCATGTCCTCTATAGGGGTCGCTTTTGCAAGTTCTAGTGGCCCCTTCAGGGGAGGTAAAAAGGCCTCTAGAAGGAAATCTCCAAGGGTAGCTAAGTTTGCCCCTGTAGAGACCACTGGAGTCTTCAGGTTAGACTTTTCTTCTGATCTTGGTTAAGGATAAACTGAAGGAATTTAGCAAAATTACGTCATGTTTGAAGCAGTATAAGAGTACTAAATAAACTAGCAGAAGTAATAGAAAAAGTTAAACTCACAATAATAATCAGAAAATAAAGGTAGTTCTGTTCCAAACAAAGGTGTTCCCACCTTTTCCAAGACTTTTTGAAGTTATATAGGTTCCAGAATGCTCAAAATAGCATCAACACGACTTCCGTTTTGAGAAGAAGAAACCGGGTCGGGCAATAAAAACAACAAAAAAGAAGGGTCTTTGACTCATGAATGGGCGGTTCTGAACTGATTATCAATGTAATATCCGGCGGGAAAAGGTATAAAAATAACCTTCCATGATAGGAAAAAAGGCAATTTTTGAAAGTTCGGAAGTGAATGGTAGTTTTTTGAGTGGATCTGGATTTTTTTAGGGGTTCGGGGATTTTCCAATTTGGTAAAGAACCTTTGGGAGATTAGAATAGTAAGAAGATAAAGAATATATCAGAGCTTTTTGGAATTAAAAAATTAAGAAAGGGAACAACAAAGGCAAGGAAAACAGGTGTAGGTATCAGGGCGCGAAAATCTTCTTTCCTTGGGGTTTTGCAGGAGAAAGAACGGCGGCACAAGGAAATCAATTGAACTTGGCCAGAAAAATGGGTTCGACCCTCTGCGCGTAGCGAACTGTGTAACAAATATGGACCATATTCCGTCTCCATTTTTTGGATTTTCCTTTTTTGGTTGATTCTTGGTCGTCAAGGTTGTAGAGGCTAGACTGTGCGTCCTAATTATTGACACACCCTTTTTTCACTTTTTCTAGATTTTTCTATACAGCTAGTGTGTTGAGAGCATCAAAATGTTTTTCAAACCGATTTTTAGGTAAAATTGTCGAAATCAAGGAAATTCTGTGTTGAAAAATGCATAAAAAGCAATAAAAATGTTTTCAAAAAGTGCAAAAAAAAAATCTGACGGGGTGTGGAAACGAACCTACGCATCTGAAACCGAAGCCAAGCCCTCTAGCCACTGAGCCAGATATCTAAGAATCCTCCATGAAGTTCTATCACCATTCTGACCTAGGAAAAAGGCGAAAAATGACGTTTTTAGATACCCCACCTTCAATTATCCGTTTAGCCTTGAAAACATGGCTTTTGAAAAAAAGTAGCTAAACAAAAGGGACCCATAATTTATTAAAATACAAGCTTGGAACAAAGAAAAAAACAATAAATAAGTACATATTAAAGCAGAAAGACACCGGATGGCTATTGTCCAGGTCGAGCCATTAAGTGATCACTTGGGAACAGATTGCCCGTTATTCAGGATGTCTTGGAATGGATTTATTTCCAAGGCTTTTGGCTCTGATTTCCGAGGGGAATTATTTTCGTTCTTTGGTGAGTCGTTGGTCATCAAAAATGCGGTTGGAATCTTGTCGCCGTAGTAGATCTTGTTGTTCTTCTCGATCGCCTTGATCCGTTGGAGCTCCAAGTACTCCCTTAAGTGAAAAATATTCGATATACAGTGATCTCTTTGAGAAATGGTCAAGGAAAGTCGAAAATTTTGCCTTTTTCTTTAACTTTTCCTGAAAAAAATGGAAAAATAGACAAAAAAAAGTGAAAAAACTATAGCTGATTCACGACTGGCTTGAGCCATCAAAAAAGGGTCCTGACACGATAGGAATATAGATAGTGCCTGTTTTGTGGAGAGCGCAGACAGGCCACGCCCCTTTAGCGTTCTAAGTTAACCGGAATCTGCTATATCTCACCCTGCACAATTTTTGACCCTATTTTCTTATTTTTCTTCAACCTTACAAGGAAAATGATTAAAAATCATACGGTGTCAAAATTTTCTGGAAGGCCGCCGATTCCGTCTCAATCTTGTACTTTGCCGCGTCCACGGAAGCTTTTTCTTTCTCTGAAAATTAAATTAATTAGCAAAAAAGCGGTTTTTAGATAATGGTCTACTCAAAAACCCGGGAAAAAGGATAAAAGAGAGAGAATTTTGAAGAGGGTCTAGAGAAATAGAGATCCCCTGACTTCTCTGGGGTCTCTTCAGGATACTATCTCGTTTCCTCTTTTTTTTCACTATCCCTTTAAGGACAACTGTTTTCTTTTAAATCTGTACAAAAAAAAAACTCAAAAGACCCTAGGAACCACTTAAGCTTTAGCAGCTCAAAGTTTGTAAACCGCTACAGTGACAACTTAAATTTTACTCGTAAAGGGGGTCTTTTTTGTCCCCTTTAGAGGCTGTTTTTTTCCCTGATCTTATAGGAACCGCTCTGGCCTTTCTAACTATAGTCTGTTCAGATTTTGAATGTCAAGTCGTCGCTCAAGCTCCGCCCCCTAATAGCGCGATAAACCAATCAGAGAGCGAGCCATCCACAGAGTGTTTTTGAATGACGTCATTGCACTCGATTTTCAAAACCTGAACAGACTATATCCTTTACACCTTTATCATTTTACTGTTCGCCTTTTAAAGATCTTTGAAAAACCCACCAAGGAGCATATTATTGGCGATTTTGTTGATTGATTGCTCGCGTTCTTTCTCAGCAATCTTTCGCTTGTTGTGAATATCCGCGACTTGGGACTCTTTCTCGGCTTCTGCAAGGGCAATTTATTGAAAATTGAAAAAAAATCTTCAAAAATTCACCAATCAGAGCTCGTTTTCTCTCGGTTTCAGCCTCCTTTTCGACGACTTTCTGACGCTGCATAGCCACCAGAAGCATTGTCTGGAATATATGAATTCGTCCGATTTTATGACAACTGGTTCCTTAAGAACTATTTGGAGAGGACACTAAAGTGACCACTATACTACTTTTTAATGATCTATTAGTACCGCTTAGACTTCTTAAAGGCCACCACTAGATAGACTACTAAAGTGGCCACTTTAAGTCGAATCCCTTAAGTGGCAACTAAATCCATCTCTGTAGTGGTCACTATTATGCGTGTTAGTGGCCACTATAGTAGTTTTTAATAGTCTATTATTGCCACTTAGACTTCTAAAAGGCCACCACTAGATAGACTACTATAGAGGTCACTTGAACGTCGAATCCCTAAAGTGGCTCCAAAAATCGTTTCTGTAGAAGCCACTTATTTGAGTTTTGGTTAGAGGTCTACAAAGGTCACTTAAGCAGCCACTAATTCGACTAGTATAATGACCACTTAAGTATCAGACCCTAGAGTGGTCACTATAAGTCTAATTCCTAAAGTGGCCACTTAATCATTAGGCCACTAGGCCACTAAAACCATCACTATAAAAGTCACCAATAAGCTTGTTAGTGGCCACTAAAGTCCTTATTAAGACTTCAAAAGAGCCGACTAAACTTTAGTCACTCAAGTGGCCACTAAACGGTCAGAACCCTAAAGTGCTCATTAAACGTTCTCCCAGTTAAGCTTGGTTTTTATTGATCCATACCTCAAATTTTAGCGTTTTCCTTTTCAAGGGAAAACCAACCTTTTTTTTTCCAACCCCAACTTTTTCTAAAACTGGAAAGTGCTCTATCGAACAACTAACCTTTTCAGCTTCCATCTGCTCGTAGTTCTTGCGGATCTGTTCTGGGATGATGGGTTTCGTGACTCGAACGGCCTGAACCTCCAGTCCCGGCGCCAAGGTGTGCAGCTCCTTCTGCAGCGCCGTTTTCAAGTTCTCGTCGATGGTATCTGAGAATTTGTGAGTTTCGGAAAACCAAAGAAAAACGAACCGAAGAGATCAATGTAGACTTCTTGGATAGTGTGCCGACTGCAGAATTGATTAATTTCGTGGTGAACTTTGTTATGAATCAGGGGTTTGTCATAGTCGACCGTGTAGCTCTTGACGACGTCGTGGACTGAAAAAATATTAATTTTTTCAAGTTGTCAAGCGGTTAAGGTGCTTTTGGAAGGCTTGAAGATTTTTTTTGAAACTTAAGCCATTCCAAATGCGGCCAAGGGATAACCCTACCTGCATCTTGCTTCAAAATATTAACAACTTCGATCCGACCAAACGTGATGATAACTCCTCCAGAAGTACCACAGGGCACATTAACAAGCTCGTCAGTTTGAGGAGTGATCTAACATGAGAAATACTATCATTAACATGAGCAATGCATTACCTGGATACTTTTATAAGTGGTTATAATAGGTAAGCGCATGTGAAGCCCGGGTCCAGTTACTTCTTTAACCAAGGCTCCGCCCTAAAATGTTTTATTGAAGTTTGGGATATATAAATGATATTCAAAAACCCTTGGTAAGGCTCAGAATCCCACAGAATCACTCTAGAATTGAAATTTAAAAAAAAACCACCTTATTAAGGACTGTGTGATCTAACATGAGCAATAACAACACTAAGATGAGGAATGAAGAATCGCTATGAACTTTGAAAAAAAAACGACCTCAGCAAGGATTTTTGAAAATGAATAAAATATATAGTCAATGTTTCCCGACTTGAAAGGCGTGGGAGGCGTGGCAAGGGGCGGGACGCGTAGCGTGTGCATACGCGGTTCTTGGCACGTGTTCAATTCAACCGCTAGCAAGCATTCAGAGAGCTTATTTATTGCTCTTTTCACTTGTTTTTTAATTATTTATTGATTATGTTCATGTGTGCATCAAAAAATAGAAGAAAATACAGAAAAAGAGCGGTTGCCGAGCTTTTTAAATAGTCGGCGACGATTGAATTGAACTGGCGCCAAGAACCGCGTACGCACACGCTACGCGTCCCGCCCCTTGCCCCGCCTCCCTCGCCTTTCAAGTCGGGAAACATTGACTATACCCGATAATAAACAGCCACGAATCCTTCATCAACCCGATGGATACTTATAGAAAGAATGTAGATTATAGCTGCGGTTATAGCGACGCCGACCAGTGCAGGGACTATCAATTTGTTGATGTCTGAAAAAGGATTATTTAGTTCTAGCTTTTTTTTTTGAAATTCGGAGGGGTTAGAAAAAAAATTTTTTTTCCCACTCGCAGCTCTTAAAAAGTCAGACAGTCCGAGATGAAGCTTCAAGAAAAAAAAGTAGCTCTAAGAAAAAATTTAAGAAGAACTTGAGAGCGCCAGAGTGATCCCTTTAGAGGATTTTGAAGATGTCACTCTGGGGACCTCTTCACCTCTCCTTATAGGAGCCACTGAAGCTCACAAAAGTGGTTCTTATACATTCCGAAATGAAGCTTCAAGAAAAAAAAGTAGCTCTCAGATAAATTTAAGAAGAACTTGAAAGCGCTATATTGATCCCTTTAGGGGCAACCTCAGGGGTTTTCGAAAATATCTCTCTAGGGACCTCTTTACCTCTCCTTATAGGATTAAAGCATTCAAAAGTGGTCCCTATAGGGTTACTCACTAGGAAACGTTTTTTTCACCCCCCTCTGAACTTTTTGATGAAACTTTGCTGAAATGTACTTTTAGGACCTCCTTGCAGAACAAGAAAAAAAATTTTTCGCAATATATTTTGTTCACTAGCTATGTAGCTTCAAAGTCCGCAAAATACGCAAGTTATCACGAAAAAACGCTATTTCGGGCTTTCACTCGAAAAAAAAAATCTATTGCGAGAAACTTTTTCTTGTTCTGCAAGTAGGTCCTAAAGTGCCCTTCAAGGAAGTTTCATCAAAATTTCAAGGGGGGGTAAAAAACGTCCCTTGTCAGTGGACCCTACAGTCGTTTATAGTTATGAACCTGTAAGAAAAAAAGTAGGTGAAAAAAATTCGATAAATTGACACTTTTTGCCCCCCCTATAAGGGCTGTTTTTTTCCGCTGTCCCCTATAGGGACCCCTGATGTTGACAAGAAATTGTAATAGGATGGTGAAAAATCAACTCACCCCAACTTTGAGCATTCAATCTGTTATTCAACCTCTGCCTCACGGCTGCCGCACTGGTTAGAGGCGAGGTTACACCTTTTTCGGCGTCCGAGTCCATGAGCTGAAAGTTGGAAAGTTTATTTGAGAAAAAAAAGCCCAAAAAAAATCTACGTGACCTAGGCTCTGAAGGAAAAATAGAAAAATGGAATTTTTTGGGTAGAATGTCAAATTTTTGACTTATATAAGCTGATAACCAAGCTGGGAAGTTGGAAAGAGACAGTCAAGGGTATAAGTAGGATGATTACAAGATAAGGAAAATGTTAAAGATAAGATAGAAAAACGTAAAATTTGATTCCTACACTTTCTTTTGACCCTGATGTGTTGCACAATGAGTTGTAATCAGTTTTAAAAGACGTATTTTTGAATTAAAGTTTGAAAGGTCACAGAGAATGGGCCAGAGCGTCGCGGTCGCGTCGCGGTTTAGCACAAAGAATTTTCTAGTTCGTTTGGTAATGGAATAGTTTCTGAAAACGCAACCCTTATCGACCAATTTTGGAGCTTCAAATCGTAGAAAAAGGATTTTACAAGGTCGAAATTGATCTTAACTGTGAAAAAGCAACTTAAAAGGATGGCCATTTTACTTTAAGGTTCAGAATTGCCTGAAATATGGCCAGAAAATGCCTAGATGTACCAGATAAGTATTCTGAAAGTTTCAACCTTCAAAACTTCCTAGTTTTTGAAAAAGGATCCTAAAAAGAGTTCAAAGAAAAACCTGAGGCTTTTTTATTCTTTGAGTCCTTATTTCTTGAAAATACCGAAGTTTTCCAGGTTCAGAACGATCTTCTATTATCCAAGAAATACTCTGGCCAATTTTCAGAAAATTCCCAACCGTAAAGAAAAATCAACTTCCTTGTTAGAAGAGGCAGACACTCAAATCGAAATGAAACTTTATAAGTAGGATGATAAGAACTAGAAAATGTTATCTGATAAGATAAAGCCGTTCTCTGTACTTTTCCCGTTGTGGTCTTGAGGTTTATTTCAAAATGAAAAAAAAGTGATGTAGGTTTTCAAATTAGATTAGAGAAAGGATAACATGAAAAGAAGGGCAATGATTTGAAACGTGAAGCCGTTTTTTCGAGAAAAATCGAAAAAGAGTGAAAAAATGAGAGAAAAAGGCTCAAAAAAGACCGCAAAAAGGCTCGGGCCTTCCGTTTTTCTGGGATTTTAAAGGCTCAAGAAATGATGAAAAAGGAGAGGCTGCAAAAATGTTGCATAAAAGCCGATGAAATGGAGCAAAAAGGCAGCAAAATAGGAACCCTTCTCATGGAGCCTTTTTGCACCCCTTCCGACTTTGCTCATGAAAAATTAAATAAAATTTTATTTTTGAAGTGTTCTCGACAGACCATGTGAGTCTTTGATCTATGACTCAACGAAAAGTTGTTTTTCACGCTTTTTGATTTTTTTCACAACACAATTTTTCTTCTTGAATTTTTTTCAGAATATGAATAATTTAGAGTTTGAAGTTCAAATAACTGTGGAAGTTTAGTTATATCGAAACAAACGATTTTTTTATTCACCTCTTCCAGGTTTTCTTTGGTTTCAAACTCTGAACAATTTGGGAAGAATTTTAGCTTGTAGGTAGAAGCGCTATCACTATCTTATCAGAAAAACTTTTTCAAGAAGCCTGGAAACCAAAAAAAGCGATCAAAAAGAAGGTCGATTATGAGTTTCAGAACAAGAAAAGTTCGAGAAAGTGTTAAATAAGTAGAAATTGAACAATAACGAAGCAAATAACAAGGAAAAAACAAGAATTCTCTAGTTTAAGATTCAAAAAAAAAGGTGAAGGAAAAAGAAAATAAGTTGAGAATTATCAGCTAACTTGTTACCGGCTCGAAATTTCTTGCTTAAAAGGATGTAATTTCATTTTTTAGTTTAGATTTTTCTTCCACAACAGCTCTTGACGCACCAAACGGAGGTTCTGAGAGTTTCAAACTGCAGTTTTTCCAAATTTGAGAAAAAAGGACACCGCCAAGTCAAAGGAAACCTTCAAAATTCGTTAAAATATACCATTTTGAGGCTTCGAGTCCAATTTTTGAAAAAGCCAGGTTGAGATGTACAGGACCTTAATGTAGTAGATCAAAGGATATTCTGACGAATTTTCAGAAAAATCAAAGTAAAAGACCTTACTTGGGAGAAGTTTAAAGAGACATTGACTAGTTCAAAAAAGTCTCGGATTCATGCAAAAACACTCCAACAACGTTTTACGAATAGACTACATCAAAAAATAAAACAAAATCTTGGAAAAGAATGTAGTTTGAACGAGGAAAAGAGGCGACCCGGGTGCTATTTTCAGCTCTTTAATTGTGTTTCCAAGCGCCTGGGGGTAAAGCAAAAGGGTGGAGCTCTTTCTGCCCCCTACACAATCGATTAAAGAACGGCGTTCCCAGCGGATGGATGGGTATAGGGCAAAGAATGTTGTGTTGAAACCAAACGTTGCACTAGCAGAGGAAATCTGCGCCCGAAATTTTGGAGGTTTGACGTCATAGGCGGCTATTTTTAGGATATCCTCATTGCTCAACAGCGATGAGTCACGTAGAGACAACTGACCGAAAATTGTAGAAAAAGTTCTTTTTTTAGTATCGGCTGATTCACGTAGAGTCAGCTAGCCGGAAAAAAATTCTTCGAAAAAAGTTTTTTTTACTTATTTTCGATCATCGACAGGTAGTCAAAACTTCAGAATTTCGAAAAATTTTCTTCAAAAAATGGTTTTTTCAGGTAGAAGGTTAGGAAAAACTGAAATTTACTTTCAAAAAAAGTTCGTCATTGTTTTCATACAGAGAAATTTTCCTTTCAAAAAAATTGTCAATTTCTTGATATTTGGCTAGTCCTGAGAACATATTATGCTAAAAAATAAGAAAATTCATAAGTATTCCAATTTTGGCCGTTTCCACGTTTATAAGTTTGGCAAACTGTCAAGAAATTGAAAAAAATTAAGATGATTTTTTTAGATCATCGTGTGATTCACGTAGAGTCAGCTAACCGAAAATATAGAAATTTGAAAAAAATTTTTTTATTTATTTTCGATCATCGACAGCTAGTCAGAGTTTCAGAATTTCGAGAAATTTTTCTTCAAAAAAATGGTTTTCCAGGTAGAGAGTTAGGGAAACTGAAAATTCACTTTCAAAAAAACGTTTTTTTCGCCATTTTTTTGATCAAACGTTTACAAGTAGAGAAATTTTTGAAAAAAATTATTGTTTCAAAAAAATTTCTTGATACTTGATACCAGTCTTTAGAACGTACTATGCTAAATAAAACAAGAAAAATTCTTAAATTTTTCAAATTTTGGCGGTTTGAAAGTTTATAAGTTTGACCTAATGTCAAGAAAATGAAAAAAATTATGATGAAAAATAAACTTTTTTTCTAGGATTTTTTTCGATTTTTTTATGATCAAAAAGACGTAAACCTTTCTTTGAAAGTATATTTCGGAAAACCGAACAAATTGTTGGAAAAACGAGAATTTTTTTTTGAGGGTTGAATTTTGTCTTTTTGACCATTGATCTCGTAGACGGCTTGTTCAGAAATTTGAAAAGAATCTTTGAAAAAAAGTTATGTTTTTCTTATTTTTTTGATCATAGTAGGTTTACTGTTGAGAAAGCTGGCCAAAAATTCAAGACTTTTTTTCTTTTTTTTGCGGAAATATAAGCTTTAAAAAAATAGCTTTGTTTGTTTTAAATATAAACAGGAAAAAATTCAAAAAAAGGCTGTCAAAGATTTTCCTGATAAATATCTTATAATCAAATGGTTCAGAGATTTTTTTAGATTCTTCTTTCATTTTTTTCTTGAATGGGGAGATATGTTTTTCAAATTACGACCTATAAACTTCGAAGTTACAAAAAAAAAGACATCGCGCATTTTTTTTTAGGAAAATATGCTGGTAAAATCTCAGAAAACGGCCTGAATAATACATTTTCGGTGAAAAATGGGTGTTCATGTTGCTAGGCAATGGTCCAGTTGTCATTCTTTACACTAGAATGTCGGCAGAAGTACTTTTTTTTTAGTGTTTAGCCTGGTTCAGGAGGCCATTTATCAGTCAATAGCAGCTGTTCGCTGTGAAAAACATATTTCTTTTTAAAAAAAGTTTTTTTTGCAACATTGATTATGTTAAAATTAGAAGAACGAAGGATTTAAAGGTCGTGAAATGAATCGAAAAAACTTTTCTAGCAAAGGGAACGGGAAAATTCTTCTAAGAGAGCTTACACAGAATAATTAAATTTGCGGGCTTCTCCGACCCGAAAAAAATAGGTTGAAAGTGCTTTTCCTGGCCATTTTCAGTGGGAAAGGGTTCTTTTCCAAAGAAGGAGGCCACGCCCATTTTTACGATTTTTTTGACACATAAACATCTTTGAAGCTATGTACAAGACCAATCTGAACTCCTGGCAAACTTGCATCTCAGACCACGCCCACTTTTCTGCGCCTCAAACCAACTTTCGGCAAAAAATAGTATTGGAAAAGACACCGATGAACAGGAGACGTAGTTGGCACATTCGTAAACTTGCATCTAAGGCCACGCCCACTTTTCTGCGCCTCAAGCCGCGGCAAATTTACGCAAAAATCATAATGGAAAAGGCACCGATGAACAGGAGACGTAGTTGGCACATTCGTAAATTTGCATCTCAGACCACGCCCACTTTTCTGCGCCTCAAGCCGCGACAAATTTACGCAAAAATCATAATGGAAAAGGCACCGATGAACAGGAGACGTAGTTAGAACGTGAAGAAATAGATACGGGATCTTCTTCAGGTGTCCAGAATGACGTCATCAAGGCATTGCTGAAAGTTTATTTTTAAAAAAAGCTTTGAAAAGAGGCGTGGCTTGTAAAGTTTCATTCAAAAATACTCCTTTTCTCTATGAGAATTGATAGAAACTAGGAAAAATAAAAAGAAAATCGAATTTTTAGCCACGTGGGGTCAAACAAAGCGTTGTGAAAAAATCTCAAAGTTTGCCTAAGAGATAAAAAAAAAAAGTTCGGGTCCGAAAAGTTGAGGTAGACGGGAAGGTTGTTGATTTTTCTGGCGAAAAAGTTTGCAGGGCAGAAAAAAATTGGAAAAAATTGGAAATTGGTCAAAAAAAGTTACTGAGAGCTGGAATCGACTGGAATTGATTTTGGACCCAGAATATCGTCTGATGAGCATCTATACCACTTGAACAAGGTCTGATCTTTTCCAAAGGAACAAAATTGTTCAAAATCAAACTTTTTGGATTTTAATTTCTTCGAGTAACATATGAGCTTTCACTGACTCGGAAAATTTGATTAGAAGAATAGCAAAAAGTCGAAAATCAAGTTGCATGTTTGGCACTTACAAAATGAGAAAAAATGACCAGAGGCGAAAAATTATCGAGAAAAAAAATTCGTAAAGAGCAGGTGCTTTTCGACAAACTCCCCTCTATCTTATAAAAGTTGGAGAAATGCACTTTAGCACTGATAGTTTTGAGTTTTTTCTGCTTTATTATCACACTTTTGGCTTGATTTTCACGCTTTTGTCTATTTCGTGATGAATGAGCTTTTACCTGTTAACTTCATCAAAATTTTTCCCTTTTTCTCAGTTTTTAGATTTTTCTGTACTAGTAACCATAGGAAAAATCAAAATCTCAAAGTTTCTGTTTGCTTTTTCTTGCTTTCAAGCTTGCTCAACGAAAAATAGCAAAAGGGAATTTGGAGGTACGGGGGATTGAACCCCGGACTTCTCACATGCGAAGCGAGCGCTCTACCACTGAGCTATACCCCCATGTTCATCCAGCGCGGCGCCTCGCCTACTAGTTTCCACGCAAGAAACATCATTTCAGAGAGCTCATGCTGGAAAGTTCGACGGTTTTTACAATCTACACGGTTTTATCACTACTTGGCACGTTGACAACGTTGTTTTGGATTTACACGATCATTTTCAAGTCTTCCACTGAGATGAAACTTTACAGTTATGCAATGTTGAAACTGGCGGTGAGGTGACTTGTAAAAAAATTTAATTTTGAGAGGTTTTTAGATCTGTGATTTGTGTTTCAATATAACTTTGACATTCCTCTTATCACCCGATGTGTTATTTCCATTACCGGCGGCCGCTATGAGAGGCCTTTTATCGAAAATTGACGATAATTACGCCAAAGGAACGGTTAGATCAATGATTATTTTATAATTAGTTGAATAGTGATTAATTTAGTTTTGTGCTACTATTGTCAGTGGCATGACAATCTTCACGGCTATCAATGATTGCTGTTACACGAGATCGATGATGGTTTTCGAGCGGCATAAGGCCCTCGAATTCATTTTTTCGTTCAAGTTTGTTGCAAGTTTTTCGATCAGGAGCACCTGTCGATGAAAAAAAAAATGATAGAGTGATTAAAATTTAATTAGGATGGAGGTGGAAAAGCACCTGAGTTATTTTGCAAGGATTCAAGGAAGTCGGAAAGTGAGGAAAAAAAACTTTTATAGAAAATTCGTCATGAGTTGTTGCAAGAAGTTGAGAGGAAAATTTTGATAGCCAAAAAATTTTTTCGTCAATATGTCAGACGCGTCGGCGGTCGCGTCGCGGTCCGAAAATGTTTTCTAAAAATGAAAATAATTCCGCTTACTGTCACAAATGTGTAGGGATTCGCTCTAATATAATTGAAAAAAAAAATTTTTGTGTCGTTTTTTTCAAATTCCATACAATCGATCTTCTAATTTTCAGAAATATTTTTTTTAAAAAGTAGATTTTTGAGATCGTCAGACACGTCTGCGGTCGCGTCGCGGTTTTTCATTCTGAAAGTTTTCCTGGCTAAGAAAAAAATTTTTTTCGTTTTCTATCTTAAACGGATTTGCTCTAATTATGAATAAAACATTTTTATTTCGTATTCCAAAAATTCTGAAAAAGTCGATCGCTTTCGAATTCGTCAGACGCGTCTGCGGTCGCGTCGCGGCTGTCTTTCCAAAAATTTTTTTCTAAATAAAAAATTCAATAGGGATTCGCTCAGACCTCTTTTTTTCTGATAGTCTTCAAAATTCTTGAAAAAAATTGTTTTTTTCCAATTTTTTTAGAATTATATCTTTTAAAATTTTTTTAAGCCTCTAAAAAGGTCAAGATTGCCAGACGCGTCTGCGGTCGCGTAGCGGCTATATGGGAATTTATTTACTTATTTCAGAGGTCTTCTCGTTGTGATCCTAATCAACGTGATTTTTGGTATCATCGCCACGACTTCGATCCTTTTTTGCCTCACTGATTCAAAGGTTCATCCTTAATTTTCACAAAACTCCTCAAAAAACTTTTTGAGGACTTCCTAAAAACGACCATTTCTCGGGGCCAAGAAAACTACCTGGGCAGTTATTTGAACGACTCGGCTGTAGTTTACGTCTCCACGGATATGCACAATCTCAGGATCATACCGATGGGTGACCGCGACGCGACCGCGCCGCATGACTTTTTGATTTTTTTCAGTTTTGGCCGTCGGCGGAGGCCTTGCCGGTTTTCATATTGGGAACTTTATCTCATCTTATTTGATGCTTAAGGTATTTTCCTAGAATTTCTGGCTTCTCTGCGATCTCTTTCCTCTCATGGGTTAGACCGAAGAGGGATCTAGAGGGTCGAGAGAAGTCAGGCGACGGGAATAAGTTATAGCTACAGTACTCCCTTTCAGAGAATCAATTCGATGAAAGAGCACATGTCGACGAGAACGTACCAGCAACAGAAGCAACTCACCTGGATGCTCATTTCTCAGGTATACCGTAATCCCTACTGTTGCGTTGCGGTTGCGAAGCGATTTTTACTGTGTCAGCCGACGAAAAGCTACTTGCGCGAGACGATATGCATAAGCGTAGTGAAAAGAAAAGTCGCGTGCAACTTTTACTTCCAAAAATGTCGTATCAGCCGACGAAACGCTACTTGCGCGAGACGATATCCATAAGCGTAGGGGTAGGGAAGTCGCTCAAGGTCGGGCGCAATTTTGACCTCCCAAACATGCCGTATGAACCGACAAAAAGCTACTTGCGCGAGATGATATTCATAAACGTAGGGATAAGGATGTCGCTCAAGGTTGGGCGCATCTTTGACTTCCAAAAAAGCCGTATCAACCGACGAAAAGCTACTTGCGCGAGACGATATCAATTAGCGTAGAAAAAGGGAAGTCGCTCAAGGTCGGGCGCAATTTTTACTTCAAAACATGCCGTCTCAGCCGACGAAAAGCTACTTTCGCGCGATGATATCCATAAACGTAGGGATAAGGAAGTCGCTCAAGGTCGGGCGCAATTTTGACCTTGTTAAATGCCGTATCAACCGACAAAAAGCTATTTGCGCGAGACGATATTCATAAGTGTAGGGACAAGAAAGTCACTCAAGGTCGGGCGCAGTTTTGGCCATCAATTAAGTGGCCCGTTTGAGCTATTCCAAACTTCTCCTTATCCTCAAAATGATCATGTACGGCACAAAAAAAAGGACTTGCCTTAAAGTTTTGACTACATACCCTTTCTTTTCAGAACCTTTATCCAATTATTGCTATTTCCGTGCCTTTGGGCGTTTTCGGCGCAGCTACGCTTATCGGTTTCGATGCCTTGACTTCGACGGATTTTTTCAAACATTGTGCTTCGCTTTCCTTCGTTTTTTATCCTTATATCAGTACCTTCGTCAGGTAACTTTCCATGATGGGAATATCTTTTTCTTTATGCAGAAATGTATATTTCCAAGCCCACAAATTGAATTTTGCAGCTTCTATTTTGTACGTCCGTATCGTCAATTTATCAAAAGGCTTATAAAGCGGGTCAGTGACTGCTTATTGCTCAGATTAATCAATTTTTTACTCATTCTTCTCAATTATAGCCGTGGCTTGTGTTGTTTTCGGAATTGAAAGCCTGTGAAGCACCGAAAGATTTTACTCTCTTATTATCTTTCTTAAATAATGCTCATGTTTGCAGGGTCTTCCTTTTGTTAGTCATTATATCCAAGAGAAGACGATATTCGTCGACGGCCGAACCTTATCCATTGCTCCTCTCGATGGTCTTAGTCGACGTCATTGAGCCGCGACGCGACACGCAACGCGTCAAAAAATTTTTCGCGAGTCATAGAAAAGTGGATTTTTCAATAAAAGTTCTAAATGTAGAAGTTGGCTTAATGGGCCCGAACCTAGATTATGAAAATTTTAAAAAAGCCCTTTTGCCACTGGACAAGATGTTAGAAAATACCTTTTATTCAACAAAACAAGTAAATTCATTGCTTGCGTTTTTTGATCTTCAATACGACTTCCGCGACTTTGGACTGAAAATTTTATGTGAATTTTAGTTCAAAGACAGATAAAAGGAACGAACCACATCTCCCACCGGTTGCTGCAGCAACTTGTCCACGAATTCCTTGTTCCATTTGATGCCGAATTTTTGCTTGAACTGAGCCGGCGTCAATTTGGGGTTGGCCTTGAGTCCGGCCTGAGTTTTATGATTTAAAAAAAAATTTGAAATGAGAGCTTTGTGACTGTCTAATAAGCAGTTTTCGCTTCAGGATTTCTTTAGGAGGTCTGTATATACTATTTTAAACTATAAAATGAGAAATTTTCGGTTTCACTCGACCTTTCGCGACTTTCGCGCTGCTCTATACTCCTTTAAATTTCGAGACGATGAAAATTCGGTTTCACCCGACCTTTCGCGACTTTCGCACCGCTCTGTATTCTTGTGAAGTTTGAAAAGTTACTTTCCATCCGACCTTTCGCGACTTGCGCGCTGCTCTATACTCCTTTGAATTTCGAAACGATAAAAATTTGGTTTCACCCGACCTTTCGCGACTTGCGCGCTGCTCTATACTCCTTTGAATTTCGAAACGATAAAAATTTCGGTTTCACCCGACCTTTCGCGACTTGCGCGCTGCTCTATACTCCTTTGAATTCGAAACGATAAAAATTTCGGTTTCATCCGACCTTTCGCGACTTTCGCGCTGCTCTATACTCCTTTAGAATTTCGAAACGATAAAAATTTGGTTTCACCCGACCTTTCGCGACTTGCGCGCTGCTCTATACTCCTTTGAATTTCGAAACGATAAAAATTTCGGTTTCACCCGACCTTTCGCGACTTGCGCGCTGCTCTATACTCCTTTGAATTTCGAAACGATAAAAATTTCGGTTTCACCCGACCTTTCGCGACTTGCGCGCCGCTCTATACTCCTTTAAAGTTCAAAACGACAAAATTTCGGTTTCACCCGACCTTTCGCGACTTGCGCGCTGCTCTATACTCCTTTGAATTTCGAAACGATAAAAATTTCGGTTTCACCCGACCTTTCGCGACTTGCGCGCTGCTCTATACTCCTTTAAAGTTCAAAACGACAAAATTTCGGTTTCACCCGACCTTTCGCGACTTGCGCGCCGCTCTATACTCCTTTGAATTTCGAAACGACAAAATTTCGGTTTCACCCGACCTTTCGCGACTTGCGCGCTGCTCTATACTCCTTTGAATTTCGAAACGATAAAAATTTCGGTTTCACCCGACCTTTCGCGACTTGCGCGCTGCTCTATACTCCTTTAAAGTTCAAAACGACAAAATTTCGGTTTCACCCGACCTTTCGCGACTTGCGCGCCGCTCTATACTCCTTTGAATTTCGAAACGACAAAATTTCGGTTTCACCCGACCTTTCGCGACTTTCGCACCGCTCTGTATTCTTGTGAAGTTTGAAAAGTTACTTTCCATCCGACCTTTCGCGACTTTCGCGCTACTCCATACTTTATAGCGCTCTCCAAGCTTTTCCGCTTCAGGAAAAATTAAGAAAGATTACAAAATCAGAAGAACAACGCTAAAATTAAAGGAGCAGCCTCCAAAGTGTCCCAACACGAAAACTGATATTCTTATTTGAAAAAGAAAAAAATTCCTACTATCAGTTTTTTGATGCCCTCATCCACGACCTTGACCGTCGGCTTTTCGACGCCCATATCTTTAATTTGCTGCAAGAACGATTTCAATAGATCTGAAAATTGTTCATTTAACACAAAACCACAAATCTGAACAGAAAAATAGAGAAAAAGGGAGCGCAGAGAGGCCAGAAATAACGAAGAATGATCTTTAAAAGAAAAAAACTCACCTTCCAGATTCTTCTCATAGAATGGTTTCTCGCCCCCGTCTCTCGGAGCGAAAATGTCGTAGAGGGCTGAAAAAAAGTCGATTTTCACTTGCGAACGACCCAGAAACGGTTTCCGCTCGGAAGTTATCATTTTTCAGTCTTTATACTGGCGGATTGGCAAGTTTTTGCATTTTTTGTATAAATGTAAAATTGTTCGATAAAAACTTCAAAGTTGCGCCCGACCTCAAAACGGCTGACGCCTAGCTGCATCAGGAAAAGTTGATTTTCGAAAAACAAAATCCCGGTTTTCAACATGGCTTGACAGGGGAGGTCATTTTACTTGCGTTTGGGAATTCCCTAAAAATTGGCCAGAAACCTTCTTGATGTAACAGATGAAGATCCTGAAAGCCTTAACCTGCAAAACTTCCTAGTTTTCGAGAAATAAGGCTCAGAGCTTCAAAATAACCCATTTTCATAGATTTTGAGGTTCCTTTCAACTTTGAGGCGTCTTTTCTCAAAAACGAGGAAGTAATGCAGGTTGAAATATTCAGAATCTTCTTCTGGCACATCAAGGAGCGTTCTGGCCAAATATCAGGAAATTCCCAACCGCAAAGTAAAATGTGAGCCATTCCAAATGCGGCAAAAAAAAAATGAAATCTGACCGCTCATGTTTTGGAACTCTGCGCTAGCAACAGCGCATAGAGCCAACAAGGTGAAGATTTTGAAGGCGGTCGACATTTTTGATGAAAATATGTTCTTTTTTCGTTTTTAACTTCATTTTTATATTTCAAATCCGGTGTGAAAGGCGAGTTGTATGAAAATTGCTTTCTGAGAACTTGTGTGGGCCCTTTTTCACATAGACTTTTTGGATTGGTATTGTAATTTGGGAATGGGAAGGGCCTGGAAATAATTTTTCGTAACTTTCCCAAAAATCAATCTCCACTCAATCAAATCGAAAAATGGTTTAAAATTGAGGGAAATATCAGGAAAATCAGTATTTTCTGGAAAATGTCGCTGACCGTGAAAATTGTGATTCTTTTGGCGTTTTGCGCCGTCGTTTCCTCGAGAACTATTGGGAAACGTTGTAAGTTTTTTAGGTGCTTTATTTTTTCATTATTAAACTTTATATGTATGAAAATCTGAGCTTTTTGTAGTACTGAACGCCCCACATAAAAATCTGATTAATCGAAAAAAAATTTTCAGATAAATCGAGAGCGATTGAAACCAAAGCAGGGGAAGGTCAGTTTGATGAAGGTGGGTTATATCATTTTTTGAAAAAAAAATTGGTCGCATTTGGAATGATTCTCTACGAAAGAAGGGCTAAGCGTGACGTCATTCCATCTTTTTTTCCACTTCCGAGGATCATAACTTTGTTCAGAGACCTCCAGGAAGATTTTTGAGGTCATTTTCAGAATCAGCGCGAAAAAGTTGCATCTGGTGGTCTTAGTATCATTAAAATGAGTATTTAAGCAAAGTGTACCGACCTGAAACGACTTGCGCTTTTTGGCATTGAAAACTCTTGAACCGCGACGCGTTGAGCCATTCCAATTGCGACCATAGATTTTTCAAACAGAAAATTAGTGAGATTTACAGAAAAAGTGAAACAACTCGAGGCAGAGCTGAAAAAAGCCCAAGTCGCGGAAGCTTCAACCAAAGCCGTCATTGACTTTTTCAACTTATGGCTTGTATGTCGCAAATCTGCAATATCGATACAAAAAAACGTGGATTTCAGGAAAAATTCAAGGCGTCGAAAATGACCGAGGACGACTTCAAGAAAAAGCACGAAAAAGAAATTGCAGAAGAATTCAAGAAGATTTACATGAAGTTCACTGCTTTTGACGCGGTTTCCTTCTTTTTTTCGGCTTGTTATGATAGATCCTTCGATTTCAGATCAGAGTCGCTGACGCTCTCAATAAGACGATGCCCGAAAAGAAGAAGCCCTGACTTCGGGAAAGCTGGACGCCAATTTGTTGAATTCTGAAGAGAAATAAAGGTTGTATCGTGTCGGATAGAATGGCAAAAAAATAGTTACCGCCGAGAGGAGTCGAACCTGTGTCCTGTTTGGTTCAGAGCAAAGCAACTACCATTAGGCCAACTGTAGAACTTTCGCTTCTTTATATAGGTTATTCACGGCGGGCTTGAGATAAGGATAAAAAAGGGTCTTGAAAGAGATAGTGCTTGGTTTGTGGAGAGCGCAGACAGGCCACGCCCCCTCAGAGTTCCAAGCCGTGAATTGGCTATAATGATCCACTTGAAATTTGTGAAGAAAGTTTAAATTTGGCGCCAAAAAAGCAAAGAATCTCTCTCAACCATTTTGTATATATTTTGAAAATTTCAAACGGTTGCGATAATTAAAAATTCATGAGTCCCAAAAAAAGGTATTGAAAAGGAAAATTTAGTTCCTGTAGTCTCCATAAAGTACCCGAAAAGCAGCTCAGGAACGCCAGAGTGGTCCCTAGAGGGTTTAGGGCAAAAACAATCCCTATAGTTTTATATTCGACACCTATAGGAGACGGACAAAAAGTGCCCTCTCTAGGGTTTAAAATTATGTGATCTCTATGGGGATTTTGAGTCTGACCCTCAAGCTCCTAAAGCTCTAGTGGTCTCTGTAGGGTCTTTTAATCTTTTTTGTTTGAATTTTTCGCATGGAAATTTTTTTCTCATTGAAAACAAGAATCGATTAACATGTCCCCTATAGGGACCCCTAACTAAAACTTTTGTAAAAGCAAGCTTTAGTCGCCCCTATAGGAGGAACTAAGGTGGTCCCTTGAGGGTACTTTCAAGGGCCCTTAAGGTTTTCCCTATAGCGACCACTCTAGAGTTCCTAGAAGGCAAACTCAATTTTGAGCCGTTTTTCAACATAAATCACGTTATCAAAATCTATTTGACGATATCAAATAGAGAAAAATCGAGGAAAATCGAAGTTATTGCCTAAAATTTCCTTGATGATTCTTTCTTTACTGGCCTTTCTGATGTCGTTTAGGCAAGTTATCATTATTGATCAGTGATTGAGTTTTATCACTAAAAAGATCATGGAATGATTATTTTTTCACGTAATTCAAAAACACGTGCAAATTGAACTTTTTCTCATTATTTGAAAGGCCGAGGCCGTTAAAAAAGATTCTTGTCACGAAATGAGTTTGTCAAAGATTTCTCTCTTAATTCGAGAGAATTTGGTATCAAATATAATCTTTCAAGGCTGCTGATAATGAAAAAATATTTATTTCAATATTTATTCTTTTTGGTGGTCCAAGGTGATGGTTGCAAATTAAAAAAAGGCGCAGAACGAAATTTTTTGAAGGTTATAGATTATTTTATTGTCCCAGGTGAATGATTTTATTTAGGTAGATTTTGAAAAATCAAGAATGAAGATTGAAGAGCTCAAGTTGGTCCCCCGTAAACGAGAATCAAGAATGAAGATTGAAGGGCTCAAGTTGGTCCCCCGTAACAGAGAGGTACGTTAAATTACCCCAATTTCATTGGAGTATAATTGCGCTTGACCTTCACGACATTGCTAGGGACTAGAGACAACGTAAGACGAAGAGAGTTGAGATGATCCATTCCAAGTGCGGCCACTTGGTGTTGGGTTAGGGTCTTGGACTAGAGACAACGTAAGACGAAGAGAGTTCAAAGGAGCCATTCCAAATGCGACCACTTAGGGTTGGGTTAGAGTCTCGGGCTAGAGACAACGTAAGACGAAGAGGGTTGAGATGATCCATTCCAAGTGCGGCCATGTCGTGTTGGGTTAGGGTCTTAGACTAGAGACAACGTAAGACGGAGAGAGTTGGGATGATCCATTCCAAGTGCGGCCATGTCGTGTTGAGTTAGGGTCTTAGACTAGAGACAACGTAAGACGGAGAGAGTTGGGATGATCCATTCCAAATGCGGCCACTTGGTGTTGGGTTAGGGTCTTGGACTAGAGACAAGGTAAGATGAAGAGTTGAGATGATCCATTCCAAGTGCGACCACTTGGTGTTGGGCTAGGGTCCTGGAGTAGAGACAACGTAAGACGAAGAGTTGAGATGATCCATTCCAAGTGCGGCCACTTGGTGTTGGGTTAGGGTCTTGGACTAGAGATAACGTAGGAGGAGGACAATTGAGATGAGCCATTCCAAATGCGGCCCCTTTTTTTTGTGTTAGGGACTTGGAGTACCTTGTTAACTTTCGCCAGTTTTTTCATTCTCTAGTAGCTTGGGATGACGGGTAAAATCTGAAAAACTGGCAAAAAAAAGTTAGAGCCGGCGAAAGATTCGAACTTGTGACCTTTTTTGTATACCGCTAGGCCACTACCACTGCGCCAGATATAGGAGAATTCTGGCTGATTTGGTGGGTAAAGTGAGAAGTGGATAATCATCAGAATCTTTATTTTTTGATGATTCCAAAAAAGTAACAACTGAAATACATCAATCGGGGGTAGGTACACAAAGATGATCATGATATACATCATCCACATGTGATGAGTAACCTTCCAGACAAGCAGTCGAAGGAAAGAAGCATAAACCGCCACAAGAGACGGTTTCATTGACAGCAGTGACTGAGCTGAAAATTGGACTAATAAAACTGATTATTTTGAACGGAATTTACCTGTAAGTGCTCCCCTGCACCTCGATTTTCCACTGTAACATCGGCTCAACGACCCCACACGTGAAATTTACACAGTACGGATCCGACCAAAGCTAAGATTTGCATTTCAAGAAAGATTGCGAACTTCAAAAACCATCTGAATGTCATCCAAAGTGCCGCATTTTGTCAGGTTGTAGTTGAGCATCAGCCAGATGACGTCACCAGGATGTTCTCTCTTGACCACGACGGCGTCGCTGGTGGCGTTGAACAAGTTGCAGATTGTATTGTATGAGAAGCCCTGTAATATTGACAGTTCACAAACAGAAGAATTGTTTTTCGTATTCGTACACTCTGCTATAAAAAAAAACCAGTAAGGGTCGAGGAAAAGCCATAAAGCAAGGCCTACAGTATTCTCAGTGACAGACATTCGTTTTCGCGTCGAGACCCACATTTAGAGTCTCCATTCTCTTTTGATTTATATAAGGCATTAAGAACAGTTTTTTGAATTTTTTTTGATCTATTTTATTCTTTCAGTGAGGCACAATCGGAAACATTCAGAAATCTAAGAGAAAACATTGAAACAAGATCAATGAACAAGTTTTTGGTAAATTTTTGGCGGCTTTTAATTTTTCGTGACCTTTCTCTATCGATTTTTCCATTTGAAACGCTTGGTAGACCATTATATTTCACAACACTCGATCATTGCAGAAAAAAAGTCCAAATACGACTAAATAGAAGAGGAAAAAAACAAAAACTGCGACCTACCGTAGTCTCAGGCCTCGTTTTTATTTTCGTTGCGTGACGCAAAGCGCAGAGTTTTTTCTAATTCTGATTTTTATAAGAAGGGAAGAACTATTTTTTACGATTTTTTTGACTAGATAAGTAATATCAAACAAGTATACTTCTATATTTTTTTTAAAATTTAGGTGTAAAACATTGAGAAAAAACTTCTGTGCCGTTTTTTGTGTTAATCCTGATGATTGGAGCATCTTCCCTCTTTTTTTATTTAGATATTCTGTTCTCAATATTTTCTTGAGACTCTTTTTTTGATTTTTTTAAATAGAAAAAAATAATCAGTTATATCAAGATTGGGACCAAAGAACGATAGAGAAAGGCAAAAGAATAAGTCTACAGTAATCCCAGTGGCTGACATTCTTTTTCGCGGCGAGACCCGCCTTCGGCTAGTATTTAGTGTTCTTGATTATTTTAAGGAAGTGAGACAGATTTTTCGAAGTTTTTTTGATTCAATTCATCTTATCCATTAAGTATAACCTTAGGCATTAGAAAGTTCAGAGGGAATAACTGAATTATGATCCTTAAACTGTTTTTTGTTTATTTTTTGATCTTCATAACTACTTCAGTTTTATTTTTTCCGGATTTGAGCGACTAAAAACACTGAAGACTCGTATTTTTTCATTAAAATAGGAAGGAAGCTAAAGCTTGGAGATAAGTTCAAGAGAAAGCATGTGAAAAACAAAAAAGAGGAGTCTACAGTAGCCTCAGGAGTAGCCAGTGCCTTTCGCGGCGAGACCCTGCTTTTAAAATATGCGGAAAAAAAGATCATCTGAAAGCCTTTTTTTGGTCTCATATGCAATGAATTTCAGAGATTTTTTTGAAAACGGGTATAAAGAACATTAGGCTCTTAATGAGCTTCTCTGAGCTCAAAACCCTTTTTTTAATTAGTTATGAAGCATGGAAATTTTCCTTCTGATGACTAACTATCAGACAAGATCAAACAGCGATTTCCTACTTTATCTTCATAGTTTTTTTTTTTCATGAACTCACCCAACATCCTCTCTTCTTCTGACACAAGGCCTTACAGTCGTCTTCAGATCCAATTTCTGAATGTTGCGAATCGGATCCTACACCCGTAAAGGTTCCTGTGATCAGAATATAGGACCATGAATGAGAACTTGGAAAGCTTAGCTCCAGGAGGAAAATGAGAAAAATGTGGTTAGCCGACATCCTTTTTCCTAAGGTGAAGTTTGAAAAAAACTTTTCTATGGGTAGCAACCTGAAAACCACGCCCCGTCTGGCGACGGAGTAACTATGCCTTTTTCTGTCATTTTGTTTTTCTTCTCATTTTCTTAGAAGTGACCTTTTTAAAATATTCTGGAAATTACTGACTCAGGTTTTAATTTGGATGGAGACAAAGGAAAAAATTTGAAAAATTAATGGGTTGAAAGATTTTTGAGTATATGTTTTTTTTTCAAAGTTGTCGTATCAGGCCCGATTCTCTGTTATAGTACGATTATGGCGACTTGAAAGAACGTGACATCTCTGAGCTCTCCTAGTTGATGTGCTGTTTCCATTTTTCTAGTCGGTAAGGGGACAGAGAGACGCAGACGCTCGAAAATTTTCATTTTGCAGCGAACGGACCATAAAGAACAATTTTTAAAAATAATGTCTTCAAAATGAATTTTTGCGTAGCGACATCATAGCGTTTAAAAAAATAGAACAGATCATTTTGAACACGTAATAATTGGCGAAAGGTTTGAACTTGTCTTTTTGGGTATAATGCAAAGAAATCGGGCGAATACGATACAATCGGATTTCACAAAATTTCCAATTTTTATTTACCACTAAAAAAATAAGCGAGAAAAATAAGCAACAATCAAATTATTTTGCAAACTTCAATTTGCTACGCAAATATTTCTTTTATTCGCAACGGCCTTATGATACCCTTCTGCACAAGAAGTTTGAGGGAACAAGCATATGTCATTGCACTCGTCACTTTCACTAGAAACCGTTGTTGAGCTGTAAATTTTATGATCAGGAGCTAATTACCTCTGAACCTACCTGTAAGTATTTCCCTGAACTTTAATTTGCCATTGCAACTTTGGCCAAACGTAACCGCAATTCTTGCTCTTGCAGTATGGTTCCGACCATAGCTATAATTCAGATTTCAAAAAAATTTTTGAACTTCAAAAACCATCTGGATGTCATCTATAGAACCGCACGTCGACAAGTTGTAGTTGACCATCAGCCAGACGACGTCCCCCGTATCTCCCCTGTTGACCACGACGTTGTCGGAAGTGGCGTTGAACAAGTTACAGGATGACTTGTAGGAAAAACCCTGGTAATTTTATTTGGCATTTTACATGTCGAAAACCAACCCAACATCCTGCTATGCCTTCACATAGTGTCTTACAACCGCTCAGAGATCCAATCTCTGGATGTTGTGAAACGGAACTGACACCCGTATAGGTTCCTGTGATCAGAATATAGGACCATGAATGAGAAATTGGGAAGCAAAGCTGTAGATGGAAAATTAAAAGCAAATAATGGGTCGACATGCTTTTGCAATGCTTCGAAATAACGTTTTGATGGTTAGCAACCGGGAAACAAGCGTCGGAAGAGAAATTTGCAGATGAATATTGCGATTCGAATATTTATGTCGTTTTTCAAAAAGTGTGTTTTGGATGGGAACGTGTCTGAGTCTGGCCGCGGTTTTTTTCATTTTGTTTCGATCGAATTCTTACTTTGAGGATCCAAAACTTGGCCAGTTGTGATAATTATTCTTTAAAAGAAGGAGACCCTCTCAGGCACATTTTTTTTAAGTTTCATTTTTTAGTCTGCAACGACACGGTGCGGTGATCCGTTTTTTGGATCTTATTCACAATTTTTTGCTGATAAAACTAATTTATTTACATCAGATACGTACAATCTTGGCATTTTAATCAAGTAACTGAAAATTTGAAAAGTCAGTTTTTTTTTTTGAAACTGCTGATTCTTGGCGGGTTTGTAATGAAAAACAGAAGAGGGGGGGTACCTTTTTCTGGACATTTCTATCAATCTTACAAGGGCAGAATTCCTTGATCTCTGATGAGATTTTGAAACTTGAAATGTAATTTAGGACCTACTGATCCCAGAGAGGAAAAAGAAAAATTCGAGTTGAGACGCATCAAAATACGCTTGAAATAGGGCTTTGCTGTCATGGCTTGCGTATTTTTCAAACTTTTTTTTTATATTCCTAAAAGAGTGGGTTCTAAAGTACACTTTGGAAAAGTGTCATCAAGAGTTGAAGGAATTTTTTCGAAAGAAAAATTGACAACAAAGTTTTTCTATAGAGTACGATTCAAGTTGATATGCAAACAGATTTACCAAAGACCACTTGCGCTAAATGTCCTTCTGTGCAAGTTAAATTAGGAAAGGTGCATCTGCCTCCACAAGTGACATTTTCATTAGGAGCGACGATTGTGCTGAAAATGAGACTAGGACTTTATTTGGCAATTTATTTAATTACCTGAAAGTGTCGCCGCCAGTTTCAATTTTCCATTGTAAGACTGGCTCAACGAATCCACAAGTGAAGTTTTGACACCAGGGTTTCGACCAACGCTGAGATTTTGGATTCAAGAAGAAGACATCTATAGTAACCATTTCAATGTCTTCTAGAGTACCGCATGAAGTCAGGTTGTAGTTGAGCATCAGCCAGATGTAGTCGCCGGAATGATCTCTTTCGACGACGACGTTGTCGACCGAGGCGTCGAACACGTTACAGGCGCTGGTTTGAGGGTCGTATGACAGGCCCTAGGAAAATAGAGTGGTTTATAGGGAAAGGTAACGAGAATGTTTGAGGAATGAGACTTCACAAAGGAAGTTTCTTTGGTGGCTGATTGAAATTTCGCTAAATCTTGGCTGTGATTCACTGTAGAATTTTTTCGAACATACGCAAAGTCGGAAAAGGTGAAAAGAGGCTCCATAGAAAAGTTCCCTTTTTTGCAGCCTTTTTGCGCCAATTCATCAGCTCTTATACACCATTTTTGCTGCCATTCTTATTCTCCACCATCTCTTGAAACTAGATAAATCTAGAAACAATGAAAAACTCGGTGAAGAGACTATTTTTGCTACCTTTGTGAAGCCATTTTTGAGCCTCTCTTGTTTGACGATCATTTTTCACCATTCTGAATTTGCCCGAGACCTCAGAGCAAGAAAAAAAACTTTTACACCTCATACTTTTGAAAAAAAATCTTACAAGTTCCATTTTTTCAGGGCTAGAAGCTTTATTTCCCTCAACATCTTTACCATAATTTAAAAAAAAACCAACCCAGCATCCTTTCAGCCCAGGACACATATCCTTGCATTCGCTTTCAGATTCAATTTCTAAATAGGGAGACTGATTTTCTACACCTGTATAGGTTCCTCTGATGAGAATGTAGGACGCTGAATCAAAGATTGGAAGAAGCTTCAGAAGAAAAACAAGGAGGAAGTAGTGAGCCAACATTTTTTGGAAGTGAGAGGGTAAGAAAAACGGAGTCGTTTCTTGGCAGATTTTTCTCTTTTTTTCGTTGTTTTGGTTACTCTTTTTTTGTGAAACTATAAATTAAGAAATTTCTCAGACCTCTATGGTGCTTTTCCGATGACTTATTTCTACGAAATTTCGAGGGAAGGTTAGCCTGAAATGTTACCAAAAACCATTCAGTTAATGGTAGTAATTTACTAGTCCGGCTTGAAACAGTCTTTTTTGGACCTTACTGCGTTTCTATGACCTCGTGGGTGAGAGAAAAGAGAGCGCAGACGTTTCAGACTCTTTTAAATAACTCATCTTTTGAACTTCAAACCTTTTTGTATTTGCGGTTGCTAACTTTGATAGAAAGTTCATTTTATTCCGCGAAGGGATCATGAATAGTTATGACTGGGTAAATTCAACAAATATTTTCGTATTTTATTGGTTAGTGTCTGAAATACAGACAAAATCTCCATAGAGAGGATCGAAAGTCTTGTGATATCCTCCCAAACAAGAAGTCGAATTGGAACTGCTACCGCACACGCCGCCACATGAAATGGTCGAATTGGTAGTCAAGGCAACACTAAAATTAGAATAAACCATACGTTTACTCATTATGATACCTTAGATTATTGCCTACCACGTTGATTTTCAATTGAAACGTCGGCTGAACCACCCCACACGTAAAACTTATATAATATGGTTTCGACCAAATCTGAACTTGCCACTCCAAAAGAAAAGGAACAGTTTGTCAGAACCATTTGAATGTCTTCAAAAGAAGCGCACGTCGTCAAGTTGTAGTTGACCATGAGCCATATGACGTCACCAGAATCTCCCCTTTTGACCATGACGTCATCGGCGGTGGCGTTGAACAAGTTACAGGATGATTTGTAGGAAAAGCCCTGAGGAAGTTGAGAAAGAAATTTTAACATGGACTTTGGGAAGAAAACTATTTAAAAATTGTTACAATCATGACTTTCCTTTCATGAAGCTTGTATAGAGCCTCTAACTTAGGATTAAATTAGATCTTGCGATTTTCTACATTTCCTTCAAATTTTTTTTATGAACCTACCCAACATCCTCTCTTCTTCTGACACAAGGCCTTACAGTCGTCTTCAGATCCAATCTCCGGATGTTGAGAATCCGATTTCACGCCCGTAAAAGTTCCTGTGATCAGAATATAGGACCATGAATGAGAACTAGAAAAAGAAAGCTCCAGGAAGAAAATGAGGAGTAAATAGGAAGCCACCATGTTCTCAAAATGAGAGGCTTTCGAATAAAACTTCAATGGGTAGCGACAGTGAATCCTGCTTTTTTTAATGTATGGAAATGTTCCTCCCATTTTTCTTAATCGCCTTTCTTATTAATTAAATTGGTTTTTCCGATTTTGATAAATTTCAAACAACTTATGAAGCTTTATTCCTTCCTGAAATAGCGAGGATTTCAAGAAAAAGCTTAGCAACACGTTTGCATTGTTGAAGGTGCGCAAACGAATTTTCCGTAGCTGTACGGCATTACTGCATAGCCTGCATCGCAAGATGTTGCTCCGAATAACATACGCCAGCACAGGAGACGCTTCCGTTAGCAGTACGAGCGGCTCTAAAACCGAAACTTATCATATCAATGATAGAGAGATCTACCTGAACTTGTCGTTGTCAACAATAATTTTCCACCTCACCACTGGCAAGTAGACTCCACACGTTAAACTTTGACAGTAGGCTTTTGACCAGGTCTGATAAGGAAGCTCATTTGAGTTTTTGGTTGGGAATTCGCCGGATAATCCAGGTGAAAGCCGACTTTCACCTGGATTATCACCTGGATTTCAAACTGCACAATGTTTTATGTTCTGAGAAAGGACATCTCAAAGTCAAATAAAAGCATCAAAATCCGTTTAAACACGCTATTTGGATCCTTTACGCCCATTCAAAAACTAATGAGCTGTGCAAGTTGTGTCTGTGAGAACCTGAAGTGTTCCGACCAGTTTTTAAATTTTCCAAGTTCTTTGTGAACTTAGAAGTGTGAAAAAGCAGGACAGTTATAAAAACCATTTCGACGTCCTCCAGTGACGTACACGTCGTAATGTTGTAGTTGATCATCAACCAGATGATGTCACTAGAATAGTCTCTGTTGACCACGACGGTGTCGGCAGTGGCGTTGAAGATGTTACAGATGGTTGTGTATGAGAAGCCCTGTATCGTAACACAATTATTTTGTAGAAATGGAATGAAACAAGCTTTACTTAGTAAATTTATTTTGGTCCTACAAAGCTTTGAATGAAACCATTTGGAGCAGAAACTTATAAACGTTGAATGGGACCGAATAGAACTCGTCAATTCGAATTTTGAGACATATTTGTTATCACATAGGATATGATTTTATTTTAGAACTTCAAACAAGTAGTAATCAGCGCGTTTTGGTCTTGCCGACTTTTGAGTAAGACGATTTGACCCAGAAATTCATGAAGAACCGAATGGTATAAGGATCAGACCAGTTTGAGAAAGTTCTTTCCGTAAAAACTCACCCAACATCCTGCTTTCTTCAGACAAAATGTCTTACAGTCGTCCTCAGATCCGATTTCCGGATGTTGCGAATCGGAACTTACACCCGTGTAGGTTCCTCTGATTAGGACAAACGAATTTGAATCGCAACCCAGGAAAAAATATTCCGAAAGAAGAAATAAAAGGGAATAACGAGCCAACATGTCCTGTCGGTTTCAAATATTGCTCTGATGGTTAGCAACCGTGAAATGCTTTTTTTTTATTTATAACCTGCCGAAAATCGTCATCGAGCATCAGAAAGGTCTTTGTCCCTTTATGATGGATCTTTAAATAGCCATTCCAACTAGCGAAGCTTTATTTTCGCAATATTCATGGACATTGGTCATTTTTTATAACTCAACAATTGGTTCCGGAAGACAAGCAGCGTCGGCATATCCCTTTTGTGGGATCATTCTGTAGCCTGATTCGCAAGGTTCTTTTGGCCAAAAACACATGCCGCCACAGTAGATTGTTTCGTTGGGAGAGGTGATTGCACTAAAAAATTGATACGTTAGATTTTAATCATTTATCTTACCTGAACTTGTCATTTTCAACGGAAATTTTCCACTGCAAAACCGGCTTGTAAACTCCACACGTTAGACTTTGACAGTAAGGTTTCGACCAAATCTGAAATCCCTAAACAAAATGTTTTCTCTTTCTTGGAACCATTTCGATGTCTTCCAGAGAGCCGCACGAGGTCAGGTTGTAGTTGAGCATCAGCCAGATGACGTCACCAGAATCTTCCTTCTTGACCACGACGTTGTCGGTGGTGGCGTTGAACAAGTTACAAGTAGTACTATAGGAGAAGCCCTGATAAAAATGGGGGCTGGATGAAGGGTGAAATCGGAAAGCCGAAAAAGTTCCTTCGTCCAGAAATCTTTTTCAGACTTTTGGATAACATGTCTGTTAATTTTTCCATGAGCTATTCAGTCTTGAGCTCTAGGAACATGGCTTTTTTTGTCTCCGCTTTGTTTTCTTCCACTAGAATGGTCATAAGAGCGCGAAATCATAGCCGAGGAAGGAAAATACGTGGAGAAATCATTCTATTTAAATTATGGTGAATGGATCAAATGAAGCTTTTTCTTTCAAGCAATTTACATTTCGGATTCATACCCTTTTTCATCAAACAAATTCATTTTTAAAAAACCAACCCAACATCCTCTTTTCTTCTGGCACAAGGTCTTACAATTGTCTTCCGAACTGATGTTCTGATATTGATACTCAGGGGATACACCCGTATAAGAGCCCTTGATCAGAATATAAAAGAATGAATGACAAGTTGGAAAGCCAAGCTCTAGAAGGAGAATAAGGAGAAAGGAGTTGGACAGCATGTTTTACAACTGAAAAAGTTTTCCAAAAATGTTTTATGGTTAGCGACAGCAAAGGCCGGCCGCTTTTGGTTTCTTTTTCTAATCGAGATGGAAAAAAAAAAACAAAACTTCAATATCAGGTTCATTATTTCAATGGGTAAATTAAAAGCTTATTCAAATTTATAGAATTCTGTAACGCAAACGAGTTGTTTATATTGTGAGTTGAAACTCTGGTATAATCCGTCCATGCAACTTGTAAGCGGGTATTTTCGAACGCCGCCACATAAGAGAGTGTCGTTGGGAAATGTCCTTGCACTGTAAAACGTTTCAAAAATCAAATATGTATTATTATTAAATTTACCTGAACTCGTTGCCATTGACGTCGACTATCCAATGCAACATTGGCTCAGCCTCTTCTTCCAATGTCTGACAGTATGGTTTGGATAAGATCTGAAATTCCAACCTTCAAAGAAATAAATATTCCTCAAGACCATATCGACGTCTTCCAAAGAACCGCAAGTCGTCAAGTTGTAGTTAATAATCAGCCAAATGACGTCACCAGAATCTTTTCTGGTTACGGAGACGTTGTCGGTAGTGGCGTTGAACAAGTTACAGACTGTTTTATACGAGAAGCCCTGATGGAAATATCGTAATTGAATTGGGAAGAGACGAACATAGAAGAACTATCGAGTTCAAAAATATTTACTAAAAACCAACCCAACATCCTCTTTTTTTCTCGCACAAAGTTTTACAGTCGTCTTCGGATCCTATATCAGAGAATTGTGCAGAAACATTGACTCCAGTGTAAGTTCCTTTGATACGGATGTAGGAAAATGAATCACAACTTTGAAAGATAATTTCAAAGACAAGGAATACAAATAAATATCGGGCCAACATTTTCTTAAAAACAAGAAGCACTCAAATAGTGCTTTGGTGGGTAGCAACCGCTTGATGGCCTCTTTGGCCCTTTTTTAGTCTTTGGAAAGAAAATAAGAAAATTTCGGCGATTAGTTCAATTTTTTATTATTTTTTGTTCACATGAATTTTTATTTGTTTTTTCTTTTCAATCTGTTTACCTTTGCTTGATTTTGTTTTTTTTTATTGAAGTTTATTGGAATGTGTAGAACTCTGTAACGCAAACGAGTTCTTTATACTGCATGTCTGCAGTTTTGTATAATCCGTCCATGCAGCTTGTAAGCGGGTATTTTCGAAGGCCGCCACATGAGAGAGTGTCATTGGAAACTTTCCTTGCACTGTAAATCAGTTCCAAAATCAATTATGTATGATTATCAAATTTACCTGAACTCGTTGCCATTGACGTCGACTATCCAATGCAACATTGGCTCAGCCTCCTCTTCCAATGTCTGGCAGTATGGCTTGGATAATATCTGAATATCCAATCCTCGAAATGGTAAGTATTCCGCTAGAGCATTTTGACGTCTTCCAAAGGACCGCACGAAGTCAGGTTGTAGTTGAGCATCAGCCAGATGACGTCGCCAGAAAATTCCCCTTTGACGAGGACGTCGTCGGTGGTGGCGTTGAACAAGTTACAGATTGTATTGTATGAGAAGCCCTGTCAAAAGTGGGCAAAGATAGGCTTCAAAAATTTTGAAGGCTCTGGCTTATATTTTCGATTTTTCTTCTAAAGTTCGCTTTGGTGCACGTAACTTAGTAACATAGACTTTTTTTCAAGAAAAAAAAGTTTAATAACTGACCCAACATCCTCTTTTCTTCTGACACAACATCTTACAGTCTTCTTCCGATGCGATGTTTGTAAATTGTGAAGTTTCGTTAACACCAGTAGGACTATCGAATTCAAAAATATTTACTAAAAACCAACCCAACATCCTCTTTTTTTTCTCGCACAAAGCTTTACAGTCGTCTTCGGGTCCTATATCAGAAAATTGTGCAGAAACATTGACCCCAGTGTAAGTTCCTTTGAATCGGATGTAGGAGAATGAATCGCAACCTTGAAGGATAATTTCCGAAAAAAGGAATAAAAATAAATAACGAGCCGCCATTTTTTCAGAAGTGAGAAGCTCTCAAATAATGCTTTGGTGGCTAGCAACCGATTGATGGCGTTTTTTGGCCTTTTTCCAGCGTTTGGCTGGAAATTCATAAACTTTTCAATGTTTCAAATTTATTTGTTCTGCATGGGGTCTCCGATTAGTTTTACTTATATTTATTTATTTACATAAACTTCCAATTTTTTTAAAAAGTTTTTTTCTGTTCAACCTGTTTACCTTGGCTGGAGTTTTCTTAATTTTTCTATTCGAAGTTTATTGGAATGTGTAAAATTCTGTTACGCAAACAGCCTGTTTATACTGTGTGTCAACATTTTTGTGAAGCCCGTCCGCGCAAGAAGTTTGCGGGAATACACGATAACCACCACAGGAAAGCGTTCCGTTGGAAATTGTCCTTGCACTGTAAACCATTAAAAAACTTCAACGGTGGATGTGAATCGTTTGAATCCACCTGAACTCGTTGCCGTCAACGTCGATTTTCCAATGTAACATCGGCTCAATCGCACCCGATACGATTGTCTGACAGTATGGTTTTGACCAGATCTGAATTCTTAACCTTGGAAAGGTACGAATTCCTTAAAACCATCTGAATGTCTTCTAAAGAACCGCACGAAGTCAGGTTGTAGTTGAGCATCAGCCAGATGACGTCGCCAGAAAATTCTCCTTTGACGACGACGTCGTCGGTGGTGACGTTGAACAAGTTACATACTGCATTGTACGAAAATCCCTGTCAAAAGTGGGCAAAGATAGGTTTCAAAAGTTTTGAGGATCGTGACACATATTTTCAAATTTTCTTCGAAAGCTCGCTTTGGTGCATCACTCTCACATATCACTCAGTAACTCAGGCTTCTTTTTCAAAAAAAAAAAACAAGTTTAAAAACTGACCCAACATCCTCTTTTCTTCTGACACAACGTCTTACAGTCATCTTCCGATGCGATATTTGAGAGCTGTGAAGTTTCATTAACGCCAGTATAACTTCCTTTGAATCGGATGTAGGAAAATGAATCGCAACCTTGAAGAATAATTTCCAAAAAAAGGAATAAAAATAAATAACGAGCCACCATTTTTTCAAAAGCGAGAAGCTCTCAAATAATGCTTTGATGGTTAGCAACCGCACAATGGCTTTCCCATATGTTATTTTTTTTCAGAAGAGACAAATGTCATATATTTTGTTCAGCTTATAATTGTCACTCAAAATTTCACTAGGATCAGTGAGAATTGCAAATAAAAAACGGATTCTCAAATTTCCCTTTCCCAAGCAGTTCTGTTCTCAAGGAGTTGTTATTTTTCCCCTTCGTTCACAACTTCCAATTTAGATTCGATTATGTCTTTCCCAATACTTGTAGGGTTTAAAAGAAGCGTTTGAGTTTATAATTCACAGTTCAGTCGAAAATGTCGGCTTCAGTCAAAATTCTGACCCTCCTCGCCTTTTGCGTCGTCGCGAGTGAAGCCCTCCACAAAATCTCTGGTAATTTTTTGAATATGCCTTTTTTTCGAAGAAGTGCTGTTTTTTCAGTGAGAGTCAATAACGGATACACCACCACTTCTCACTACGATGAAGAAGCGCTCAATGGTTACTGGAATATTTTATTTTGGAATTCAAGGCTCTATAGTCAATGTTTCCCGACTTGAAAGGCGATAGAGGCGACTCAGAGGGCGGGACGCGTTGCGTGTGCGTACGCGGTCCTTGACACGAGTTCAATTCAACCGCCAGCGACTGTTTGGAGTGATCGTTTATCGCTCTTTTCATTTCTTTTCTAAACTATTTATTGATTTTCTTCATGTGTGCATCAAAAAAATGGTAGAATAGGTACAAAAAGAGCGATAAACAAGCACTCCAAATAGTCGCTGGCGGTTGAATTGAACTCGTGCCAAGAACCGCGTACGCACACGCAACGCGTCCCGCCCCCTGTCCCGCCCCTCGCCTATAAGGACGGGATATATTGACTATAACTTGAAATGACTGAGCAACACTTGGTTTACCTCTACGCGCTCTTCGAAATATCCATCTTTATGAATCCTTTTAATTATTCCGCGCGCAAGTAGTTTTACAGTCGGCTGCATCTCTCAGCTACTACACATACATTCCTTAAAACAATATTTTTTCTAGAAAGACGCCGGGAAAACGCGAGATTAATGAAAAAGGCCGGCGTTTCACAACTCGCCATCGACGCCCTGGACGGATTTGGCCGAAGATTCCAAGTGGATCCGTCATTTTTATCTTCCCTAAAGTCATCTAACCACAGGACCTTTACAAACAAAACCCGACCCTAACTGAGGTCGAATATTTCGAGAAGTTCGGCGAGTCGTACTTTGGACAACTATTCGAGCTTGTCGGATATTTCCCATCAGGCGACCGGGTTTGTGGATTTTTTGACTTTAAAGACAAATGATCCGATTTCAGCTGAGAATCGGCCGAGTTTTCGGAGACAATTTGAACAGAGCTCGCGCAGGAAAGCCAAGCAGCGCTGGAACGAAACCTGCACGCCCTTGAAAGATCAATTTTCGAATAAACTTTTGCTGGAAGACATTTTGCTCTGTTGAATTTTTGTCCACAATAAAATATATCGATGAAGGAAAATTGCAGCAACATATACTACAACAGTGGGCAAGGGAAACTTGTTTTTGTGAAAGATCGCAACCGCAACGCGCTGAGACATTCCAAATGCGGTCTGTCAACTTAAATAAACTAAACAGTTCAGGTCACGGATCGCGCGAAAAATAAAAAAGAGCTCTAGAAAAATGTTATTTTAAGGTCATGAGACATAGGGGAAAAATCGAAAAAATCATTTTTTAAATACGAAGCAAAAAAATGATTCAACTTTAATTTCAATCGTAACAGTGGGCTCTATCCGTGCACCCGACTAAAAAGCGACTTGCGCCGAATCTATCAAAAATCATAAGCAAGTTCTTTTTTTTTCATTAAGTTTGTTTCATAAAAAGTGAAATGGGAACATCAAGTTTCATGGATAGAAAACCTTCGGTCAAATTTTGATTTGTCGTAATTTTCTCAACGTGACCGCATTGCGTCAAGCCCTTCCAAATGCGACTTCGGTTTTTTTGATCTTCAAATAATGAAGAGCATGTATCTAATGTCTTTATACGTTCATATTTTAGTTCAATATAATTTGAGAAACAAGATGAATTCAAGTATTCTCGGACTTTGGTAACGCAAAACGGACGTGCTCCGGACGCTTCTGTGCATTTTCTAGTGGACGCTTTAGTAGCGTCAGAGCTTTTAAGTGATCCCTAGAAGGGCTCAGACACGTCCGGAGCACGTCCGTTTTGCGTTACCGATGTCCGAATTACTTTATTCTCATCTTCTTCTTCTTCTTCTTCTTACGCCTTTGTACCGCTTGAGCGGCGTCGGCGCCCCAAGTCGATTAGCCGAGGTCCTATCCTGATATCAGTGGACTGGCTTTAGTGACATATCCGTCCTTGTGTGTGACGGCTGCGGATTTTGAAGTCGTGGTTTCCCACTACCAACATTTCTTAAACCCCTTGGTTGGGTCGGGGCGGGGATCGAACTTGTGACCCTGTGGACCGTAGACAGGCACACAACCTGTTGCGCTACGGCGCGCCCCAATTACTCTATTCTCATAATCACGTTTATTCCGATATGATTTTTTAATTTTATAAAATTCTCTAGTTCACGTGATGAAGCTTCCGTGCACGATTTCGCTTTGAATATCAGTTCAGATCTAAAATTTCCCTCTCCCAAAAAATTCTGCTCCCATAGAGTGGTTAGCTTCTTCTGTTCCCAAGTCCCAATTTGAATCCCATTCAGCTGTTCCCAACCTCCGATTAAGCCTTGTAGGACTTAAAAAGGGGCAGCTACGATGAAAATACACAGCTCCGTCGAAAATGTTGACTTCCGTCAAAATTCTGACTTTCCTGGCGTTTTGTGTCGTCGCGGGTGAAGCTATTAGCAGAATAAGTGGTGAGTTTTTTAGATTTTGATGTCAAAATGTACTTTTTTGATGATAGGATCATTAAAAAGATATTGATTGGAATTTTTTAGTGAAAGTCGATGGAAAGTACACCGTCAGCCATTACGACGAGGAAGCGCTCAATGGTTTTAAATTTACCTTTTTTGGAATATTGGATAGTTTTTTTTCGTGTGCTTCTGCTAGCTTTTCACCAATCACTCTGGATTTTTTTTTTTTGAGTTTTCGCGCAAGTAGCTTCACAGTCGGGTGCGCTTTTCCAAAGCTGCAAAATTTACCTTTTTTGGAATTTTGAAAAGTTTTTTTTCCTGTGCTTCTGCTAGCTTCATACGAATCATTTTGGATTTTTTTTTTGGTTTTTCGCGCAAGTAGTTTCAAAGTCGGGCGCACTATTCCAAAGCGGCTTATCATACTTCTTGTAAAGATAGTTACACTTTTCCAGAAAGACGCCGGGAAAGTATCAGAGCATTGAAACAGGCCGGCGTTTCCCAATTCGCTCTCGACTCCTTGGAAGGATTCGGCAGAAGATTCCAAGTAAATCCAACTTTTTCCCATCCCTCTAAAAATCATCTAACCTCAGGACCTTTACAAAGAAAACCCCAACCTAACTGAGGCCGAATATTTCGCCAAGTTCGGTGAATCGTACTTTGGAGACCTGTTCGAGCTTGTCGGACATTTCCCGCCAAAGGACAGGGTTAGTGGATTTTTTGATCCTTTGTATTGAATGATAATTTCAGTTGAAAATCGGCCGAGCCTTCGGAAAACATCGGATCAGATTGGCTCAAGAGTCCACAAACACGAGATCAAAACCTGCAGGCCGTTGAAACTTTCGAATAAAGTTTAGCTGTAAAGAAGTTTTTTTGATTTGAAATATTCAGAGAAGTGTTTGAACAAAAGAAAACAGAAGAGGAGAAAAAAGTTTTCCAGAAAGTTGGCCTTCTTGATGTGCCAGAAAAAGATCCTGGAAGTCCCAAGCTTCAAAAAGCATCCTCTTTTTCTGAAAAGGCTCAAGATTCAGGGTTCAAAAATCCGAGAAAGGACGTCGTAAATTTGAGGAAAACTATAAAATTCCGTTGGAAGCCTTTCTTGAAGTTTGAGCTTCAGATCTGAAAAGTTGGGAATTCTTCGCAAGTTGGGACTTGGGACTTCTAGGGCCTTTGTCTAATTTTTGACTTTTTTCAACTCTCCCCGGCTAAGTACAATGAATTCCCTTGTCAAAACGGAAGAATCAAATATTTTGAGAAAATTGAAGCTTGTTGCTGTTTGGAAACATAGAGTGACGCGCAAGTCGATGAAAGTTGGACGCAGAATAAAGCATTTGGCTCGTAGTCGTGAAGGATCCATTCCTCTTCCGCCAAGTGAAAACAAGAAATGATTGGGACATAGGAGCTTGGGACATAATGGAAATTATAAAGTAAATGGAGGTTCTTGAAATCTTGGTATGATCCAATGGTGAAAGGCAAAAAAAGAAAAATTCTACCTGTTCAAGATACAGGTAACTTACGGACATCACCTTTTTTTCAAGCGAAAGATTTTTGATTTCAATAGGTCGCATCCTTTTTAGGCCTGAAATAATTTCCATGTTAACTTTTTAATCAAGGTTCGATTTTCAGGGATCTCACCGTTGAATGGGATGAATACCTAAGATTTGTACTATATACAGTGTTCTTGTATGAAGTGTATTCTTCCTGGGACTTTTTGGAGATGAAACAAGTGTTATTTGTAACATATTGGTGGGAGTTCAGTTTGCAAGAAATGAAAGCGCAGCTCAGAAAGATTCAGGAAGATTGAGCTCTATACAAGGAAGATGTGAGAAAAATCTTTTCTGTATTCTAAGTACTTTCAAACATCGAAAGAGCGCCAGATGAAGGCGCAAGTGGAATGGCTACAAAGCTTTTTTGTTCTTGCACCCGACTTGAATTGACTTGCGCATCGCTCTGGGTTTATAGACATCAGCTAGCTTCAACTTGCCCACTTGGAAGAAGATCTTTATCTAAACTTTCAGAGGAAAGAAACTTTCGATCTCACTCACTTCTCACTAAGAATTTTGAGACGAGAAGGTTCGAGAAAGCGCAAATTCTCGACCTTTTCGCAACACTCTGGTGGGTTGATATGAGTGGTGCGTGTGCGAAGCGGCTTTAGATGGGATAAAATGTAGAAAAGTAACATTGTTATACTTTTATTCGTTCGACTAAATATTTTTCTGGTTTACCCGCCAAGAGCCGCGTCGCACACGCAACGCTTCACCCTTACCCATCTCGCCTCACTACTAGTCAGAATTTCGATGGCAGCCGACATTTCCGACTGAAGTGTGATTTCACGAGCCGAACCGCTCTTTTTAAACCCTGTGAGACTTGGTAACATGTTGGGAACGGCAGAATTGAGTTTTGATTGGGGCTTGGGTGCGTGACGGCTTCATGGGAGCGACGTGTGGGAGTTGGAATCTACCGTAGTGTCCCAAAAAACTAGTAGTGAGGGATAGTCGGGGGTTTACACAACTTACGGTGGATTCCAACTCCCACACGTCGCTCCCATGAGGCCGTCACGCTCCCAAGCCCCAATCGAAACTCAATTCTGCCGTTCCCAACATGTTATCAAGTCTGCCCGGGTTTAAAAAGAGCGGTTCGGCTCGAGAAGTCACACTTCAGTAGGAAATGTCGACTGCCGTCAAAATTCTGACTCTTCTGGCTCTTTGCGCCGTCGCCACGGCGAAAATCCATTCAATCACTTGTAAGTCTTTCCATTGGAGGAAACGCTTTGAATTGATCTTTTCCAGTTGAAATCGAAGATGGAGTCGTCCGGCCAGTCTCCAAGGACCAGTTCGATAGCGCCAGGGAGCTCGGTTCGTTTTGAAGGCCTATGGAAAAAATAGCTCATCGATTCACAGCCGAGATCGAGGAGTTCTTGAAAGGACTGAAAGAGCTCGGCATTTCGCAGTACTCGCTTGCCGTGATGACGAGCTTTGCCGCAGAATACTACGTGAATAACCTACTCAACTTCCTGAGACATCCATGTTCCTATTTAGCAACTACGCAGCCAGAACGCTGACCTGAGCGAGGAGGAATTCTTGGCGAAATATTCTGTTACCGTCGTGGAAGGTCTTCGAAAGGCCTTAAAGACACTCCCGGATGGCGACCGCGTTTGTTGATTTCACAGCTTTCCGATTTCAATCATCGTGATTTGAGGAGAAAGTCCAAGCATTCTTACGCCAAAAGCTCATAGATAAGGGAATCGCGAAGATCTTTAGAGCCTATGAGAATAAAGGCGTCGCCAAGGGCCAAGGTTACGACGCGGCTGATATCACAGGTCAAGTTTCTCCAAGCGCAAGTCGTTTAGAAGTCGGCTGCATTGCCCATTTTTGAATCTTTAAGATGCGATTTACTTACTCAATTCCCATCATGATCCGCTTTTTAATGCCTCCAAGCGCAAGTCGTTTAGAAGTCGGCTGCATCGTTCATTTCTAAAAATTCAGGACGCACGCTCAATTTTCATTTTAGCTCCTCTTTTAATGCTCCCAAGCGCAAATCGTTTGAAGTCGGCTGCATCGCCAAAATTTTTGAGATGCGAATTACTCACTCGATTTTCATTAAGATCCCCTTTTTTAATGCCTATGAGCGAAAGTCGTTTAAGGTCGGCTGCATCGCCAAAATTTTTGAGACGCGAATTACTCACTCGATTTTCATTAAGATCCCCTTTTTTAATGCCTATGAGCGAAAGTCGTTTAAGGTCGGCTGCATCGCCAAAATTTTTGAGACGCGAATTACTCACTCGATTTTCATTAAGATCCCCTTTTTTAATGCCTATGAGCGAAAGTCGTTTAAGGTCGGCTGCATCGCCAAAATTTTTGAGACGCGAATTACTCACTCAAATTTCATTAAGACCCCCTTTTTAATACTCCCAAGCGCAAGTCGTTTAAAGGTCGGCTGAATCGCAAAATTTCAAAAATTCAGACGGCAGGATTTTTTTGGGTCCTCTTTTAATGCTCCCAAGCGCAAGTCGTTAAAGGTCGGCTGCATTGTCCAATATTTGAGATGCGAGTTGCTCACTCAGTTTTCATTTAGACCCGCTTTTTTAATGCTCCCAAGCGCAAGTCGTTTAAAGTCTGCTGCATCGCCCATTTCCAAAGCTCATCCCACTACCATAACCGCCTTCTTTTCAGCTAGAAGAGAGCAAGTCTTGAAAGAACTGAAGGAAGCTGGAGTTACTCAAACCGCCATCGGTGAGTTGGACAAGCTGGGCAAGAAATATCAAGTAAAAAAATTTTTTATTTCCCCACGAAAAAATGGTTCAATCACAGCAAATCTACAAACAAAACCCGACCCTCACTGAGGAGGAGTTCTACGGCAAGTTCGGCCAGAAATACTTTGAGGAGTTCTTCCGACTCGTGGCCACTTTCTCGGAAAGTGACAGGGTTCGTTTTTCAATCAAAGAAGCCTCAAAGTAATTATTTCTTTTTAGACCAAAGTGAGCCGAGTCGTCGGCTCCAGACTGTCCCGCAGAATTGCGAGATCCAAGGCTCCCCGACGCTTCTGAATTCCCTCTTTTTGAATAAAATAGTCTGGATATGATAGAATTTTCACTTGCACTGAAATCAAAACCGAAAGATGCAAAAAGAAGCTCGAAAAACAAGAAAAGGTTTGAAAAATGCAGAAAATTTGAAATCGCTCTGAAAGAAATGTTGAGCAAATTTAATGGATTCCCGCTTAAAAAGTAACTTTCAGAATGGACAGAATTTTGATTCACCTGTGGATAATTAGGGGAAGAATGAAAATGAAACTTTTGACAGAAAAAAATCGAAAAAAATGCTACTAAAATGGAAAAAAATGACTTTTAGAGACCACATTTGTGAGGTTTTAAAGACTAAATTTAATTTTTTTGAAGCTTATTTATGTTCTGAAATAATTATTTGGAGATTGAATTTTGAAAAAGTCATGACATTGACTTCAAAAAAAAACAATTAATAAATAAAAAAAAATGAAGCCTTCAATTTTTTTTTTGACACTCAGAAAGTCGTTTTCAATGAAAAATGATTTTTTTCTCATTCTGTCGAGTTTTCTCATAATAATTATAATCGGACTGAAATCGTCTAACAGAATCGCAACACAGAAATGGCTCTTTTTGAATGAAATTTGGCTGAATTTTCTTCTGAACTTTAATATGAAGGGGCATGTAGACAAAAGAAAATTATGACAATTTTAAACGGTGGAAAAATTTCGAGGTTCGAAGGATAACTCTCTAAAAAGATATTAAAAGAGTTCTAAAAAGTTTCGTGACATTTGAGGAGTATGTACCCCCCCCTCCTTCTCTTCAGGCGCCCCCTCCACTTCTTCGGGTGCCCCCTCTTCTGCTCTTTCCAAAGAACAATCAAAAAAATGCAATTATATCAGTACTACGGGGGTGGAGGGGGCGCATTAATAATATGTGGATCATCAGACATCATCTCTTCTTTCCCATAGACAAATTGACTTCTCCACGCTCCCAAGTCCCAATAGAAACTCGATTTTATCGCTCCCTACCTCGAAAAGTTTATAAGGACCTGTTCTCTCAATGATTTACTATTCAGTTGAAAATGTCGACTGGCCTCAAAATCCTGACTCTTCTGGCTCTTTGCACCGTCGTCACGGCAAAAATTTGGACAATCAATGGTGAGTTTTGGTTTTTTGAAGTTGTGGGAAGTTTAGAATGTTGAAGAAGTTAGGAGAAGTTGGGAGATGTTCGAAATTTGACATTTTGGAAGTTCAGAAGTTAGACGACGTTAGCAAAAGTAAGAAGAAGTTAGAAGAAGCTAGAAAAAGTGAGAAGAAGCTAGAAGACGTTAGAAGAGGTTGAAAGAAGAAGCTAGAAGAAGGTAGAAGAAGGTAGAAGAAGCTAGAAGAGGCTAGAAGAGGCTAGAAGACGTTAGAAGACGTTAGCAGAAGTAAGAAAAGCTAGAAGAAGCTAGAAGAGGTTAGAAGAGGTTAGAAGAGGTTAGAAGAAGTTAGAAGACGTTAGAAGAAGTTAAAAGAAGCTAGGAAAAGCCAGGAGAATCTAGACGACGTTAGAAGTACTTAGAAGGAACTAGAAGAGGTTAGAAGAGGTTAGAAGAGGTTAGAAGAAGTTAGAAGACGTTAGAAGAAGTTAAAAGAAGCTAGGAAAAGCCAGGAGAATCTAGACGACGTTAGAAGTACTTAGAAGGAACTAGAAGAGGTTAGAAGAGGTTAGAAGAGGTTAGAAGAAGTTAGAAGACGTTAGAAGAAGTTAAAAGAAGCTAGGAAAAGCCAGGAGAATCTAGACGACGTTAGAAGTACTTAGAAGGAACTAGGAGAAGCTAGAAGAGGTTAGAAGAGGTTAGAAGAGGTTAGAAGAAGTTAGAAGAGGTTAGAAGAAGTTAGAAGAAGCTAGGAAAAGCCAGGAGAATCTAGACGACGTTAGAAGACGTTAGAAGAAGCTAGAAGACGTTAGAAGACGTTATAAGAAGCTAGAAGAAGCTAGAAGACGTTAGCAAAAGTTAGAAGACGTTAGAAGCTTGGAAGCTCAGAAGTTCAGAAGTTAGAAGACGTTAAAACTTCAGAGAGCTTTCCAAAATTTAAAAAAAAAATGATTTTTTTTAGTACGATATGATGAGGATAGCGACATCAACAGGAAGGAGTTCGATGAAGCTAAGGAACTTGGTTTGTTTGACCTTGAGAACCCTAGAGTGGTTCCTATAGGGGTACTTTAAAGTTCCTCTCAAGGGACCACTTAGCCTCTCAATGTAGGGTAAAACTCGAGAAAGGGGCCCCTACAGGGGAGAATGCTGGTTTTTATTCTTATCGTATTTTCCATTTTACAATCATAAAGAAAAATTTAGAAACCCCTAGAGGGACCACTTGAGTTTTAGAGACTTAGGAAAAGATCCGAAACCCCTCTGGAGGCTAGATTGAAACACTGTAGGGAGCACTTTTTGTCCCCCAGAGGGCTCTTTTTTTGCTAGATCTCTTTAGGGCCCACTCTGGCGTTCATGAACTGTTCAAAATGACCTATGTTGCCTAGCGAACCTGGAAAAGGACCTGAAAGAGCTGAAAGAATCTGGAATCGCCCAATCTTCCTACGAAGCCGTGGAGAAGGTCTTCAAGAAGCATTATGTGAGCTGAAAAAGTTTCAGCAGAAGAAAATATTAATTGCTTTTCAGGAGCTCCGGAAGCAGAACCCCACGTTGAGCGATGAGGATTTTATTGGCAAATTTGGAGAACAACTGGTCAAAGAGCTCGCCGACGCCGTTAACACCCTTCCAGATAACGATCGGGTCTCTTATTCCGAAGATTTATGGAAGACAATTCCAAGGATTTTAGAAGATTGTCCTCGATCACATCGCGAAACGACTCGGGTCTCCGAAACTGAGGAAGTTCCGTCATTACTTTTCGAAACCCCTTGTCAAGAGCCAAGGGTACAACGGAGCAGAAATCACGGGTTTAATCAGCTTTTTCCTATCAAGGACGGTCATTTTATTATGCGCATTTTCTGAAATCGGTCAGAATATGGACCAGAAAGTCCTATCCCCCCCTAAGTTACCCCTCAAACCCCCGCCCCCTTAATTACCTCTCAAACCCCTCCCTTTACCGCTTGACCCCCAAGCTTCTGAACGTCTTAGCCCGTGAAGACTGTGACGTTATTATAGTGGCCAGTAGAACGCATAATAGCGACTTCTATAGAGGTGATTTTAGGGGCCACTTGAGGGATTCGACGTTTAAGTGGACATTATAGTAGTCTATCTAGTGCTGGCCTTTTAGAAGTCTAAGTGGTACTACTAGACCATTAAATACTGCTATAGCGGCCACTTTAGTGTCCTTTTCAAGTTGTCCTTAAGTAACCTCTCAAGTGGTCACTAGAGTTCTTTCTAGTAACCTAAGCGTAAAGTGAAATGACCGCCCTTGTAAGGTGTTTTTTTGATACTCCCAAGCGCAAGTAGCTTAAAAGTCGGACGAAACCTTTTTCTAGCTGGGAGAATAAGAACTCTGAAAGAAATGAAGGAAGCTGGAGTCACTCAACCCGCCCTCGACGCGCTGGACAAGTTGGGCAGGAAATATCAAGTGAAACTGATTTTTATTAACCCAAAAAATGGTTCAACCCCAGGAAATCTACAAACAGAACCCGACCCTCACCGAGGAGGAGTTCTACGCGAAGTTCGGTTCGCAAAACTTTGAGGAGTTCTTCCGACTCGCGGCTACTTTTTCTCAAAGTGACAGGGTTCGTTTTTCATCAAAGAAGCTTCAAAATGAAATTTGCGTAATTCAGACCAAAGTCGGCCGGATCGTCGGCCTGAAACTGTCCCGCAGAATCGCGAGATCCAAGTCTCCTCGACGCTTCTGAACATCCAAATTTTGAATAAAAATAGTTTGAATATTTTAACTTGCACTGAAATTGATGCCGAAAGATGCGAAAAAAGGTTTGAAAAATGCAGAAAGTTCAAATCTGAAAGAAATATTGGGCAATTTTGATCGAATTCCGCTAAAAACGCGATTTTTTTCAATACATTAAAAAAATCCTTAAAAAAATAGCTACTTTGAAACTGATGTTGATAGCTGGAAAAATGCAAAAGGGTCGTTTCAGTTTCCACTATAGTAATCGAAATTGTTTAGTGGCCACTTAAGGGTTTCTAGTTTTTTTGAAAAAAATTACCCCCCATCCCCCAAGCTGAAGGCTGTGACGTCCGGAATCTTCTTTTGAAGGGAAGATTGTGAAAATGTTAAGTGGACACTTCAGGGTTTTGACGTTTCAGTTTCCACTTTAGTAGTCGAAATTTTTTTAGTGGCCACTTAAGGGTTTCTAGCTTTTGAAAAAAATCCCCCAAGTTGAAGGCTGTGACGTCCGGAATCTTCTTTTGAAGGGAAGATTGTGAAAAATGTAAAGTGTTCCCTTTAGGGTTTTGACGTTTCAGTTTGCACTATAGTAGTGGAAATTGTTTAGTGGCCACTTAAGAGTTTCTAGTTTGGGAAAAATTACCCCCCCCGCCTTCTAAGATTTTTTTCAATAAATTATAAATCTTAAAAAAATGTATCTACACTGAAGTCGATGTTGATAGTTGGAAAATCCAAAAAAGACCAAATACGCTCTGTAAATATTCCAGGATGGGCCTTTTTTTGTGAGAAAGTTATCAATTTTATCAATCACCCACGTTGATTTCCCACAGACCTGTTAAATTCCCGAAATTCCCAGGTCCAAATTAAAACCCAATTTTTTGATCTCACCGTCTTGTAGACTTTATAAACGGGTTTCTCTATCAGAATTTCAAAAATCTGTCGAAAATGTCGACTTTTACCAAAATCCTCACCCTCCTGGCTTTATTTTCCGTCGCGTCGGCTAGGACTCAGAAAATCATAAGTAAGTCCATTTTTTAAAAGTCAAACTAGAAAAAAAAAATTAAGTTCAGTTGGACGATGAGGTCGCCATCAAGAGCAAGAAGTACAATGAAGCTGAGACTCTGGGTTTTTTATTTTCGAAGAGAGCCATTCCAAATGTGACCTTTTTTACAGCGGGAATAGAAAGGGACATAAAAATGCTGAAAGAAGCCGGCGTGAGCCAGGAATCGCTCGACGCCCTGGAAAAGCTACTCCTGGAGATCAATGTGATTTTTTTTTTTGGATCCTTGTGACGCGATTCTAGGGATCACTTAGGGTGCCGACACCACTATAGTGGTCACTAGAGGGACTCGGAAGGTTCCGGGTCGCGTTACTACTAGAGTGGCCACTAGAGTTGCTCAGAAGGGTCCAGGTCGCGGTACCGCTATAGTGGTCGCTAGAGGGGCTCAGAAGCGTCCGGGTCGCGTTACCACTATAGTGGTCACTAGAGGGACTCGGAAACGTCAGGTTCGCGTTACCACTATAGTGGTCACTAGAGGGGCTCGGAAGCGTCCGCTCTAGTGGTCCCTAGATGGGCTCGCAAGCGTCCGCTATAGTGGTCCTTAAAAAGGCTTAGAAGCTTAGGGTACGCGTTACCACTATAGTGGTCACTAGAAGGGTTCGCATTACCCCTATAGTGGTCCCTAGAGGGGCTCAGAAGCGTCCGGTTCGCGTTACTTTTTCGTCTCGGGCCTTGTTGACGCGATTCCAGGGATTACTTAAGTGTTCTGACCCCGCTATAATGGTCCCTAAAGGAGCTTGGAAGCGTCCGCTATAGTGGTCACTAGAAGGGCTCGGAAGAACCGATTCGCATTACCTCTATAGTGGTCCCTAGAGAAACTCGGAAGCGTCCGCTATAGTGGTCACTAGAAGCGTCCGAGACTCCAAATTTCCAGATAATCCGCAGAAGATATGCCGCCTTGAGTGACGTCGAATTTTCCGAGAAGTACGGGAAAAAAATTCTCGATAAGTACAATGAATTCGTGTCTGGTCTTCCACCCAATGATGCGGTATTCGCAGATTTTTTTGAGGTACAAATTCATCGATTTTCAGAAACTGGTCATGCTCCTCTTATTGGGCAAACTTCAAGGTAGCGGTCCGAAATCGAGTCGTCTACACTTTTGAAAGTTAACTTTTGAGAAAAGCCCGAATAATTCAATAAACATGTTCTGATGAGAAAAACTTGAGCATTGTTTGAAAAAGCTGCAGCGCGACCGCGACGCGTTGAAGTCCATTCCCGGCAAGCTTGGGGCGTGGTATGTCTGCGCCCTCCGCCAATAAGACACTATCTCTTTTTTAAATCGTGTCAGAACCCTTTTTCGGTGGCTCGAACCAACAGTGATCAGCTATATGAATAGTCTTTTTAAAACACATTAGAAAGAAAGCAACCGTAATCGCGGCACTTTATTGGTTTTTCGCTTCGAGATGCTTCAAAAATTGCAAAATCCCAGACAACTTTAGGAACGTCACAGTGGCCCCTATAGGGACCAGAGGGAAAAGGCCCCTATAAGAGACCATATAGTGTTCCCCAGAGGGCTGAAAATTAGATGACCCATGAGAAACTAAAGTTTAAGTTGTCCCTATAGGGGTCGGTAAATTGGTCCCTAAAGGAGAACCTTCAAGGGCTGTTTAAATTTTCCCTATAGGGACCACTGTGGAGCTCCTGAGAAAGATGCAAATTTCGTCCAGAAGGTATCTTTAATTTTAAATTATCCGGGGAAAAAATGGAGAATAAAATTCACAGTCTCAAGTCTCAATTAAATTTCAATTTTGTCGTTCCCAAATTTTCGAGATTTATTAAAAAAAAATTTTCGCCCACATCGGTTTCCCATAGACATGTAAACCGTTCCTTCCCAAATTTCAATCAAAATTCAATTTTTCCGATCTCAACCTTCTATTATGCTGTCAAGGTTATAAAAGAACATGTCTGTACGGAATTTATAGTCTTGTCAAAAATGGACATGAAAATTCTCATTTTCCTGGCCTTTTGCGCCGTCGCCTCGGCGAGGATTCATACCATAACTTGTGAGTATTTTTGAGCCGTAAATTTATTTTTTCCCTTAACTTTTTCAGTACACTTCGATGAAGAGACCCACATCGGTAGGAAGTACAATGAAGCCGAGGCTGATGGTTGGTTTTTTCAAGCCATTAGAAGTAAAGCAAAATTTTACAGCCGAAGGCGAAAAAAACTTGAAGGAACTGAAAGCTGCCGGCTTGAGTCAACCTTCGCTCGACGCCCTCATAAAACTGGGCCGAAAAAACAGAGAAAGTCGTTTTTTAAAGGCATAGGGGCAGTAAAAAACAGGGTTTTACAAGGAAAGTGCTAAGAGTTTGATGAAAATTTGTATATAGATACTTTCGAACGTCTTGACTCCAAAAAAGTTGAAAAAGGGCGCTTTTTTGGTTCTAGTAGAGTTCTAAAAAACGCTCAACATGTTCATCTTGCTCAAAACGACACTAAAGGGGGCATTTCAACATATTGAGCGTATTTTTTTCAACCAAACGCCAAGAAAAAAATGACAAAAATAAATTTCACCAAAGAGGATTCGAACCTGCGTCATAGGTTCCACAGCACAATGCCGCTAGCCACTACACCACGCCGTCTGAAGGCAGCTAGAGTTAGCCGAGACGACATATTTTCTCCTCCCCTCCAATTTGCATGCTTTGAGGCGCCATAACTCGACTAGAACCAGGAACGCGCACTTTTTTTCCACTTCTTCGGATTCAGGGCGTTCAAAAGTACCTATATTCATCGTTTCATTTAATTTCAAGACCTTTTGCACTTCCCGTGTTAGTTAGAAGCAGTATCTGATATAGTTTTTCTTTGCGAATCGAACGGTATACTTAAAAAGCCACAGGTAAGACTATTTTTGAAGAAAAACGCGATTTTACTTTCCCGCCTCAAATTTTGAAATAATGGTTTGAACCGGTGTACGTAAAGCTGTATACAGTAGACGTGTAGTTGCGGAAATGTCATTAGACTTGCATTTTTATAGAAAAAACCGGAAATCTGCTACTAATCAAGTGTTTCTTTTCTGAAAAATCATTAGGCGAACGAATATTACAAAACGATAATCAAGGGAACGCAAAACATCGATTTACCAATCGAAAATATGTTTAAAATCATCATTTTTCACAAGATTTTGCGATCAAATTTTGCAATTTATACATGAATAGAAAAAAGAGAACTTTGGTGACAGCACAAAAAATTGGAAATTTGAAAGAAACGGAGAAATCCGGAAAATGGCGATAGAGCAACTTTACTCTTTCGGCGAAAAATTAAGTTTTTCTCTCTCCAACTTTCAATGATGTTTTCTTCAAAACTAGGAAGCTCTGCACGTTTTCAAATACACCGTTCGATTTGCAATGAAAATCTTTACAAAATAGTCTATGCATTTAATTTATAAACTATTATATTCTTAATTACAGGCGCTCCGAAAAGCGAACCTCGCCTTGAGCGATGAGAAGTTCTACGAGAAGTTCGGCGAGCAGCTCTTGAACGAGTTCACCAGCCTCTTGATGACGTTCCCGGATAAGGATTACGTTTGACACTTTCAGAGCTTCAAAAAGTGAAAATGTCGATTTCAGGATATAGCCGTCAAGTTCTACGAGAAAAAAATTAAGGAAAACTCTCCGAAAGGGTCTCATCTACGGTTCTGAAGCTTCACCCGTTGAATAAATTTTGTAATGGCTGAAGTTCAAAACAAGTAAATGTGCGCACGAAATTGAGATATCGGCTGAATAGAAAGATGTCGAAAAGAAAGAAAAAGTAATTCTTTGATATTTGAAAAGCTACCGCAACGTGACCGCAACAAGACTGCAACGTGACCGCAACGCGACTGCAACGCGATCGCAAGGCGACCACGACGCGACCGTAAAGCGACCGCAACGCGACCTCAACGCGACCGCAACCCGACCGCGACGCATCGCAAAGCGACCGTAAAGCGACCGCAACGCGACTTCAACGCGACCGCAACGCGGCCTCAAAGTGGCCGCAAAACGACCGTAGAGCGACCGCGACGCGTTAGCAACGCACCGCAACGCGACAGTAAAGTGACCGCAACGCATCGCAAACGCACCGCAACGCGACCGTAAAGCGACCGCAACGCGTCGAATAAGATCCCATAAAGTGAATATTGGCGTTTTGGGTGCAGTTCTTTCATAGGAAATTTTTTTGATTCTTCATCACCATCAGCCATGAAGAGATGAACTACTAGGCGAACTTCATCCCCCAAAAAATTGATCAAAAACTAGGGAGAAATTATTTTTCCAATTTTGCTATTTTTTTCGGTCTTGTCCATTCACCACAACTTCAAAGAGTCTGATTTCTCTGCGCTCTCTTCTCTCTCACCAGCGAGAGCGAAGACAGTCATACTATCATAAAGGGTACTGTATTTTTTAAAGAAAAATCCAATTTCGCTGTTTTTCGGTCTAGTCCATTCACCATAACATCAAAAAGTCTGACTTCTCTGCGCTCTCTGCGCTCTCTTCTCTCTCATCTTTTTCTTTTCTCGTGATCTCACCAGTGAGAGAAAAGAGAGCGCAGACAGTAGATACTGTAGTTTCTTTGAACTATTATTTTTTCAACACCACGTATCCCATCAACAAGTTAATTTCTCATTTTCACGCTCCCAAACTTCGATCGAAATCCAATTTCCGCGTTCAGGGTTTATAAACAAGCAGTTCAGGTGGAAGACTCACAATCCCGTCGAAAATGTCGGCCGGCGTCAAAATTCTGATTTTTCTGGCCGTTTTTGCCGTCGCCGCTGCCAGGCTACATTCAATCACTTGTGGGTTTCTTTTAAAAGAGCTTCATTAAAATTAAGTTTACAGTCAGTTTTGACGATGAACCAAGCCCCATCAAGACCAAACCGTACGATCAAGCCTACAATGATAGTTAGTTTTTGGAAGGTTTCAAAAAAATCCCGTTTTTGCACAGAGAAACGCGCGGAGAACCTGAAAAAGCTGAAAGACGCCGGCGTGTCTCAGCCATCGATCGACAAGTTGGACGCCGTGTTCCTGAAATATGAGGTCACTTTTTTTGGAGTTTCAAACCCTTCCGTGGAATTTTGTAGGAGATCTACAAGAAGGAGCCGAACTTGTCCCAGGAGGAGTTCGAAAAGAAGTACAGCGTGGATTATTACAAAGACTTCTCCGCCGTCACCGACACGTTGCCGGAGGAGGACAAGGTCAATTTTTTTCAATTTTTTGTTATTTCAATGCTTGGGACAAAAGTATCCGTTGCTTGCGACAAAATTATCGTAGCTTGGGACAAAATAACAAATGCTTGGGACAAAATAAAAGTTGCTTGGGACAAAACTACCGTAGCTTGTGACAAAGTTATCGTAATTGGGACATAATCGCCGTGGCTTGATGCAAAATAATCCAGCCTGGGACAAAATTATCGTAGCTTGGGGCAAAGCCAACGAAGCTTGGTACAAAATCTCCGGGGCTTGATGCAAAATAATCCAGCCTGAGACAAAATTATCGTAGTAGGATAAATCACCGTAGCTTGGGACAAAGTCAACAAAGCTTGGGACAAAATCTCCGAAGTTTGAGACGTAATTACCGAAGCTTGGGACAAAATTATCGTAGCTTGAGGCAAAGTCAACGAAGCTTGGGAAAAAATAACCGTGGTTTGTGAAAAAATGACCGAAGCTAGGGACAAAGTCAACGAAGCTTGGTACAAAATCGCCGTGGCTTGATGCAAAATAATCCAGCCTGGGACAAAATTATCGTAGTAGGATAAATCACCGTAGCTTGAGACAAAGTGAACAAAGCTTAGGGCACAACCACCGTAGCTTGACACGTAATTAACGAAGATTCCGACAAAATTACCGTAGCTTGGGACAAAACCATCGTAGCTTGGGACACAGATACTGTAGCTTGGGACACAACAACCGTGGCTTGGGAAAAAATTACCGGAGCTTGGGACAAAATTACAGTAGTTTGGGCAAATTAACCCTAGCTTAAGACTAAATTACAGTAGCTTGGGACTAAACCGCCGTAGCTTGGGACAAAGTTACCGTCGCTTAAGACAAAATCCTCTTAGCTTTAGATAAATTTATCGTAGCTTGGACAAAATTACCGTAGCTTGGGACAAAATTACCGTGGCTTGGGACAAAATCGCCTCAGGTTCAGGTATTTCCGAATTTTGCTCAACTTGTGAAAATTGAATGCTTCCTCAAGGCAACGATGAATGAACCGGTTAAATTTTTTGGCCCCCGACCTGAAACGACTTGAGCCCTGACTCGTAATTAGGCATGGGTCCAGTCAACCTGATCAATCAAAGGATCTTCAAATAAAAAATGGATAATTTCAGAAGAAAGTCGAGGGCATCTTCTTCCCGAAAACCGGAGGCCGCAGGCACAAGTGGATCCCTTCAAGCTATTGAAATTTAATCTTGTCGATAAATTTTGGGTTGGCAGATGATTTTGTATGGAAATATATCGAGAAAAAAACTTGGGAACGTCAAAGTGGTCCCTATGGGGTCCTTGATGGTTCTAATCTGGGTCCCTTTATAATTGGGGCACTAAAGCTTGGAAAGTGTCACCTGGAGGGGTTCAAGTTAGTGACCACTTTAGGGGAGCATGCTGGTCGTTTATAAACCTAGAAGAAGCAATTATATTCTTTCACCACCTTATTTTTACCCTTTAAGAGACTAATGAGAATCTCAATTAAAATCCAATTTTCGCGCTCCCAAGCTTCAATCAGACCTTTTTTGGCTTCAAAATGGAAATTCTCATATCAGTGACAAATGTCGGCTGCTTTTAAATTTCTGACTTTCCTGGCCTTTTTTGTCGTCGCCAGTGAAGCTTTTCAAAGAAGTGAGTATTTTTTTCAAATTCTAACGAAAAATTTTCTATTTAGTCCACTCTGACGATGTACCAGGCCCCATCAAGAACAAACAGTACAGCCAATCAGAAAATGATCGTTAGGTTTCCCGGATCATCCAACAACTGAACGAACTTTCTAGGAAGACGCCTCTCGCTTTTGAGGAAACTGAAAGAAATCGGTGTGACAGAGCCGTCGATCAAAAAGCTGGAAGCTGTTTTCACGAAATACGAAGTGAACTTGTTGAACAATTCCTTTTCTTAGTTTCAAACCCAGAAAATCTACAAAAAGGAGCCGAAATTGACCCAAGACCAGTTCGAGACAAAATACGGCGCCGCTTATTTCCGAGAGTTTTCCAATGCCATTGACAGTCTTCCGAGTTCTGACAAGGTTGGTTGTTTTTTCAGTCATAGAGTCGCACTTGGAATGGCTCCGACTTGAAACGGGTTGCGCAGGAATTCTTGGAAAGGCCAGCCGACCGTGACCAGTATAAAATCGCAAAGTTACAGAAAAAAACCTTGGATGTTTTCGGAAGACCCAAAGACAGACGCCCGAAGCCGCTTTGAACCATTTTTTCGTGAATAAAGCTTATTTTGCGATCTTTTTTTTATCGCTTTCAAGGTTCCAAGAAAGAGAATCTGATCTATACAAATCAACGAACAAGGAATCTTAGTTCTTCTCAACCAATCCAGAATCGGAACCCTAGCCGAACTGAAAGAGACTAGATTCACTAGATTTTTTTAAAAATGTTTTTGGGAAAATTTTTCGATTCAGAGACGTATAAAACAGAAAAAGAGAAAATCTACTGTAGTCCTTTCGCCGCAACTTGAAACAGTCTGAGTTCTCTGCGCCATCTTTTCTCTAACCAGGCAATGGACTTCTGAATGAGACCATGTCTACTAGATGTGACATTTCACGCTGATTCCAAATCCAGTCTCAAAAACTGTCCTTGAGGTCTGTGAAAAAAGTTAGGTGCTCTCAAAAGACGGATGATTTCGCGACCGACTTGAAACGGCTTGCGCAGGATTGAACAAAGACTGCCAAATTTTTCGTTTCAGGACAAAATGAACAGGAAATTCAGGAAACGCAATTGACGCCAGAAACCAAAATGAACTTTTTTCGTGAATAAAGCTTTTTTGCAATTAGTTTTTAACAAAAAAAGACTTGGGGAAAATCAACTTTATCAAAAAGTCATCTGAAGAGTTTTCAGAAGTCGAACACTTGGAATGGCTCGATTTGCTGTTCATATGAATCCTCATTCTGCATAGCCATGGTCATGTTCATAGACGGGCGATGTGGTCTCAATTTCACATTCTCTCTTTTTGGTCGCACTTGGAATGGCTCGATTGTTCATATGAATCCAATTCCTGCATTTCGATCAAATCATCGTCATGTTTATAAACGAGCGATTCGGTCTCAATTTCACGCTTCCCTCGAAAATGTCAACCGCCGTCCACATTTTGACTTTTTTGGCTTTTTGCGCGGTCTTCAAAGCGGAGTTTCGCAAAATTAGTTGTGAATTTTGTTTTTCGCTATCTCTTCATTAAAATCCCTTTTTTATAGTGGATTTTGATGATGAAATCGTCCTCAAGAGCCAAAAATACAATGGATCAGATTTTAATGGTTTGGTTTTGAACCTTCTTTGAAAGCCTAAAAGAAACTACTTATGAGAAAATCGCGCCGAATTCATCAAAAAGGCTAAAGAAGCCGGTGTTACGCAAACTTCAATCGATAAATTGCACGATTTATTCAAAAAATACCAGGTGATTTTTTTGAACAATTTTTAGTGGCTGAATTTTTCAGGAAATCCACAAAAATGACCCAACTTTGAATGATATGGAGTTTGGAAAGAAGTACAAAAAGTCTTATTTCGAAGACTTTTCGAGAATTATTGACAGTTTGCCGAGTTCCGACAAGGTAGTCTTTCTGAGGTCGCATGTGGAATGGCTCAATTTCGGGGTGCGACCGACTCGAAACGGTTCGCGCAGGATGTCATTGAAAAATACTAGGCTTAATTTCGAGATGCGACCGACTTGAAACGGCTTTCGCAGGATGTCATTGAGAAATACTAGGTTAAATTTTGAGGGCAACCGACTTGAAACGGTTTGAGCAGGATGTCATTAAGAAACACTAGGCTTAATTTCGAGATGCGACCGATTTGAAACGGTTCGCGCAGGATTCCATCAAAAAAAAAACCCTAGGCTCAATTTTAAGGGGCAACCGACTTGAAGCGGTTTGCGCAGAATGTCATTGAGAAACACTAGGCTCATTTTCAAGATGCGACCGACTTGAAACGGTTTGCGCAGGAGATCATTAAAAACCCATAGGCTCAATTTCGAGACGCTACCGACTTGAAACGGTTTGCGCAGGAGCTTATAGAGCAAGACACCAAATTTCAAGCCAGAAACGCGACCGCGACGCCTAAGCCATTCCACGTGCGACCATTGAAATTCTTGAAGCCTAATTTTTTTTTTTGCAGCAAAAAGTCTTGGACGTCTTCCGGGACACGAAAGACCAGCACTGGGAATCATAATGAAAATTATTTCGTTTTTAAATTTTATTTTTCTAATGAAATTTTGAAGGATTCCATTTTATAAGTCTAAGAAACTTTATAAAATTGGTAGGGAAAGTCTGGATCCAGAATTTATAACATTGATAAGAAACCGTCATAGTTCAATCAAAGTCTGGTTCCCAAGAAACAGTGGTTCCCAAGAAGGAATTATCGAGATTTTCGCGTTCCCAACCCCCAATCAAACATTGGCAGGTTCATAAACGAACAATTCCTTTTGAAAAATCACTTTTCAGAATGTCGTTGAAGATCTTCGTTCTTCTGGCCCTTTCCGCCGTCGTTGCCGGACAAATCAGTAAGTTTTTTCATTACTTTAATGGCTCAAGGTGCGAGCCGTTTTTGGTCGGCTGCAATTTTTTAGCAACGTCATGCTTCTCAATACACTAATGCTTGAGTCGTTTCTGGTCGGCTGCACTTTTTGGATACCCCTAGTGCTTCTCAATGCCGCCTTGCTCGAGTCGTTTCTGGTCGGCTGCACTCTTTTATAGACTTCTAGACGCAGGCTTTTCAATGCCGACTTGCTTGAGTCGTTTCTCGTCGGCTGCACTTTTTGGATACCGCTAGTGCTTCTCAATGCCGTATTGCTAAAGTCGTTTCTGGTCGGCTGCACTTTTTGGAGACCCCTAGTGCTTCTCAATGCCGTCTTGCTCAAGTCTTTTCTGGTCGGCTGCAATTTTTGGAACCCCTAGGCATTATACTTTCCAATGCTCTCATGCTCAAGTCGTTTTTGGTAGGCTGCACTTTTTGGATAATACTAGTGTTTCTCAATGCCGTCTTGCTAAAGTTATTTTTGGTCGGCTGCAATTTTTGAGAGCCTTCAGCTTGTGCTTTTCAACGCTTTTTTGCTCAAGTCGTTTTTGGTCTGCTGCACTTTTTTGGAGACCACTAGGCTTACACTTTTCAATGCCACCTTGCTTGAGTCGCTTTTGGTCGGCTGCAATTTTTTGGAGACCCCAAGTGCTTCTCAATGCCGTCCTGCTCAAATCGTTTTTGGTCGGCTGCAATTTTTGATAGCCTACAGGTTAGGCCTTTTAATGCCGTCTTGCTTAAGTCGCTTTTGGTCGGCTGCACTCTTTCAGAGACTTCTAGACGCATGCTTCTCAATGTCGCATTGCTCAAGTCGTTTCTGGTCGGATGCACTTTTTGGATACCCCTAGTGCTTTTCAATGCTTTCTTGCTTAAGTCGTTTTTGGTCGGCTGCACTTTTTGAGTGCCCGCTAAGCTTTGAGCCATTCTCCTTCTGAGTATTCGTTATCAATTATTTTTTTTTCAGTAGATGACACGGATCTCATTTTCACCAAACGATACGACGAAGGAAAAGCCGCAAGTTTGTTCCAATAAAAAAACCCCAAAATTTTTAATTTTTCAGTTTTCCTGACAAAATTGGAACGAGAGTTGAAAGCGGCCGGTGTGGAAGCCAGGACAGTCGTTTCTGTCTTAGCCGTGTTCAAAAAATATGGGGTATGGTAGAAAGGGTCGCATTGGGAATGGCTCAAGGGCTACTTTTCAAGGATTACTTTAGCTAGCAAGTTATGGATTACTGTTACCGAAAAATGTTTCTAACGTACATTTCGCAATATTCCTGGCTTTAAAAAAGCTCTCCAGTTATGAAAATAAAAAGGTTACGGTAACTTCAAGCTACAGTAACCCGAAAACGTCTCCGGATTTTTGATTACTGTAATCTACACTCAAAAGTTCTTATAATTACGGTACTATTGACAGATTAAATTTCTATGACTAGCAGATTATTGAAGCTATTTAATTACAAAAATTTAAAAAGATTACGGTAATTCAGAGCTACAGTAGCCGGAAAATGTCTCAGGACTACTGTAATCTTGAGCTGTCGGAGGCCAAAAATCTGATGGTTACGGTAACATTTTAGATAACAGTTGTTTAGTTGGCAGCTTATATGTCACCGTAAACCTCTCAAATTACAGAGATTGCGGTAACTCAAAGCTCAAGATTACAGTAGTCCTGAGACATTTTCCGGCTACTGTAGCTTTGAGTTATCGTAATCTCTGTAATTTGAGAGGTTTACGGTGATAAATAAGCTGCCAACTAAACAACTGTTATCTAAAATGTTACGGTAACCATCAGATTTTTGGCCTCCGATATCTCAAGATTACAGTAGTCCTGAGACATATTTTAGATAACAGTTGTTTAGTTGGCAGCTTATTTATTACCTTAATCCTTTCAAATTACGGTAACTCCAAGCTACAGTAACCCCAGAAAAGCCTCAGCATTGCCGTCAAGCTGTCGGAAGCCGAAATTTCGGGGTTCTCGATGTTTTTAAAACGAATTCTTTTAACCATTTTTCAAAAGACAGCCATTCCCAATACGACCATGATTTTTATTTTCCAATGAATAGACCTGGAAATTTTCCAGGCGATCTACAAGGCCAATGCCGCTTTGACACTGGCGGAGTTCAAAGCTAAGTACGGCGCACTGTTGAACCAGGACTTGAGGGCTATCAAGAACTTACTACCTTCTGATGCGGTTTTTATAAAATCCAGATATTTATTTTTAAAAAATCAATATTCCAGGCCAAAGTCAAGAAAATCGCCGAAAAGTTGATCAGCGAGGCGACTGCGTCGAAGAAGTACACTTGGGGGTGGTGGAAACTGGTTTTTTGAGTCATTTTCTGGAAATAAAGGTTCAGAAGTTCTTGATTTTTTCTCCGCTCCTTTCCTAGTTGACTTCTGTCCCGTCTGGTATCTTTGAACCCCAAAATGGGTACCAAGTTTCGAACCCCAGTCTTTTTTCTTGAAAGATCCCTTGGATTGAAATGGAAACATTTATTTTCAATTTAAAAAAACGACTACCCGAACAAAAATGTACAACGAGGGTGGTGGATTCCGGCCTAACATTATAAAAAATCGAATTATTATTTTTTTTTTTTGAAGGGAAGGAAATGATAGTATGATACCTAGAAAATGTTAGAGGGTTTAAAAGAAGCTCTAAGGTTGTTTCTAAAAAAGGAAATTGTGAAGAATCAGATCTAGAAACCGGTTGGAAAAATGCTAGAATTGTATGTGGTCGCGTGGAGAATGGATCAACGCGTCGCGGTTGCTTTCAGGTTTCGCCCGACCGGAAACGAGTTGCGCAGGTTGTAGCTTGAACCGCAGCGCGACACGTTTAGCCATTCTAAATGCGGCCAGATGAATTTTCAAAGTACAAAGAAAAGAAGATACAAAAAAAGACTTGCGCAAGTATTCAAGTTTTAACTGAACCGCAACTCGACCGCGAGGCGTTCAGCCATTCTAAATGCAATCAGATGAATTTTCAAAGTCAAGTTTTAGCTGGGCCGCAGCGCGACCGCGACGCGTTCAGCCATTCTAAACGCGACCAGACGAACTTTCAAATTACAAAGGGAAGAGAATACCAAAAACGACTTTTTTAGCTGAACCGCAGCGCGACCGCGACGCGTTTAGCCATTCATAATGCGGCCAGATGAATTTTCAAAGTCAAGTTTTAGCTGAACAGCAACGCGACCGCGAGGCGTTCAGCCATTCTAAATGCGGCCAGATGAATTTTCAAATTACAAAGGAGAGGGAATACAAAAAACGACTTGCGCAAGTATTCAAGTTTTAGCTGAACCGCGACACGTTTAGCCATTCTAAATGCGACCACATGAGTTTTTAAAGTACATAGGAAAGAGTATACAAAAAACGACTTTTTAGCTGAACCGCAGCGCGACCGCGACACGTTTAGCCATTCTAAATGCGACCATCAGGAATTTATAAAGCACAGACAATCGTTAGTAACAAGGGATTATCCATGACCACCCATAGAGGAAACTAATTTGACGCTGTCGTCGAGACAGGAGCCGACTATGTGGGAGATGTTGCGGAATTCGCCACAGCAGGCGATTTTGCCGTGTCTGGAAAGAAAAATTCTATGAAAATATTGTAGTGGCCACTTAAGAGGTTCCTCAAGGACTCTTAAGTGGCCACTTTAATGATCTCGTAGTACCACGTAGACCTCAATAGTGTCCACTAGTTCAACTACTAAAGGGGCCACTCAAAGGTCAAAGTCCTAAAGGGATTACTTAGCTTTTTCTCAGTTTCGCAATGACGTCATCTTCCAAAATTACCCCGGGATTGCTTCAAAACTAGAAAAATTCAACACGTCTTCGCCTTTTAAAACGCGACCACCTGGGAATTCAAAATTTTCCAGAAACTTCAAAATTGACCAGATTTTTTAAATGTCTATAGACACTTTGAATCGCTTGGGAATTTTCTGGAAAAAAAAAAACTTTCCGGGCTTTTCTAAACTTCCTAAATGTGGTTAGAAGTGCTTGAATTCACATTTTAAAAAATTTAATGAGCGAAAAAGTTCATAACAATCTGAAAATGCTTTAGGAATTCTCAAATAGTGGGCGATTTCTTAGATTTTTTAGGATTTTAATTTTATAGCTTCTCAACGATTTTTGAAATGAAAATATGATATTTTTTTACAAGAAAATGAAAAAATAAAATGAAAAACAAACTGGAAGGACTGCATCCGCTGCTGTTCGGCTAAAGCGGCAGCTTCTGACCAAAGTCGGGCATAACAAGGGGCCGAAAATCGGCTATTCACCATGGCCTGAACGGCGGAAAATGTCGCCGTAACTCCGCCAACCAAGGCCACAACTATATATTTCAATTTAAAGTTATTTTCAGTTCTGGAAAATTACCAAGAATGAGCATGTTGATGATGAGACGCTTCTTTGGCGTGAACTCGAGGATGCTGAAAACCATTTCGGCATTAAGAATAGTCAGAAAGTCGTCTCTGAGCGCCATTTTTCCTTTGAGTAAAGGATCTATTCTGTCAAATTTGATTTTTGTTTGGGCCGAAAGTCGTCTAAACAGTACAAAAAAGCGAGAATAGTTAGAATTTATGAACCTGAATTAACTAAACTTTTTCACAACTTAAAACTCTATTAAACTGCGAAAAATGACACAAAGTCTTCAAAAACAAAAAAATGTCTTCCTTATTAAAGGCGCAGCCTACTTCTTCAAATTGCACCGGCTCCTCGCGGGACACAAGATTCATTATGCCGTGTTCAAAAGTAATTTCGGGGAATCGAAAAAAATAAAAAAAGTAACGATTTTTCTCGTTTAATTTGAAAAACCCGAAATCCTGAAAATTGGCATTTCGAGGGGCCGCGACGCGCCTGCTACGCGGGTGCTGCAGCATTGGGTCTCGCAACGATCAAACGCGGAAAAAAAGGAAATTTTCAAAATTTTTCGCAATTAATTTTTTTGTATTTGTTGATTTGATTATTGTTTTTCATTATGGCGCGTTCAGGAGCAAAAACGCGAAATTTTTTTCGAAATTCAAAAGAGCGTTCACGGCGATACTTCGAAATTAGCGAATTTCGATTTTTGAGATAATTTCGAGATAATTTTTTTCTTCTTTTTTTCTTTTTTTAGATAATTTTTTTCTTTTTATTTTTTTCAATTTTCAACCCGTTCAAATTTATTGATTTTAGAAATAGTACGAATGAAAGCCTTAAGTTAATTTTTTCGACTGTCTGAACTTAAAAAAAGTTCAATTTTTCTCAAATTTCGAATTTATCGTGTTTATTTTTTTCCAACGGATGTATCAGAGTGTTTGAAGTTGCAGGTCTCTAAACTATGGCGGGTATTGGATTACCGAAAGTGCTAAAGTTGAAAAAAAGGTAATTTTCATTCAAAAAAACTTTTTTTCGCAGTTATTTTTTACAAATTTTGATTCTTTTCACAAAAAAAATTTTAGACTCGTTAGGGAGGCACGAGCGGCTCGTGTGAAGGTAACGCAAAATTTTCGTCTCTACAGTCAAGCATAAATCCGTGATTTTCGACGCAACGGTCAAGAAGAAAATGGAAGGTTTTTATCTATACAATTTTCAATAACTGGTTCATTTCATTAAAAAGAAAAAGTATTGAATTTTTTTCAGCTCATTCGAACAAGACATTGTTGTTTGTGGCCAGCCGGATAAATTTGGAATTTACCATGTCTCGATTTTTGTCAAATACACAGCTTTTTAACTTCTCTTTCAATGATTTTGTTTTTGTTTTTATTACGCGTTTATTTTTCTCTATCATTTGTTTGAATAAAGATGATGAGCATTACCTTCTTGAAAAAAATTAATGTAAAAAAACAAGCTGCTTAGTTAATCAAATTAAAAAAACCTAACAACAGAAACTGTTTTGTGATGAGATGTTTCTGAAAGGCAGAAGAAAAACAATGAAATTTTTTTATTAGAAAAAAGTTCCATAAGGAAAGATCCAAGTTTCACGTGTAGTCTTTCGGCGAGTCCTTCGTAAACCGTTCGTCTAGGTCTGTAAGCAGAAGAAATTTTTTTCCAGAAAGGAAAAAGCTGGTTGAACGGTGGTATGAAAAAAACACAAGCAGAAATTCAAACAAAATTCGCCCTTTTTCCGAATTTTTTTCATATCGCTAGGGGAACTTTCCGACGGCCACCTCTCCGACGGATCCCTTTCCGACTTTTTTTCCCTTATATTTTTTTCGGTTTATAAAACATCTATCAACATATTTTTTTCCTATTTTTTTGTGTTTTTAAACATGAATAACTTGCCTACTTTATATAGGGATATTTAAAACGAAAAGTTTATTGAGAAGAAAAATTCGATAAAAGATTAGTCGGAAAGTTCCCTAGCGATATGAAATAATCGGAGAAGTGGTCGTTCGAACTTTTTTGCTGTTCTTTTTTTCATACCATCGGTTGAACCGTGGTATTCATTTTTTTCGTTTACAACTGAACAAGACATATTGACAAGACATATTGAAAATGAAAGAAAATAACATCGAAGAATAAGAGAACTCACGAATTTATGCTTGACTGTAGAGACGAAAATTTTGCGTTACCTTCACACGAGCCGCTCGTGCCTCCCTAACGAGTCTAAAATTTTTTTTTGTGAAAAGAATCAAAATTTGTAAAAAATAACTGCGAAAAAGTTTTTTGAATGAAAATTACCTTTTTTCAACTTTAGCACTTTCGGTAATCCAATACCCGCCATAGTTTAGAGACCTGCAACTTCAAACACTCTGATACATCCGTTGGAAAAAAAAATAAACACGATAAATTCGAAATTTGAGAAAAATTGAACTTTTTTTTAAGTTCAGACAGTCGAAAAAATTAACTTAAGGCTTTCATTCGTACTATTTCTAAAAATCAATAAATTTGAACGGGTTGAAAATTGAAAAAAATAAAAAGAAAAAAATTATCTAAAAAAAGAAAAAGAAGAAAAAAATTATCTCGAAATTATCTCAAAAAAATCGAAATTCGCTAATTTCGAAGTATCGCCGTGAACGCTCTTTTGAATTTCGAAAAAAATTTCGCGTTTTGCTCCTGAACGCGCCATAATGAAAAACAATAATCAAATCAACAAATACAAAAAAATTAATTGCGAAAAATTTTGAAAAATTTCCTTTTTTTCCGCGTTTGATCGTTGCGAGACCCAATGCTGCAGCACCCGCGTAGCAGGCGCGTCGCGGCCCCTCGAAATGCCAATTTTTCAGGATTTCGGGTTTTCAAATTAAACGAGAAAAATCGTTACTTTTTTTATTTTTTTCGATTCCCCGAAATTACTTTGAACACGGCATAAGTCTTGTTGAAATTGTTTCAATAATGTTCTGAAGGTTCATATCTGTCATTTTTTTCATAACTCTTTGATTTTTTTACGCTTATTATTTGATTACCTTTCACGCTTCTCAGGTTATTTTATTGAGTTCTTCTTTTCGCCCTTTTGATTGTTCGTTTTCAAATTTCTATTTCAATATTTTAATTTCAGGAGTCTAAACGATGAAAATTTTCCGAGAGTGCTGAAAACGAATGAATTTTTGATAAAGTAACTTTTTTTTTTAGTTATTTTTCTTTTTCAGACTGAATCAAGCCAGGACAACGAAATTATGGAACAAAAAGAAATTCATGAGAAAATGGCTAGGTTGGTTGTTTATTCAAAGTTTTGTTTGATTCTTTTTTCATCTAATTCATCTTGATTTCTTCAGTCTTGTACCTTTTTTGTTGCTTTAAAGTTGAGTCAAAGCTTTATTTCTTTATTTTAATTATTCATTTTGATGGTTTACTCTAATGGTTAATGGAACATTAGAGAAATGACCGCCAAAATTTGATTTTTTTTTTTCAAATTTGTTTTCATCGAAAAACTTACTCTTTGATAGAAGGAGGCTTTGCGTACTCAGGATCTTTCAAATCGTGTTTTTTCTGAATAGTCGTCAGGCAAAGATTGAAAATCACCGGTAGTACTAGAGCCATCAACGTGATTGTAGAACCTCAATTTTATAATTTTTTTACAAGAAGGATATGATTAAAAACCTCCAACAAGGTCCAGTAAAACTCCAAAGTTCGGGACACTTTCCGCGACAAAAAAATAACCGCCGTCATGACTCCGGCTCTTGATAGAAGCCTTTTCACGCAAAAATTCTATAAAAATTTTTTTTAAAAAAATCAAACTTCAGAATGTCAGAGTGGTCCCTATAGCAGTTAAAGGAAAAGCAGCCCCTAAAGGAGACAAAAAAGCTCCCTATAGGGGTCAGTTTTAAGTGATCCCTGAAGGGAGTTCGTGTCCGACTCCTAAGCCTCTTAAACTTGAGTGGTCCCTATAGGGGTTAGAAAATAAAGCAGCCCCTATAGGGGACAAAACGTGCTTTTTATAGGGGTAAAATTTAGGTGGATCCCATAGGGTTTGAAGGTATGACTTTTACGATTCTAAAGCTTGAGTGGTCCCTATAGGGGTTAGGAGAAAAAACCCCTACAGGGGAACAGAAAAAGGCTCCTCAAATAGGTGGTCTCTAAAGGGGTTTTGTATCTAATCTCTAAGCTCCTCAAGCCTAAGTGCTCCCTCTAGGGGTTTGGGGAAAAGCGGCCCCTTTAGAGGATCGAAAAGAGCTTTTTATAGGGGCAAAATTTAAGTGGTCCCTGGAGGGAGTTAGGGTCGGACTCCTAAGCCTCTTAAACTTGAGTGGTCCTTATAGTGATCTTTGAATTTTTTGTTATTCTGCGAAAATTTTTAGCGGCCACTTTAGGGGTTTCAAGTTTTAGTGGCCTCTTTAACAGTCTAAGCGTTACTACTGCTGAAAACTACTTTAGTGGCCACTAAGACCCAAAATAGTGGCTTCTATAGAGGTGGTTTTAGTGGCCACTACAGTGTTCTCAACAAAAACAAAAAATCCCAAGTTATCAAATCAAAATGGTTCTTCTTACGGATTTATAATAATCATCGACTAGTATGTGCCCTAAAGGGGCCACTTTTGCAACTTGCAGTGCACCCTAGTAGGTACTTCTAAGGCCCCTGAAGTTGCCCTTATAGGGGCCATTTCTAAAAAACTCACCATGAGGAATATTCAGCCATTCTTCAACTTCTTGGTTCAAAGGGTTGAAAAGAATGGTCAAAGCCAAGGCGACATGTAGGGTTATCAACAAGCTGATTATTGTTTGAATCGGAATGTTCTGAAAATAAAAATGCTGGAGAAGATTTTTGTGAAAGTACCTGAATCGATGGAATGATTGAATCAGTGAGAGAACTTCCATAAACGTAGTATCCGACCATACTCACTGGCATGTAGAGCAACACGATGGCTGGAAAAATCTTGTGAAAATGAGCTTTTGTGAGGACTTAGGGGGGTTTATTTTGTAAATTTGATTTCAAGGAACTTTCATGGGAATAAATTCGTTTTTGAAGCGTCTCAGCTTGGGCCTTCGTAACGCAAACCGGACGTTTCTGAGCGATTTTAGTGTTCATTTTAGTGACGTGAACACCCGTAAGTGATCCCTAAAGTATCTTAGAAAGTCCGGTCTGCGTTACAGGGGTCCGAGAGGTAGCTGGAATTATTTTTACGCTTCGATTTTGAGCGTAATGGTTGTTTGACTTGATGCGATTTTTTTTGAATTTTGTCATTGGATACATAGTATTCCTAACGTCAGAAAAGATACGAAGTAAGGACTTGTAAGGAATTCAATATTTTTGAAACTTTCTGGAGATGTGATGACTGTTGTTTCTAAAATTCTAATGTATTTTCAGTTCACAGAAAGAAAATGGAGCTTTAGGAATTGTCAGGGAGATTGAATCCTTTACAAGAAACTTTTGACCAAAGTCGTGATCTTTCGTATCTTCTCTGACGCTACTGTATGTCATTAATTCAAGCCATGTTCAAAGTAGTTCAAAACTATCTCTGACATTCTAAAATTCAGTCACATTTTTCTTTCTCTGCCGGCTATTTTTTATTTCCCGGAATCACTTTGGTAACGGCATTAATTTTTTGAAGTTCGTAGTTTTTTTTTGTATTTCAAAGATTCTTACCGATATACGCAATGATCAAAGATTTAGTAAATTGATGAGGTTTCCTCATATCGTGTTGGATCGTCGGAAAAGCTCCGTGGCCGCCGTAGGCGAACATTATAGTTCCGAATGACATGAATAGTCTAAAGTTATACTTTGTAAGCTTCATTTGAAGAAAAATCGCATTAATATCAAGCCGGAAAGGTCCCTAGAGGGATTAGGGAAAAACCACCATCTATGGGGGGATTTTAGGTGGCCCCTGTATGGACCTAGAGACCACCTAAATTTAAAAAAAACTAGGGTCGCTATAAATTTTAAGCTTTTAAATCAGGCCCTAAACCCCTGTAGGGACCACTTTTTGACCATTTTTCAATAGACTAACCTCTGCCAGTTCATCTCAGGATAGTGAGCATGAGGATAACAAGTCGAAAAATCGTCAACCGATCCGATAATTATAAGAACAACTGCGATCAATGTAGTGATCATTGCTGCCACCACTGCTTGCCTGGAATATTTTTTTTAATGGAAACCAGGGTCAAAAATGGTCTAGGGCACTTGTGGCTCCTTTTTTTGAACTTTCTTTTGATTTTTCATTTTTGTAAGGATTCTTGCTCACTTTTGAAACGTCTTTCGAGCTTGAGAAGAATCATTTTGAATAAAACAGGGGTATTTTATGAGTCAAATTTGTTTCAAACCTATAAATCATGTTGAGAAAAGAAGCAGAAAATGGAAAAACAAAGGGATTTTTTTAGTTTTTTTATAAAGAAAAAAAGTTGAGAAAAAAAGTGATTATTGAAGAAATTGAGAATATTCTGGTGATATAGTCTTTTCAGAACACCTTACTATGTGCTAAAACGGCTTGAAATCAAAATTTCCATGTTTTTTTTTCAATTGAAAAGGTCGGAAAAGTGAAAAATTCCGATTCCTGACGTCAATCTTTTCAAAAAGACTTTTTTATTCCAATTTTCCAGCATTTTCCTTTCCTTTTATCAAATTGGCTCATAAATTGTCACTTTTTTCTCACCAAAAATCCTTTGGCGACTTGGGCAAGGTCATTGGGAACACGAGCAAACCGACGATCAGGATCATGTAACAAAAACTGATCTGTAGTTTTTCAAATATTATGATCAAGTTTGAATAAAACTAACATGAGTATTGAAATTGGCGTGAAGCATCGTTTCAAAATTTTTCGATGCCAATAGAAGAAAAACGACGGCGGCGCCGAATGACGTCACTTGTAGGATTGTGGAGACGAAATGACTGGAATAGGGTTACTGTACGTGGGATACGGTAGATTTTTTCTTGGATTAAGTTATGTAGACTCGTTTTTTGAACTCAAGGAATTAACTTTGTTGTAAATTCGAAACATGGAGACATATTTGTACTTTATTACAGTAACGGATTACGGTAGTTTTCAGAGTTACGGTAACAGAAACCTTAAAAAAATAGTAGTGGAAGCCTCTGAAAGTATTGGGGAAGAATGAAAAAACATTTTTTTTTCATTTCAGTCAATTTTTTACAGTTGTAGAATTCAGTTTTTTTTTTCCAATTGATTTTCAAATTTTAGAAAGTTCCTGTAGGAGCAAGTATGTCATTGTACTGAACATGAAGCTTCAAAAAATAAGTTTTTTTTTTAATATGACCGACCCGAATCGAGGTCCTCCAGCTCTTAACCCCATTGATGGGTATGGTTTTCGGCAATGGTCCCGGTACCTGAAAAATGATTAGATGAAATAACTTTTTTTACCATGCGAACTTCACTTGAAATAAAAAAACACCCCCCAAAAAAAGTCATTTTTAATTCAAAAATTTGATCATTTTTTTATACACGGCTGAAGGCTATCAGAGATTTCTTAGATTATATAATCGGCTGGAAAACGTAAATTTTGAACTTAAGTATCTGCATAAGCTTCAAGACCATCAATTTTTCATTAAAAATGGTCAAAAATTACCGGGTTTTCATTCAAATAGATATCCCTCCCTTTTTCGGCCTCAGTAGCCGTCGAAAATCACAAAGTACGATAAAAGAAAGGCTTACTCGGGAAATATCCGCTGCAAAATGACCCAATTCTCGGAGAGCAAAATACCCGTATAGGCGCAAATTATCGCGGCAACGATGATCAATACGATCCCCAATGGTGCGCCTGGAAAAATATTTTATATGTATCGAATTTGGAATTTAATTTGTCACGTTTTCATCTCTTATAAATTCCGCGAACTTTGTTACAGTCATTTTAAAATTTTTCACGGAATAAACTCGGAAAAATTGGGTTTATTTTCAGAAGAAAAATTGAGATTTTGATATTGTCTAGCTTTTTAGCAACTTTCCAAGGTTTTTTAAAACTTTAAAAACTAGTTGATTTTCCGTCTTTTTTCTTTTTTTCCGTATCCTACCTGTCGATAAAACGGCCCCAGGTAAGGCGATCAAACCGCCGCCGGCGTTCTCGCCGACGATGAACAACGCCGTGACGATCATGCTCATGCCCCGCTCGTTCACGTGCTTCTCGACGGATGCCCGAGGTTCGTCTTTCATTTTTAGTTCTTCTCTAGCTCAATACCTATAAGAATTGATGAGTTTTTGTGAACGTTTGTTGGAAAATGATCGGAAAGTACGGGAAATTATGGAAAAATAGGGGCTGGAAGCTGCGAAAACTAACAGTATTTTCATTTTCCATAGGTTGGTTTAGTCTATGAAAATTGAGAAAAGAAAATATTATCAAAAAAGACGGGTGAAATCGGTATGCAATAAGAGGAGTTAGAAGCTTGATAAGTCGAAATTTTCAAGGTTAAGGCGGCCTCGAAAAATTAAAAAAAAAAGATAGGATTCAAAATTTGAGGAAATCCGAGCAGAAAATACAGGAGAAAACGTTTCAAAAAGATCTTTCTGCAATTTTTTTACAAGTTCGAAAAAGAAAAAGATCAAAAAAAGACTATTGGCAGTGGTAAAATTATAGAAAAAAATAGGGACTAGAAGCTTAGAAAAAAATCAACAATATTCAAACTTTTTACAAGCCTCGAAAAAGTTGAATAGAAAAAATTAAAAACAAGATGGCTGGAGAAGGCAATGAAAAAAACTGATTTTGAAAGATTCCTGGAAAAAAATTCATCACAGTTTTGAAAAAAATAATCAAAAAAAGGTAAAATTTGAAGTATTTAAGTGGGCCTTCGACGATGGGCTTGAAAATTGGGAAAAAAATTTTTTTCAAAAAAATTTAAGAAAAAGATGAGCAGAAAATCCAGCGTAAAACTATCATTCAGATCTTCCTGGAAATATTTGAAATCATTTTAAGGAAAAAAATTACCAAGAAAGACGGATAGAATAGGTAAAACTGGAAGAAGTGGAGGGGGGGATAAGAAGCTCAGCATTTTTACAATACTTGAAACTTTCCACGGCCTCGAAAATTCGAGAAAAAAGTCACAACTCACAATTACCCTTATTTCAGATCGTTCAAGGTTTTTTTCGACTTATTTAATCTACGTTCCAGTCCTGGATTATAGAGTTGAGAAAACACAGTTTTTCGTTAAGTCTGCGAATGGCTTTATTCGTTCAATGAAAAATTGAGATTGAGTCGCATGCTTTTTGATGTCCATGAGAGTAGTTTTAAATCTGCCGCCACAGAATTTTGGACCATTCCAAGTGCTACCAGGGTCTCAAAATGCACGCAGAGAAAAGAAATATAAAAAAAAACTTAGGAGAAAGTTTCTGGCAAATGAACTTTTGCTGAAAATAGTTCAATTCTTCAAAAGTTTGCCTCAACCTTCAAACTTTCCAACATGCCAAAAAAAACCGAATTGAAAAAGTGCTGTTTTCTTCAAGAATTGTACAAAGAGGACCAAGAAAATTCGAAAACCAGAAAAAAAACTCCTTTTTTGTTCAAAAGCACAGTGTTTTTAGTTGAAATCGTATAAGAAACGGGCTGCAAGAGAAAAAAGAGCTACGATCAGAAGTTTGTTTTTTTTTTTCGAGAGAACAAACACGATTTTTCCGGTGTTTTGATGTGTTCAAACATTCCCTGAGGGGTTGGAGAAGGTGCTCGAAGAAAAAAATACGGCGGGGATAAGATTGAGTGGGATCAGGAGAACGGGACGGATCCGGGAAGAAATCAGAAAAAGTGGGAAAATTCCAGGTTTTGGTCGGAAGTCATTTTTTTTCCCTTTTTGGATCTTACTCAGAAGTTTTAGTATGAAAAATAGGCCTAATTAAAAATAATTACCAAGTTTTTCAGCCGGAATCAATTATTTTCCTTTTTTAGAATATCATCTAGAACTTGAATGCAAAGTTTAATCAATAATACCTCACACGGAAGATATTTTATTTTGCGGTTGGGAATTTTACTGTAAATCCGCCAGAACACTCCTTAGTGGACCAGATAAATATCCTGAAACTCTCAACTTGCACAACTTTTTAGTTTTCGAGAAATAAAAGCCCAAAGTCTCAAAATAGTCTACTTTTATGGGTTTAGAGGGTTTTCTTTGACTTTGAGGCGGATTTTCCCAAAAACGAGAAAGTTGTACAGGTTGAGACTTCTAGAATATTTTCCTGGTACATCAAGAAGTGTTGTAGCGAATCTGAGGAAGTTTCCAACCGCAACCCGTATAATGACCTCACTGGGCAGACCAGTGATAGGTTAACTGAACGTAATTCTGATGACGCAGGTTCGACCCCGCTTGGCTGCTTTTTTGCCATTAAAATAATTATTTTCGCCTTCGAAATAGGTTGATGAATCTCCAGATCGATAGTTTTCCATAAGTCCATAGCTAAAAGGGGTAATCAGTAAGAAGGTTTGAAAAAAACAGAAATAAAAAAAAAATCATTCTTGACTCAAAAAAAGATCAGTGAGCCACGGAATGACCACAGATGATTTCGAAAAATAGGAAGTTTTTCCCACCTTGAAAAATTCTCGAAAACTAGCAAATTATTTAAAAAAAGTTGGAGTTAGTTTGAAATCAACAATCTTCCGTAGATCGCAACCATAGGGGTTTCAGATTAAATAATTTTATTTTTTTCAAATTTGAAAATTTCTGAAGAAAAACGACCAAAAAAATGCACTCGGAAGTGTTCGACTTGATCTTGAGCTGAAAAAAAAAATCGCGACGTTGAAAATTGATCAAAAATCATTATGCAACTCCAAAAAGAAATTTCTTTTGAAAGATCGAAACAAGTGCTATTTTTTAAATTCTACTTTTTAAGTGCATATTAAAAAGCGACCGCAAACCCGTCAATGAGTTCAGAAAAAGCCTAAAAAAACAGGAAAAAAATCACGATCAAGCTTAAAAAAATGTGTTAGAAACACTGCCGGAGAAGCTGCATAAAAATAGCAAAACTCAGAACTTCATGAAAATCGAAAGACTGAAAAAAAGAAGACTTTTAATAAACCGCAACGCGACCGCAAACACATATGTCAGTTCGAAAAACCTTCAAAAAAAAAAAAAAAATTTAAGACATTTCTAAAATTTTTGAGAATCACGACCAAAAAAATGCTCTTAAAAATCAACATATTGAAGAAAAATGACTACTCAAGCCTCAGGAAAACCGCGACGCGACCGTAACCGCGACTCATTAAAAGGAAAACTTCTCGGGACTGACATTTTCCTGAGATCCAGACGTGTAAATAGGGTTCGTGACAAGGCGGAAAATGAGCAAAAAACCTGATTGAACGTCTTCAGAAACGAGGCTAATTTATCGCCCTGGACAAATCGTAAATCTTTCAAGTCGCCCCACCCCTAATGATGGTTCCACGAAAATTGTTTCTTTATGTTTTCATCGAAAAGGTTCTTAGCAAAGAAGTTTTCAAACTTGCTTCGTGGTGATATGGACAAGGTTTGACACGAAAATTCTGAAAAAAAAACTTTTTGAGAAGTGAAAAAATGGCAAAAATAAGTATCCGTTGAGCGGGATCGAACCTGGGTCTTCAATATTATAACCTATTCATTTAACCATCAGGCTAGTGCCCCCAAAAACGAGTTACTCATGTAAGTCATTAAAAAATTGAAGTTTTGACGGTTTTAAAAATAAAAATTGAAGATTTAGTAGCAAAAAAAATGTCAAGCGGAGTCGAACCCGGGACTTCAGGTTCACAGATTCTTTAGAATAGAGTAAAAAAAAAGAGTTACTGAAGAAGCTTACTCTAGGAAGAATATTTATTGATTTTAACAAAAAATGGCAAAAAAATAAGCTGTGTGGGATTGAACTTCGGTCTTCAAATTCGCATTTTGTTCACTTAACCACTAGGCTAGGCATCATGGACAAGATGATATAACGCGAAAAATCCTGAAAATAGAAGAAAGAATTGCAAAAAGTATCTGTCAAGCGGAAACGAACTTTGGTCCTCAGATTGACGTTTTATTTCGTTATCCATGAGGCCAGAGTCTTCATAGACAAATTATTGAAAGATACAACATGAAAAAAACTTATTTCAAATAAATTATACATCTAAAAATAATATATAAATAAAAAACGGTCAAAAAAAAAAATGCCAAGTGGAGTTGAACCTGGGTATTCATATTGACATATTATCAATTTAGCCACTCGACTACAGTTATGGCTCAATGGAACATTGGAATTTGGGATAAAAACTCAAAAAGTTCGGTTCAAAACCATCAAGAAAGACGTTTTTTGGGAAGGCAAGCGACCTTCGTAACGATGGGTATTCTTATGGCCTTTTTATGGGCCTTCCGGAAGGCCTAGGCTCGTTAAAATGGAAAAATGGCCAGAGTTTTCAATTTTATGTGATCAGCGTAAAATTCAGAGGTCGTCTAGTGGTTTTTTGGGAATCAGAGAACGATAAAACTGGGTTGGAAGTGGGAAAAAGGGTTGAAATTCTGAAGGGGATGTTTGAAATTATCATAGAGCCATACATTTTTTGATTGAATTATTGATTGTCGGCTTCCAAAAAAAAAAAAAGATTTTCGGCTTCCGAAAAAAAGTGACTGGCTTTACAGAGAAACACCTGGGATTTCTAACATGAGAAAAAGCAGGAAAATAAGTTGCTTACATGAGCAATATCCATAAGAACTGACGCAAGGCTTAGTAACATTTTCAATGGAAAAATCACCTTTTTGAACAAAAACTATCAAAATGACGTGAGTGAACAATAAAGATCGGATATAATATATACATAAATAGGACGATTACGCGAAACAAAAACGAGAAAATCCCGTTTTTGGGCCCCGCCAAAACAGCGCCAGATAGAAAAATAGGCGGAGCCTGATTTTATTAATGCCACGCCCCCATCGTCCATCCATTTCAAAAGTTGGAAATTTGAATATTGACGATGAAATATGACGACTAGGAAACGTGAGAAAAGAAAAAAGAATTGCAAAGGTGTAGAATTACGAGAAGGCGTGGCTTGAGAGAATTGTTGCTCATGTTACGGATCGCACGTTTCTTCCTTGTTACACGTGCTTCATGGAGAACAGTTGTTCCAGCAGTTCTGACCCGGGTTTTGAGCTTTCAAAGTCGGAAAACGTGGTTTTTTTCGTCAATTGGTGATATAATGTTCCAAAAGTAAGCTTTTCAAAATACGTTTCAACTCACTTATTTGAGGAAATAATCAAGCAGTTTTATAATCCAGTGGATTGGATGCTGAGGAAGCATGAAATAAACATTTCATTGAAATTGAAATTTTGTGGAAAATGGTTCTCACATTTAATATGATGAACTCTCGTTGGTGGGAACTTTTTTTTATGCGGAGGAAGGAAAAATTGAGAGATTTTTTGATTGGAAACTGGGAAAACAGGAAGAAAAATAAAAAGTTGAAAAGTTCACTTTGAAAAATGGTGAATAGCGAATTTCAAAGTACAGTTGAAAGATGGATATAACAGGATATATTACTGAGGACGGTAATTTTCATTTTCTGTTTGGACTTCTTTGAAAAATTAGTCAGAATAATCCTTGGAAAAAGTTTCAACCTTCAAAAAAATTTTAGCTTTTGGAAAAAAGAGCTCAAAGTCAAAGAAAATTCAGAAATTCTGAGGTGTTCTTTTTCAAAAAAAAAAAAATTTTTGAAAATCTTCAAAAAACGGGGAGTTTTCTGGATATTTATCAGAAAGCTCAGAATTATGTTAACACTCTAGTGGGATTACGCGCAGCCGAAACAGAAAAAAAAAATGAGAGAAAAATCGATCGTTGACCCACGAGATTGCTTTAAATTCCGACTAGAGTTCATAGCGGACCGAACTGAACCGGAGGAGCCCTGAGGAAGGGGAGCGGGAGCGAAAGTTTGTGTGTTGGCGGCAACTGTTCGGTCGAAACGCCGGGCGGTTTGAGTGATGGCAAGGCTCGGCGGCCACGTTTTGTTTCAATTTCGAGTCGTCATAACATAACAATCCGTTCAATAGCTTGAAGGTTATAGTTTGATCGTGAAGCCTCGCTGGGAAGGTTAAAGGAGCATAGAGAAGTTTTATAGAGGTCTCGAGGCGAAGAGCCTTTTGACAGTTTCTTTTCAGTTTCTACCAGAGCTCTGAGGCTTTCAACAGCTTTTTTCTGGGTTGAATGTTGTTTTCTAAGTTTAAGATTTAAGTTTATAGTTTGATCAAAAAGCCTCACTGGAAGCATGGACGAACTTCATAAAGGTCTCGAGGCGAATAGCCTTTTTCAAGGTTTTCAATTTGAGTCTTCATAACATAAAAATTTGTCATGTAGCTTGAAATTCATAAGAAAGTTTGTAGCTTGATCCGAAACTCTCGTCGGGAAGTTTAAAGGAGCATGGACGAATTTCATGAAGGTCACGAAGCGAAGAGCCTTTCTCAAGGTTTTTAATTTGGTCGGTTTGAGTCGTCATAACATAACAATTCGTTCGATAGCTTGAAAATCTTAAAAAAGTTCATAGTTCGATCTGAAACTCTCGTCGGGAAGTTTAAAGGAGCATGGAGAAGTTTTATAAAGGTCTCGAGGCGAAGAGCCTTTTCAAGGTTTTTTCTAATTTGGATGGTTTGGGTCGTCATAACATAACAATTCGTTCGATAGCTTGAAAATCTTGAAAAAGTTCATAGTTTGATCCGAAACTCTCGTCGGGAAGTTTAAAGGAGCATGGAGAAGTTTTATGGAGGTCTCGAGGCGAAGCGCCTTTTTCAAGATTTTTGATTTGAGTCGTCCTAACATAACAATTCGTTCGATAGCTTGAAAATCTTGAAAAAGTTCATAGTTTGATCCGAAACTCTCGTCGGGAAGTTTAAAGGAGCATGGAGAAGTTTTATGGAGGTCTCGAGGCGAAGCGCCTTTTTCAATGGTTTTTTTAAAATTTGGACGGTTTGGGTCGTCATAATATAACGATTCGTTCGATAGCTTGAATAATCTTAAAAAAGTTCATAGTTTGATCCGAAGCTCTCGTCGGGAAGTTTAAAGGAGCATGGAGAAGTTTCATATAGGTCTCGAGGCGAAGAGCCTTTTTCAAGATTCTTATTTGAGCCGTCATAACATAACGATTCGTTCGATAGTTTAAAAACCTCGAAAAAGTTCATTGTTTGATCCAAAACTCTCGTCGGGAAGTTTAAAGGAGCATGGAGAAGTTTTATGGAGGTCTCGAGGCGAAGCGCCTTTTTCAAGATTTTTGATTTGAGTCGTCATAACATAACAATTCGTTCGATAGTTTAAAAACCTCGAAAAAGTTCATTGTTTGATCCAAAACTCTCGTCGGGAAGTTTAAAGGAGCATGGAGAAATTTTATGAAGGTTACGAGGCGTTTCTGCAGATTAAAACACTCTGAGAAGAATTCCTAGGTTGAATTTTATTTTCGAAGCTCCTTCTTATCGAAAATGCAAGTATTAGTTCTCGAAAAAATGAAGCTATCATTCATATTGACAAACCATAAGAAGGTACCAAAAAACTGAAAAACAGCAAAAATCAGAAAGGAAACAAGAAAAAAAATCCGGTTTTATAATGTTCCTATCGAGGCCGAACTTCGCTGAACAGAACTCTTCCTGTTTTGGATTTTTTTTAGATGATTCAATAAAATAGGAAGTAAAGCATAAATCTTTATACATGTACGTTCAACAAAGAAAAACAACAAAAGTTGAGAAAATAGGCAAATTTTGGAAGGATTTTTGGGTCTTTGAGCTTCAGACTAGCCAAAAAATTGTCTTAAAAAGAAGCTTGTTTCTAGTAATTTTATGGTCTTCAAATTCAAAAAAAGCACAATTGAAGACTTAATTTTTATTATTAAGCTCCAAAAAACCTTCCAAACGTTGCCTATGAAAGACTGAGAGTAACCGTAGTTCCTGTTAAGATTTCTTTTCGAGTTCTTGGGCCTTAGAAACGTTAACCGGACGAGTCGGAGCATTTCTAGGGATCACTTCAGTAGCTTCAGAACTCTTGAGTGATTCCTAGAATTGCTCAGAAACGTCCGGTTTTCGATCCAAGTTAATGTGGCAAAAGGGACTAGACAGCTGGGGCGACCTTGCTCTTTTCCGACTTTTTCACTGTCACCTCTTCGGTCCAGATGGCTGGCTTGTCCGTGAAGAAGAAGTAGGCCAGAATAGTTGCCTGAAATCAGTATGAATAATGGAATTTTGGGTAGGAAGAAACCTTCAAAAAATCAGAAAAAGGTTCTTTTCAATTCTTCAATCTCAAAGTTGAGTTCCAAGCTTTCTAAGACTTAATTTCACAACTCGCAACTATGATAAGCTACCAAAAAGTTGAAAATCCCAGAAAACGGACCAAGACCATGGCGGCACAGTAGGCGAAGAAAACACGTTGCCACTGAGTCCGGTCGGATTCGTCGGTGACGAACAAGGAGACGATGGCGGGACCCGTGAACAAAGCGACGCATTTGGTGAACTGCACTGCCGAGATGACGACGTGGGAGAATTGTCTGAACAATAGATAGCTCAGTCGGTAGGAGTTCTTTCTAAAGCTCGAAAGGTCGTTGGTTCGAATCCGAAAGATTATCCAAACTTTTTTACGCAAAACTCTGTAGTCTCTTCTTCCTCGCACAAAGAGAAAGAAAAGAGGGCGCAGAAAGGTCAGACAGCTTTATGACAAGATGTTTCTAAGCTTCTAGATTTCACGTTCTTAGTTCTTCGCTTTCTGGGACTCAAACTTTGCGGTCGCATCAAGAATGACTCAAAGCGTCGCGGTTGCGTTACAGATTATACTCCTTTATGACCTAGAGCGGAAACCGTTTAGAGTCGGGCGCGCCTTGAGAAACACCACTTTGAATCCTAGTCACTCCAGCGGAGACTGTGGGACAGTTACAGTAAATCAAGTGTGCAAGAAAAGTTTTTTAACCGAAAACTTTGTCCTTGGAGCCTCAAAACTTCGGTTCCTATGGTTTTTTCTTCAAAATCTCTTTGAAAACCTGGCATGAAGTGTTCCGCATTTGTAGAATCCCCCACTGTTGAAACTCGTCGCACATTCAAGCAACATCAAGCAAATCACTGCTGCCGTTTTATTTTCTGAAGGTATGAATCTGAAAAAAAAAACCTTGAAAATAACAAAAACTTCATATTTTTCCCACCCGAAAATGGCGAAGAAAATTCCGACGCCACCAACGGCGATGGAGTTGAAAATGTGGATCTTGGTCATTTCGGAGACGCATCTGAATTTTGTTGGATTTATTTTCGTTGTTAATTAGTTATTAGGTACCTTAATTTATCACTGATAACAGCTGCAACGAATCTCAATGGAATATGAACGGCAATGATGGCCCCGAGCCAGAATCCGGTCTCAGCAATCTGAAAATATGATTTTTTAAAGAGTTACGAAAAATTCAATGCTTTGTCATACCAGCCATGGTTAAGTACATAATCTTGCGGAAAAGTCTAAATCTGCGCATAGATTTGAGAATTTATGGTGAATGTCTCAAGTCTTAATGATATGTAAACGGTAATGATAGCTCCAAGCCAAACTTCGGTTTCAGCGGTCTCAACTTGAGGCTTAAAAAAGTATCAGTATTTATTAAAGAGCTCTGAAAAACTCAACACTTTGTCATACTAGCCATGCTTAAGTACATGATCTTGCGGAAAAACTGCAAAATTGCGCATAGGTTCGAAAACATGCTCGGACCGCCGTAACGGAAATCGGAAGTGCTCCGGAAGTTTCTAAGCAATTCTAGGGATCCCTTGAGCGTTCTGAGGCTACTAGAGTGCTCACTAGAAATGCTCCGACACGTCCGATTCTCGTTACCAAGGTCCGAGTAATGGGAATAAGTTCTTAGAAGAGTTCAGAGAACAATGGACGTGTAAAGTCCAGAAAAATCTTTGGGTAGCTCAAAATGACAATTTTGAAACACTTTAAAGTTTTCGTTTCATTCAAGCTGCTTTTTTACTTACCAGGAAGGTCAGAAAATTTTCTAAACATCGGATTTTTTTTTTGATGAGAACCGGTCATTGTTCAAATAGAACCACAGAAGACTCAAAATTTTGAAAACTAAAAAAAAGAAAAAGTTTCAAGTTTTCATCTTCATTCTAAAATTTTTAATAAACTTACATTTTTAAGGCTGAAGCTTAGTTCTCAGGAAAAAAAAACGAAAAAAAAAACTTTTTTCCAAGTTTATTTTTTTTTCAACTCATCAATAGTCCGTTATATTCAGAATTTCAATCCTTTCTCTGCAAAAATGAAGGCAACGGTTAAAAACGAACCCCGAAATGCAGTGCCCTCCTGAAGTAGATTGGAGCGTACATTGTGATGAGAATTGTTCCTGATAATTCGACAAATGCACAGATCCATACACACAGAATAACGGGGCTTGTTAGGAGCTTCTGAAATTGGAGTTTTCGGCTAAAAAAGAACTTTTTGAAGTTTTTTATTCAACAAGGATAAACTGGAATTCTTGCGGGACTTTTAAAGAAGCGTAAAAAATTTTATTTATTGGAAAGTTTGCCATTTTCGTGTTATTTCAGCTAGATTTTGAACACTCTAATAAGAATTTTAGAGCTAAAAAGGCCGAAAAAATTTGTTCAAAATCCAATTTTTAGTCTTCAAGTCTTCAAATTCCAACTTCTGCGCCTTTAAATTTTCAGGAAAAACCATAAATTTTCAAAAAAAAAAACTGACCATGTAGGGTACCTCGCAGTTGTTCTCCAGATGCGCCGAGGACTTGTTCTTCTGAATTTTCGACAGCTCTCTTTTAGAAACCCTGGCGTCGTCGGCCGGATCGTCGCTGTAGACGAACACCCAGGCCATGAACAGGGCGACGCCGCCCAGGGCGTGCAGATAGTACGACCAGCGCCACCCGAGGGAGGACTCGCAGATCTGGAAGTTGGTTTGGTTTTGGTTGGAAAACCTGATAAAATAGGTTTTTTGATCGAAATTTTCATGGGAAGTGAAAAAATCTGAATTTTTGTGGAGGGTTCTATGAATAGTTGGCATAAGCGGGCAAGTAAAGGCTGTATGAATTCAGAAGAAGGACTTATAAAGAAGAAAATCGACTTTCAACTTTTCGGAATTTTTTTCCAAGTGTTCCTCCTTCCTTCTATGCCTATTCTTATCAGCTTTTGCATGTTTAAGTCGTAGAAGATAAAAATGCAGGTTATAATGTGGAAATTTCTATTCAAATTTGTATGATCCATACATAAGCAGACTATTTTAAAGGCCGCCGACCCCTCCTCCCAATTTTTCCTGAATTAAAATTAAAAATACCTTTCTAAATCTAAAAATTGTATCATCATGGCCGAAAATACATCCCGGAGGTTGAAAATTGATTTTATTCAAAATTTTCCAAATTTTTGGGAGCCACCCTTGACTATAGTCTATTCCGCGCCAGCTTGTCACGTTTTTCTTCCCCCCAAAAAGACCGTATACCAAATTAGATCAAATTTCTGCTTTTATAACGGCATGAAATAAAGGTCTCGAAGCGAAAGTTGGTTAAATTTGACCTGGCCTTTTGGCGGAAAGAAAAACGTGACAGGCTAGCGCGGAATGGCCTATAACTTCTGTACTAAATCATCTATGGTATGATCCGAGTTTTGGCCTTTTCTAAACTCCTAAAAATGCCAGAAGCTTTTGGAACAGTTCAGACAGGCTAATAAAGCTGAAAGTGTCCTTCTTGGTTGGATTTTTATCATTTTCAAGCTTCTAATCTGAGTGGGTGATAAGCTCCTTTCTAATGGTTAAAATTGAAAGTTTCATCTTTCTTATTCTCTTTATCATGACTTCTTGCATAGTAAAACTCTGAACTGAAGACGCGCCCGAGTTTTTCTCTGCCGCATGCTATTTCTTCACTCTCTGACTGGGAGAAAACGACTAAATAGCATGCGGCAGAGAAATATTCGGGCACGCCTTCAGGCGCTCCAGCTCAGAGAAGTCAATACTTGGGTAATTCCTGGGAAAGTGTTGGGAATCTAACCAGCCCACGGCGTTCCTAATGGGGTGAGAGAAGGTGAGCGAGGCGTCAAAGTTTCTGAATTTAAAAAAAAAGTAAGTGCGCGCTTCAAATAGAAGGACTGTGACGTCACTGCTACCTATCGTTGCAAATTAAACTGAGTATTCAACGGCATGAAGAATGCATTTGGCTGCGTACTTGAGATATCAAGTTTCGCGCCAAAACATTTTTGACGTCTCCCCACCCCGTTCGAGAACGCTGTGAGCCGAAAGCTAGAATATCTTGAGAAGGCCTTAGGGAGGTGTTCAGAAGGTAGTTGGAAGGTATGAAATTGAAAATGCTGTACGGAAGCCTTCTAGCAGGCTTCTGGAAGGTAAGAAGGGAAGGCATGTGGAAAAAGTTTGACCAATTGTTGGAAAGCTTTGAAACACCTCCCCAGAAACTGTCTGAGGAGCTAAAGCCCAACTGATAAGATCAAAGGTTCTACTCCTAGATTCCATTTTTTGCCAAATACAAGCCTCCTCACCGCACCACTCAGCCCATTGGTGATGATGGACGAGATTCCGGTGAACGAAGTTAGAGTCGCGATGAAAATCGCCGTTTCTTTCAAGGGAGCCCATCTCGAGACGATCAGACCGATCGCGGCAAAGTCGGCCGAGTAGGCGACTCCCTGAAAAATCGTAGTTATTGATTTTCAAGACTTGAATGGTGGAAGGATACGAACTAGTGATCCGTTGGGTAATGAAGTAGCTCTTTAGCCACTCGACTATCAGTTTCAGCTAGTTTTGGTCCGATTCCAATGCAGGAACGTGAATTTTTGAACTTCTCAAGGGATCTTTCAGCACCTTATTTTTAGTTTGATCGATCCAGTTCATGAACCTAAGCTTTGTAAGCTCCAAAATGGAATACCTGAACGAATCGGAGAAAAACCAAAGGTCCAAAACCGAGAACTGCAGCCTCGGGAACTAAAACGGTTGATATGGCGGATATTATCCCAGCGATGAAGAATGGGTACCTGGAAAGGTGTAGCGTCATTTTCAAGAGAAAGCTTCTTCAAAAGTCAATCCGAAGTTTCAAGCTTTGATGGTTTTGTGACCACTTTAGGGATTTAAAGTTTAAGGGACCACTATATTGTTAGAGTTAGTGACCACTTTAGAAGTCCAGGGGGTGCTACTAGACCATTAATACTTTAGTGGCCACTAACACGTGACTTTTATAGAGGTGAACTTAGTGGTCACTTTAGGGTTGGGACTTTTTAGTGGCCACTATATAGTAGTCGAATTAGTGACCACTTGAGTGGCTGATTTTACTGGGCTCTTTCGAAGTCCAAGGGGTACTACTAGACCATTAATAACTACTATAGTGGTCACTGAAACGTGACTTTTGTAGAGGTCAGCTTAGTGGCCACTTTAGGGTTCGGACTTTTTAGTGGCCACTATAGTGTTCAAATCAGGGACCACTTGAGTGGATAAAATCTAGTGGGCTCTTTAGAAGTCCAAGAGGTGCTACTAGACCATTAATAGCTACTATAGTGACTACTGTAATAACACGCCTAATAGTTACTTTTAAAGAGGTGGTTTTAGTGGCCACTATAGTGTCCTCTCCAAGTTATCCTTGAGGAATTTCCCTAGTGGCCACTTCATAAAAAAGCATTTCATAAAAAAATCGAAAATGATGACGTCATATGAAAAATCAAGAGAAATGACGTTAGAAATTAATAAGAGTTTTTTGGAATTTTTCGAAATCAATTTTCCTATTTCTAGCTCACTTTTCCAATAATTATTCCATTTTTTTCACCTTCTTAGAAAAATCAAAAAAACTGTGGGAGAGAGAAGAAAATCGTAAAATATCAAAAATTACTGAACTTTCGTCTCATGACATCATATTTTTGATCGGAAAGAACTGGGCGCCCGGCGGGTTCCTTCTCTTTTTCCCCGATTCCCCGAAAAGATCAGAGAAGAACCGTTTGACCTTAGGTTCGATTTCTTCTCTCCGTTTGATGATCTCTAATTGATTTTGATTGGAATCGAAATGAGGTGGAGATTTGGTTCAATTTGTTCGTCTAGCCTTGATTTTCGCTGTCTTTGTTGGTTCTTTGGAGAGTTTTAAGATAGTCAATCAAAAGAGGCTCTTCTTTGAAGCTTAAAAAAGGTTTTTTCGATGATGTCATCACGGTTAACCTCTGACGTCATACGGATCAGGAAAATGACGTCAGAAAATATGAAAGTCTTCCAAATTTGATAATTATAAACTTTATCCAATCTGAAGCTGATAAGTCAGTTTTAAGCCTTCTTGAACTAGTAATGACGTCATTAGAGGCAAAATATGACGTCATAATGAGTTATAGTTCGATTGATTTATTCAACATGACGTGCATTTTTCACTCAGAAATTTTGACTAATATTGAATTTTCAAATGAAATCGAAGATGACGTCATGAAACTCAAGAAAAATGACGTCATAATACTTTTTTTTTGAGCTCCATGACGTCATAATAATTGAAAAAAAGTTACCTGGCCCCAAATCGAACATACAGGTAGTTGACTGGCATCGTGCCGGTAATGGTTCCAACCGCCAAAGCCCATAGAATTTTCGATTTTTCGTCAGGCGTGTAGTCGAATTTGCTGCGCATCGTCTGGAAGATGTTGCTCATTTTATAGATTTTATCAAACTGGATAATAAAAAAATTTCTAGACATTAATTTGAGATTTTCCGAAGAATATTTTCATATTAGAAAAAAAGCCGACTCAGTCGAAAGTCACTTATTGCTCATATTAGCCAATGCATTGCTCATTTTACTGTAATTTTATTTTTTTCATTAGATCTGAAATTTTTTTGTGTTCGAGAAAAAAATTTAGTAAATACTTTTTTTCGAAACAAAAAAACTAACTTATAGTTTATGCACTGTTGCTTGAGACACTATAGGCGCATTTAGGTTGCGCCCGACCCCAAACGACTTGCGCCGTTGCATTTTTGAGCGTCAAGTCATTCCTACACACAACTCCAGTAATATTTCGAACTCAACTTTTTTTAATTCGGTTCAAAATACATTCTGAACCCCATCAGGCCATAAATTGCAACTGATAATCGTTTGACAAAGGGCTGTGAGAAACGAGAAACTCGTGTTCGCGTTGTACAAGTCTCGAACGAAGGTCGAGAAGAACAGGAGACTTTTTTACAGCGATGCAAAAATCGACGATTGAAACCTGTTCCACTCCCTATCATTTATTATCCCTTGATTATCGTTAGTTATTACTTTTCTTTGCATTGTGTGGTGCGTTTCACTTTCATGTGAATGGAAGAAGGATGGCATAGTGGATAGGAGCTTTGACTGGCAGATTTTTGATGCTGGTTCCGATCTTGGTCCGGTTTTTTGGCAAAAAAGGCTTTTATGGACATATTTTTGATCTTCCTTAATAGAGAAACGGTTCAAGGAAAAAGTGGTGTAATGGCTAAGAGCCTTGGCTCGAGATCAGGAGGTTGCTGGTTCGGATCCATCAGAGGTTTGGCTAACAAGGTCTTTGACAAAAGAAGAGATACAATTTTTTAATCTTTCCCTTGTTTTCTGTTAAGATTTGCTCTAATAGAGAAGCTGCTTAAAAAAAGAGTTGTGTAATGGCTAAGAGCCTTGGCTGGAGAGCAGAAGGTCCTTGGTTCGGATCCACCAGAGGTTTTTGGCGAACAAGGTCTTTGACGAAAGAGTAGCTTGGATATATAACTTTGGATCGTTTCCCTTTTTTTTTTTGTGATAAGGTTTGCCCTAATAGAAAAGCAGTTGAAAGAGTGGTGTAATGGCTAAGAGCCTTGGCTAAAGAGCAGAAGGTCCCTGGTTCGGATCCACCAAAGGTTTTTGGCGAATAAGGGTTTTGACGAAAGAGCAGATATAATTTTTTTATTTTTTGCTTCTTCTCTGATAAGTTTTTCTTCAATAAAAAAAAGCAGTTGAAGGAAAAGTGGTGTAATGGCTAAGAGCTTTGGTTACAGAACATGAGGGTGCTGGAACCAGAGGTTTTTGGCGAATAAGGGTTTTGACGAAAGAGCTGATATAATTTTTTTATTTTTTGCTTCTTCTCTGATAAGTTTTTCTTCAACAAAAAAAGCAGTTGAAGGAAAAATGGTGTAATGGCTAAGAGCCTTGGTTGGAGAGCAGAAGGTCCCTGGTTCGGATCCACCAGAGGTTTTTGGCGAATAAGGGTTTTGACGAAAGAGCTGATATAATTTTTTTATTTTTTGCTTCTTCTCTGATAAGTTTTTCTTCAACAAAAAAAGCAGTTGAAGGAAAAATGGTGTAATGGCTAAGAGCCTTGGTTGGAGAGCAGAAGGTCCCTGGTTCGGATCCACCAGAGGTTTTTGGCGAATAAGGGTTTTGACGAAAGAGCTGATATAATTTTTTTATTTTTTGCTTCTTCTCTGATAAGTTTTTCTTCAATAAAAAAAGCAGTTGAAGGAAAAGTGGTGTAATGGCTAAGAGCCTTGGCTGGAGAGCAGAAGGTCCTTGGTTCGGATCCACCAGAGGTTTTTGGCGAACAAGGTCTATGATGGACAAGTAGTTATAATTGTGGACCTTTTTTCTGATAGATTTTTCCTGATTGAGAAAGCAGGTGAAGTAAGAGGTGTGTAATGGCTAAGAGTCTTAGTTGAAAGAAGGAGGTCGCTGGTTCGGATCCTCTAGGGGCTTTTTGCCGGAAAAAGGTCTCTGATGGACAAGGAGTTATAATTTTGGACCCTTCTGCTTTTTTTTTCTAATAAGATTTGCTCTAATAGAAAAGCAGTTGAAAGAGTGATGTAATGGTTAAGAGCCTTGGTTGATGATCGAGAGTTCGCGGTTCGGATCCACTATGGGCTTTTTTGCCGGAAAAAATGCAAAAATTACCCCTTTTTTCGATACCGAAGAAGAACCCAAAAAAAAAAATGAAAGATGACCTTGAAACTTCAAAGGTTGTCATTTTTTTTCTACTCTTTCAATCGGTTGATCAATCAAAAAGAGAATGATATGAGTGGATCGGTTAAGGTTACGGTGGTTTCCTTTTGAAGGCTACATTTGGAATGGCTGATTTTCGACTGAAATGAACGAAAAAGGCTCATTTTCCCTTCTTTTTTTGAAAATGAAAAAAAAAAACCAACCCCATTGGCATCAACCACAGCGTCAGAGAAATCATCCTGCATGCAGATAAATGTGAAATTGATGACATTGTGATTGGAACAAATCGAAACGAGGCAGAAGAAACCGACGAGTACGACTAGAAGTCGGTAATTGTCACCCCAGAACATTCCTGGAAATTTTTCAAAAGTTGGTAGAGTGGATAGAAGCTTTGGTTGTTGATTTTGAGACGAGGGTTCGAGGTCTGACGATGGTAATTTTTGCGAAATTGGATCGATAAAGAGTTAAGAGATGGGTGATATGGCAGAGACTTCTCTAGAGCACAAAATGAACTCCAGGAAAAAAATTTTTTTCCCGAAAATTATCAGAAGAACAGTTGGTTATGAAAATGAAATTAGAAAATGACAAGGAAAAAATTTCTGGTCGCATGGGGAATGGCTCACCGCGTTGCGGCTGCCAAGCGATAAATTTGAAGCTTCATCCGACCCAAAAGGGACTTGCGCCCAACATGAAATGAAAATTTCGAACTTTAACTGCTAAATTAGAGCCATTCCAAATGCGACCAAGAAATTTCAAGCTTTCAGAACATTTTTCAAAAAAAAAGTAACAGTTACACATGATGTCAAGCTCGAAAATTCCCGCATTCCCTCGTGTTTTCCCAGTCTTTTTCAACGTTGCTCAAGTTTGCTCATCGGATGTCGAAATCATTGCGCGGCTGATCGAAAAACAAGGAAAAATACACACAAAACCAGAACCAATCAGGAAGAACGGAGTTTTTGGAACACCGAGAAACTGGAAAATGCGATCACTTTTTTTGTGATATTTGTTTTGATTGAGAATGATGTCATTGACAGTCTAGGAGTTTTTAAATTGAATTTCGATTGGGAAAAAAATCTGGCTTTTCTGAAAAATGGAAAGAATTGAGAAAAAGAGAAGTGTTCTCTGAATAAAAATGTTCGAGATTTTCAAGTGACCCCTTAAGAGGTTGGAAAACCATTTATTTGTTGAGAATCGATATATTTATCTTCAAAGAGGGCTAGAAAACAAAACTAAATAAACCTTCGGAAAAACTTAAGTGGCCACTTAAAGATCTTCATTTCTAAGTGGTCTTTTAAGAAGATTTCAAAAGATCACTAGAGTGACTGGGAGGAGCTCAAAGTTTGCCGGAAAATGACGAAAAAAGTTGAAAATACAAAATGTAGTAGTAGCCCTTTCAGTTTTTTGTAAACGAAATTTTTTAATGGCCCTTAAAGCTCATTTGAGTGGCCACTTGAATGATCAGAAAACATAATCAAAAAGGAATAAGTCAAAAAAAGCATGGCAAACTAAAAATTGATGTTGAGGATACTGTAGAAAGGTATGGACTTCCTTCTTTGCGGGAAAAATTCAAGTCAGCAGTGAAACAACTATGCTCGAAAATGAATTTAAAAAGAAAAAAACACTTATTTTAGAAAAAAATGAGACATTTTTAACAGAAGCAATAAATCACACCAATAAAAAATCCTCCCGTCTCACCTACCAGCCCGATTCTTGCCCCGGGGAATTAACAACAAATTGATGAATCGAGAGCGGAACGAAACAGTTGAGCGACTGACTACAACATCGACGAAATGGAACGATGAAGAAGACGTCAAAAAACGATAGGGCGAAAAAAAAAATGGTGGTCTGGTTTTTTTTGGGTTTTCAATGGCCAGAGAGAGAGTTTTTATCCATTTTGAAAGCAAATTTTTTCATTCGTCGAGTTACTGAGGCGGGAATTGTGATAGATAAGTGCAGAGGTCAGGAAGTCCTTGGCTGAAAAGAAGCGGAAAGTTTTTCGGATTCTGTCTGGGTTTAAGATTAGTGACTTCGACAAGAAACCTCAGAAAAGTTTCTGTTTCTTATGGCGAGAAATTGAGACTTTTTATCCTTTTGGAAAGCAATTTTTCCCGCCCAACAAGGAAGTTATAACTGACAAGGTCATTTTACTATGAGGTTGGGAATGCCTAAAAAACTTAGTTTGAATTTTCTTTGATGAACCCTGATGAAGATCCTGGAAGTCTCAACTTGTAGTTTTTGAGAAAGGACACTTAAAATCCATCAAAATAGGCCATTTTGGGATTTTGAGCCTTCGTTTCTCGAAAACTAAGAAGTTGTAAAGGTTGAGGCTTTCAGAATGAGCTTCATGGCTAAATTTCAAGGAATTCCCAACCACACAGTAAAATGAGCTTCCTTTTGAAGCGAAAATTGTGATAGATAAGGAATTTTCCTAGCTGAGAAAAAGCTGAAAGTAAGAGGTTTTGGCTATTTTGAAGGATTTAGAGGTCATGTTTGCTGAAAATGGCCGGAGAGACTTTCCATCTATTTTTTAAGCAATTTTGTCATTCGTCAAGTAATCGATGAGGCGGAGATAGTGTAAAATGATGTTTAGAATGAATAAAGAAAAATTTTGACAAGATAAAAGTTCATGGCAGGGTCTTTGAAGGGATTGGAAGTCATGAATTCGATCTAAGAAGGCTACTAGAATGGTTCAGTTTCGCAGCTGCGAACCTGGGTAAAAACACGCTTGAAAGCTTGATTTTGAGGACTTTTTGGTCACAACGTCGGGAACAGAAGCATCGGAATACATCGAAAAATTTTAAGAAAAAATTAAGGTTTTTTGAAGCTTTCATGGCGAAAGATAACAGTTTTCCAACGTTTTTTTTCTATTTGAATCGCCTTTTCGTCTTCCGGCAAGGAGTTGGTGAGGCGGAGATTTTGATAGATGATAGTTGAATAGACCAAGATGAAATTTGATTGATGAGAAGCGGAAAGTTCAAGGATTCATTTTATTTTTCCATGGTTGACAGTAGATCAACTTGCCCAAGACCCGGAAGAAAAGAATTTAAATTTTCAAATTTGCTCCTCAAACTGATAAGATACACAAATAAACTTGATTACGATCTCATGCAATCTGAACTCAAGCTTGAAAGCTCTAGAATTAGACTTCAAGAAGAATTTCAAAAAAAATCCCAAAAACTTTCAGATTTTCAGTTTGAATAGAGAGAAAGAACACTTTCTGCCTATTTATCTCTTTTTGAACCAATTTTCGTCGTTCGCCGAGTAGTCGGTGATTTTGACAAATGATAGTTGAAGAGATCAAGAAGATCTTTGATTGATGAGAAGGGGAAAGTTCGAGGATTTGCCTTTTTCAAGTTCCGATGTCAAACTTTATCAGAAACACTAAAAAAATTGAATTTAAGAATCATCATTTTTAAAGTAGTTAGTTAGGTTGAAATCAACAAGCCAGTGCATTTCTTAAAAATGAAAATTAAGGGCTCTGCACTTTTTTTTCGGAATTTAGCTTTTTATATATTTTTACTACAGAAATTACGATAGATGGAATCAAAGAGGCGTTAAAAGTTTAGTTTGAAAGGAAAATATAAGAGAGGATCAGATCAATTATTTTTTCAAGTAAAAAAAAACGAAAAAGTAAAGAATCATTCTGATAAATCATGGAACAGAGTAGAAGAAACAACTAAAAAAATTCCAAACACTATTTTTAACACAGTGAGGTTGAATATAAGTTCCGGAAAAATGAGTTTTTTAGCGTGGAAGCTTTGAATGATTCCGAATATTCATCGAATTGTCACAAGAGATTTCGGTTTTGATTTGATTAATGGTTCTCGGTGGGGAAAGGGAAAAATACATTTTGATGGCGAATCGAAAATATAAACTTGGAAAAAAGGTTCTCTTGAATATTAGACAAAAAATACATAGATCAAAACCTAGCCGTCGATTTAAAATTAACAAGAATCCTTTGATTTCAATCATAAAAGAGTAAGAAGGCATCTAGGAGACCAAGGCTCAAATTCGACTGAAAAATATGCAAAAATTGAAAAACATTCCTGCGAAACTATCCAAAAATAGGTCCAGCACTCCTTTTTGAGTAAAGATAAACATAAAGGTCATGAAAACAAGGAATATTATCACAGAGAATCTTCGAGAAACACTAAAAAAAGGAAGAAGGCGTCGGAAAAGCTTAAAAGTGGCATGGAGTTGGGCGAAAATTCAAAAATAAGTCGCTACGATCAAAAAAAGGTCCAACTACCCTTTTTTAGTAAAAAATAAACATGAAGGTCATGGAAACAAGGAATATTATCATAGGGAGTCTTCGGTAAACACTAAAAAAGTAAGAAGGCGTCATGAAAGATTAAGATTTGTATAAAGATGAGCTAAAGTTCGAAAATCGGCATGAAATTGGGCTCAAATAAGTTCACAAGGTCTTCAGAAGCATTCAAAATATTAAGGAATGTAAATCCTGGAAACCTCCCTAAGCGGTCCTCGAACGCCATGATAACACATTTCAAAACACCGAAGTGTGCATCAAAAAAAAAGAAGCCGAGAGTCAGAAGACGTCGTTTTGAAAATGCAAATGACGAGGCCTCATGACGGTCGATGACGTCATTGGTCTGCCTGAGGGCAAAAGCTGCCCTGATCAAATCGTAATAATCGACGTGATGATAAGCTGTGTCTTTCTTGGGTGCGAATTATTCCAGCCTTTTTACGGGAAAGAGAAAGTGTTATTATAAGGGCGGGTGGCATAGAACTTTTGACCTTTTTGGTGGTAGTTTTTGAGTTGAAAATGGCAAAACGAGGAGTGGAGTCGAACCTGGGACTTTTCGAGCAGGATTAATATAAGTAGAGTAGTGATTATTGGCTAAATGGCGGCAGGAATTTGATCTGAGCAGAATAATTGGAGAAATATAAGAATTATTGACAAAAATGGCGACAGGAATCGCACTAGGGACTATTTCGATGATTAAAAAAAAATAACTAGAAGCTCTCTGAAACTTGAGAGAAGAAATTGGGTTTCTGAATAATGGCAAAAACGGGAAGAGGAGTTGAACCTGACACCTTCTGAGCTGGAGTAATTGATGGAAGGTAGTGTTTATTGGCTAAATAGCGGCAGGAATTGATCTGAGCAGAATAACTGGAGAAATATAAGAATTATTGACAAAAATGGCGACAGGAATCGAGCTCGTGAATATTTCGATGATAAAAAAGAACTAGAAGCTCTTTGAAACTTTTGAGAGAAGAAATTGGGTTTCTGAATAATGGCAAAAACGGGAAGGAGATCTGAACTTGACACCTTCTCAGCTGAAGTAATTGAAGACATTGATGAAACGGCGATAGGAATCGAGCCCGGGACCTTTTTGGTGATGAAATTTTTGCGAGAAGGAGTTGGGCTCTAGAAAAACGGCAAAAACAATGAGAGGAGCCGAGCCTGAGACCCTTCGAGTGGAAAAAATGGCAAAAACAAGCATGGGACTCGATCCCGTCACCTTTTTATCCATAATTCATCGACAAACGGAAGATTATTTTTTGTCAGATCAGCTGACATCATGAAATGTCACGATGTTCACTTCATGACAAGGAAAACGGTAGTAAGAAAGGGGCGTGGTCTGGGAGAGTGGGCGTGGCTTTTATGTTGTAATATAAGCAATAAGAATTCCCACGAAGCTTCTCTTTCTGTAGTTCCGGCTTGTTCAGTTGATGCGCAGGGAAATATGATTTGGATACGCAGTCAGAGAAGTTGATGCGCAGCTAATTTTTTCTCACTTGTCGTTAAATTTATGCAATTTTGATGAATCAAGGCACAGCCACTACTTTTTTTTTTGTTGATACGTAGTTTGAGTTGATGCGCAGCTAAGTAGATTTTTATGAATTAACGCGCAGTAAACATGTCATGGACAGATACGTAGCCTCAGTTGATGTGCAGCCAACTTCCTAATTTTTCTACAAAAGAAAGCGACTTTGAGAAGAACTTTCATTTCACCGCGTACCGGACGACTTTTACAAATTCTATGAAAAAAAAAATCCACATTTGATTCTTTGGGGGAACATAAATACAATATTTACAACTTGAAAAAATGCAAAATTACTTGGAAATGGGGTATTCAGAACACGTTCTTGTTGACGACGTCGGTGTAACGGACTTCGGGAGTTGTTGGTTTCTCGGTGTCTTCGGTCCACGGCGCCGGCCGATCAGTCAGAATTTTGTATGATAGAAGTGTGGCCTGGACTTTATACTATTAGGTTTGGGGAGCTTCAAGAAAATATTTTTTAAAATAACCCTCAAAAATATGTCGACAATTAACATGGACCGAACCTACAAGAATGCAAAAACGAGGACCGGACTCGAACTTCCGACCGATACAGAAGCTTTTTCGAATTTTTGTGAGGGCAGAAAATGGTTTTTTGACATAGAGTAGAAGCGAGCGGAGTAGATTATCTTGGGAGTTTCTATTCAAATATGGATTTTTGGCGAAGAAGCTTCCAGAACTCGAACCATCGACTTTGTTAGTAATGGAAGTTCTATCGGAAGCCTCCAAAAATTTGTTGAGAATTTATAAAAAAACATGGAACTTAAGCAAGTAGAGGAGATAAACTTGAGACTTTTAAGAGAAATGAAGTTTTTTGGCAAAAACGGTTCCCGGATCCGAACCCTTGACCGTTATAGTAATGAAATAAGTCTCTCCAGTTTTTTGAAGAACAATAAAAAAGATCAATTGGCATCAAGACCTTCTGAGGAGATGAATGATCCAGGAAAGCTGTTTAAAAATGGCAAAAACGGGGACAGGACTTGAACCTATGAGCCTTTTTATGAAGCTTCTAGTCTATTGTGTTTGAAATCAAACTACAATTCGTTTTGACAGAAAATCCGAATAATAACTCACCAGAACCATGAAAACGCAGTAGACGCCGAAAATGTGAACCCATTGGTGGCGATTTGTGTCGTTACTGACGAAAATCGAGTACAAAGCGGGGCCAACCAACAGAGCAATGCATTTCATGAACTGGATCCCAGATAGGACGATTTGCGAGAATTGTCTGGAAATTTCATTTTGAGAAACGTTGAGATAGAAGAGAACAAAAAAGAACATCAAAGATATCAATATCATAAAAATAATTACAGGCTCATTCACTGCATATGGTAAAAAGATAAGTAGTTAGAATAATCCAAGACAGAACTGCAGTAGTCATAAAATTAACAAAGAACATTTTTTAGCCCCCGATCGAACTTCTGATGAAACTAAGTTTCAATGGACTTCAAGAATTTGCAATTTTAGATGGAAAAAATTTTTCAAATCGGATCTTTTTCGGAATCGTCTTCACGACCAAACTCCTCAAATAACGTTTTTTTTTCGAGTTTTTGAGTGTTTTTCGTTTTTTAAAGTCTCGTAACTTGGAAAAAGATCTATTGAGGGACATCGGATTAAGAAAATTTCAGCTGTTTTCATCAAAAGTTCATCTGGGTCTCGTAAACAGAAAGCTTTTGTTCTCAAAACCAGCTTACATGTTAATTCTGAGCTTCTAAAAAGAAGAGCCGACTTTTATAGGTCTCTAACGTTTTTTAAAGCTATTTTTTGTGAAATAAAATGTGATTCCTTCAAAAATTGCTAAAACCAATGTTTAACTTTCAAAAAGTTTAGCTGAAGTTTTTTCAAACTCAAAATTAAAAATAAAACCTTGTATGGAGCGTTCCGCTCTTGTAGAATCCTCCACAATTGCAGCCCAGCAAAATTTCCAAAAAGGCCAAAACGGCGATCGCCACGTATTTGTGCTCCACGGGGACTAGTCTGAACAGTTTTCCAAGATCCAAAAAAATACGTCTTTCAAAAAATTCAGCTTGAAAATTTCTAGGTTTTCCGAAAATAAGCTTACAAAAATCTTTTTCCATAGTTCTCAAAGGTTTCAAGATCGTCGGAAAATTCAAATTTTTCCGATCCCTGTCAATCATTAAACACAGTAAAAAGATCTTCTTTTTGTAATTCTCGAAAAAAAAAATTCTGAACCCACCCAAAAGCGACCAGAACTGCCCCAGGCGCCCCAACGGCCAAAGTGTTGAAAAAGTGGATTTTGAACATCTCTGACATGCATCTGGAATATTATTTCGAATTTATTGAAGCCAGTTTTTGAGCTCACTTAGTCTTATCACTAATAACGGCCACCAGAAAACGGAAGGGAAGGTGGGCGACCAGAACAACGGCCAGCCAGAAGCCCGTTTCAGTCACCTTAATTTTTTTCTGTGAAGAGAAAAATAACAGAAGAGGTACATTGAACTGAAGGACTCTACTGAAGTAGAGCGGTCCATATTGGGTGACGAAAACTAGGCAGGAAAGCTCAGTGAAGGCACAGGTCCAAACGCAAAGGACCACTGGGGAAGTGAAGATTTTCTGAAAGTTTGTAGGATTGAGATAAATATTTTGGAGAAGTGTAAAGGAATTATTCAATTCAAAGCCTAGAATGGTATATAGCTGTTTCACGGGTATCTTGTAAGGGGGCGTGGCCTGTCTACGCTCTCCACGAGCCAGGCACTATCTCGTGCATTATCGTGTCAGGACCTTTTTTCGATCGCTCAAGCCAGCCGTGAATCAGCTGTAGAGACCATAGAAAAAAAAATTGGGCTAGAAATTTTTTTGGCTACGTAGTGAGCTCATCCTGTTGAATTTTGGCTTGAAATAATCAAAAAAATTTGTCGATAGATGAACTTTTTCCTTCAGAAAACTGATTAAATTGAGAATCATGAATCCTACTTTGAAGCGCTTTTTAAAGGCTCAGGGCGGAGCTTGAAAGTTCTTTTTTAGGAAGAGATGAATTTGATGAATGTTTATTTCGCTCACAGACAGATCTGTGGCGTGGAGGAAGAGAACCATGAAAGTTATATTTGCCTCCACTTCGATAAAGTTCCACTTTAATCTAAAAATATTTTAGGTCGAAATCGAAGAGAATCAAAAAGAAAAGTAATCTATAAACGAGTTGAATCATTTTGTGAAATTTGCAGCTTCCTTATCAAAAAAACCAATTTTTTTCAAACAACTTTTTAAATCTTCTTTGGTCATCCTCAAAAACCATAACTCTGTTTAAGCCGTTCCAGTATTTATACACGCGTTGCGTAATAAAGTTATAGTGAACATGATGGATTGGTGGTGGTTCGAGTTTAAGGCCGTTGCCTCTCAGTTGGTTTCGTCTATTTGATATCGTTTGTAATTTGAATGGAGATGGACACCAATAATAGCCATATATGAACTGATGTGTAATTATGATATCTTTTTCGCAGACGCCTTGTCCATAGAGTGTCTAGAGAAAGGGATTTTAGTCTTACAGCATAGGTTTCTTTTTGGGAGAAGCCGTTTGGTGAATTTTTCTTTGAACCGATTCTAGCCTGTTTATGTCAGATTGGGTTAGTGGAGAGAATAGCTCCGATCCATACTCTAAAAATTGGTATAATTTTTGGCTTTATAACAGTTCATAAAGTTTTTTTAACGGAAAAAAAGTGAAGCAACGGAAAAAGATTATTGATTATACGAATGCTTTTTTTGACTATTATGTCGATATGATGATGCATTTTTCAGATCGGAACTGAAATTAACTCCTAAATCTCTAATCACCTCTTGTTTGGGGATGGATTCCTCTCCTATTCTATAGTCGTTCCAGATTCCCCTTCTTTTACCATACCGCACATAGACGCTTTTAGAGCTAGAAATAGATAGTTGCCTTTCTAAAAGCCAGTATCTTATTGAGTTAATATCTGATTGCAGCTTGAGGTTATAATTATCAGTTTCTGAGCTTATGAATAATTTTTACATCATCTGCATAAATGAGCATTTTGCTATGTTTTTACGACACTAGTTATATCATTTATGTATATCAAGAAAAAAACAACGGTCCTAAGCAGCTTCCTTGTGGAACCCCAGACAACACCTCGGTTTCGTTGGATACCTCATCATTAAGGCGGACAAATTGAGTTCTATTTGTTAAGTACTGTGAAAACCATTTGTGTAAGCGACCTACACACCCATAAGCTTTTAACATTTTAATGAGCCTCCTATGCGTGACTGAATCGAAAGCTTTACTAATATCTAAATAAACAACGTCCACATTCTGATTTCTACTGGCGCACTCGATTAAAAACTTCTGTTTTTGAAGAAGTTGCGTCGTTGTATTTCTATTGTTGAGAAAGCCGTACTGTGAATCAGAGAGTATATTGTTGCTCCATAAGTGATTTCTTAAAGCTCGGACAGTAGTAGATTCGAAGACACGACATGGAACGCATGTTAGGCTCACAGGTCGGTAGTTTTCCGCTTTTTGAGGGCTATTTTTTTTGAAAATTGGTCTAACTATTGATTTCTTCCAAAGAGAAGGCAATATTGAGGTATCCAATGACTTCTGGAATATTAATGATAAAGGCAACGCTAGGGGAAGGGCAAGTTTTGTACATAAAATTGATGATAAGTTATCTGGTCCGGATGAGTAAAGAGGTTTTAATTTTTTTTCAATGCTTCATATACAACATGAGGTTCTACGCTCACGTTGTCTATAGTGAATTGAGGTTTGAAAACTGGATCGAAAGATTTTTCATCATCAACTGTATAAACGCTGCTGAAGTAATCATTAAATACATTTGCTTTGGCCCTGTCATTTGTGATCAGTTCATCGTTCAAAAGTAATGCAGAAGGCTCTTTGATTACACGTGTTTTTGATTTGACGTAATTCCAGAATTGTTTTCTCGAATTCGATTTTTCAAGAATGTTTTTTTCTTGATTTATTTTATATTCTTTTATGGAATTCCGATAAGATCTCATGCTGGCTTTGTAAATTTTTAAATTTTTCTCGGTACAAGACTTTTTATATTTTATATAATTCTTCTCAGTTTTTCTTTTGAGCCTAATGAGGTACGGAGGGAATTTAAAAGGTTTTATGATTTTTTGTGGAACAAATTCCGCTATAAGTGGGTTGAGTATGTCTAAAAAAAGTTGGTACATAGCCTCCGGAGAACAACAAGTACTAAAACCGATAATTCCAATCTATGTATGACAACTTTAGTTCAAGAGCTTCGAAATTTGCTTTTTGCATAGTCATAAACCAATTTTTGAAGAATTTTTGTTAAAAACTAGATTTTTTTCGATGTTCAAAGTGCATTCAACCGTGTTATGGTCTGACAGGGGCTTTCCTATATCAACAGTACTGATAAGGCTTTTGTCCGATACGAAAACCAAGTCCAAAATATTGTCACCTCTTGTACATTCTCTAACCTTCTGTGTAAGACCATAATCACAAACTATTCTAAGAAAAACTTTTTTTGAGATTGAGTCGGTTGCACTCAAATTGTTCCAGTTTATGTTCGGAAAAATTGAAATCTCCGGCAATTATGTGGCGTCCGTCTCCAATTGATTCGTAAATATGAAACATATATGATGAAAAATTCTGATATGAAATGCGGATTCCAACCGGGAGGCCTGTATACAACTGACAAATACCAGGAATTTTTGCTATTGATGTTTGTAATTTTGATGGTAATGGATTCCAATGGTTCGGAAATGTTCTGATGGACTTCGAAATGTATATAGTTTTTTGGATAAAGAATGAGTAGACCACCACCTTTTTTATGATTGGGACGACATATGTAAACAGAATTATAATGATTGAAATTCGTAAGAAGATCTAAATCATCGTTTGAATTTAACCATGTCTCTGTAAAAATGTAAAAGGTTGAGCTGCTAATTCCACATTCTGTTTCTAACTCTATTAACGATTTCTTACTTTTTAACCCTCTTAGATTCGACATATAAAGTTTGCTTTTAGTAGAACTCATTGCGAAGACTGGCTGTTATTATTATCTACGGGTTCAGATCTTTCCTCCACCCCACCTGTCTTTGAAGGTACGTGAAGAGATGCTGGGGCATAGAGAGACTGGTTGTTGGTGGCGGCGATGGCAAGGTCCCGAACGACGTAGCACTTCCGACCGACTTCTTGGTTCATGATGTGGCACTGTTGACGGAGGCGGCGGTCTTCTTTCAGTTCTTCTATGCTGAGGTCGTCGCGGGCGAATGTTCCAAACGTCGACTGTCCGAGGGCTTTCTTGATCGGGAAATAGCTTTTCCTTGAGGTCAATTTCACTTTGATGATTCGCGTAGAACCGGCTCTTTTTGTGCCATGACGGAAGACTTCGGCAATGTGTGTTGGATCGATATTGTTGGCTGAGAGGATTTCACGAGCACAGCCGGTCAGGTCTTCTTGTTCCGCTTCTTGATGTCCAACTACGACGATGGTCAGGTCTTTTTCATGGGCCGATCTTGACTCCAACGCACGTTGTGCCTTCATAGCAAGGGCAAGTGGCGAAGTTGCGGTAGGTGCGGCGACGACATCCGAATACGATTTCTTGCACTTCAACACATCACGGACTTCACAGACGACGGCTGTGAGATCAGAAATTGTTCTCAAAATTTCTTCGAACCGCTCGTCGGATTTACGTTGCTGGTCTCGAAGAAGACGAATTTCCTCTGATTGGGCTTGAACGAGCCTTTCGAGAGCTGCGACCCGCTCCTCCCCGCGTGTGAGAGGCGCCATCAGAGTAGGCGTACGGGAGACGACAGAGAATAGAGCAACCGCACGGATGACACTTTAAGCGTGGAATGACACTTTAAGCGTGGAATGACACTTTAAGCGTGGAATGACACTTTAAGCGTGGAATTTCAGTGGATTTATACTGAAAAGCATTGAAAAAAGCTTAAAAATCGGTCTGCGAATTTTTTAAATTATGCTAGTCAGTCATTACTCTAAATTGTTTGAATTTTGTCCTATTTGTAAAGTTTCGTGGCTATATTTGGCATGGTTTAAAGCTTCATCCTAATAGCTTGCTTTACTGCTTCTTGAAGCCGCCCAGCGCAAACTGTTTCAAGTCGGGCGCGTCTCAGAGCCATCCCAATAAACTTCAAAAACCAACCCTGTACGGAATCTTAGTCGTGTTTTCCAGATGAGCCGCCGACTTGTGCTTCTGAATCTTGGTGAGCTCCTGTTTCGAGACTCTGACGTCACTGGACGGGTCATCGGAATAGATCAAAAACCAGGCGACCGCCAGAATCGCCCCGGCCACCGCATGGAAGTAGAACGACCACTTCCAACCGAGTGAAGAATGGCAAATCTAAGGAAATTTTTTGATTCTTTCTCGAAAATCCAGTGAACTAACATGTCCCGTTGCGAAATTGGTGATGATGGAAGAGACTGGGGTGAAAGTGGTCAGAATTCCGATGAAAATAGCCGTTTCCTTGATCGGAGCCCATCTTGAGACGATCATCCCGATGGCGGCAAAGTCGGCTGAGTAGGCGGCTCCCTGAAGGCTTTTTTGAATGAGTAAGGTTGCTCGAATGATAATTAAGATTGGTAGGAGTTGAGAGGAAAAGTTCTCTAAAATTTATAAATTGTTGGGCCTAAGCATTTTGGTTTGCAGAAAAGGTGCTCTATTGACAATCGAGCTTTTTTCGGCTTTTTTGGATGAGTAAGGTTAACAGAGATTGATAGAAGTTGAGTGAGACCTTGGGAATAAAATATAAAATCAAAAAATTGATGATTTTTAGCCCTGGCTTTTTGGCTCGCTAAAAGGGGGCTCTATTGATAATTGAGCACTTTTTGGTTCTGAACGAAGGTCGAGAGGGTTTTTTGACAATTTGAACGTAATCGGCTTTTACTGAGGCTGATTTTGCCTCAACAAGGCTGCTCTACTGATAAAATTATCTATTTTTGTCGTTAACATCGATCCTTGTATTAGTGAAACTGTCAAAAATTTAGGTGTAGGTATTTTTTTGAATAGGCTATTTTTTGTGCACAAAGACGCTCCATGGATAATTCAGGCTATTCAGCGCAAAATTTCAAACAACCAATGCCGGCAAAAAAAAGATTGGACCAGGAGTCGAACCTTGGACCTTTCGGACCATAGTTAAGAATTTTCCAGCTGAGCCACAGTCCAAAACGTCATATATGCCGAAGACGGACGTTGAAAATAATTAGCAAAAGATTGGCCTTCTCTAGGATTGAACTTTGGACCCTATTTCATGTCTAATACTATTAGCCACTGAGCCAAGACTGACCTGCATGAATCTGACAAATAGAAGGTATCCCAGTCCCGCTTTAGCCGTGTAAGGAATGAAAATCGTCGAGAAACTCGATACCAAGCAGGCGATGAAGAACGGTAATCTGAAACCGCGACGCATGGAGTGAGACGCGTCGCGTGTCTCACCTGGCCCCGTAATGAATGTACAGGTAGTTGACAGGGACCATCGCCGCCGTCGTTCCAACCCCGACAAAAGCCAAAATCATCGACTTTTCGTTCTCCCCGTAGTCGTAGATGCTTTTGAAGGTCTGAAGAGGGATTTGAAGATTCCGATTTTTTTTTTTGAAAAGCAGTTTGGGACACCCTGGTTTTAATTCTGGCTCTAGAAAATGCTCCTCAAGCAAATTTATAGAGTTATGATCCTCAAAAACTCCAAAAACCTCTTTTCTCGGTAGAGCACAGTTTCTGAGTTTTTTTAAGCCATTTTGGCTGATTTGAAATCAAGGTGTTAAAAAATACCTCTGAGCATATACTTATCATAATTCGACCCCAACTGATTCATTTTCTAAGGAGCCAGAGCTTGAGAGCTTCCAAGCACTTCAGGCCTGACTCTCTGATTTTTTCTCAACTTTTATACTGATTTACTCACCCCATTATTTGTCTCGACGACGTCACTCATGTCGTCACGCATGCAGATGAAAGTGAAGTTGATGATTGAGTGGTTTGAATTGATGGAAACTAGGCAGAGGAACCCGGAAAGCATGATGATGAAGCGGTAGATGCTCGAGCGGGGCGGCTTCTCCATTCTGAAGAAAAATACGTGACTTGAACCGCATTTGGAATGGCTCTAAGACGCTAGAAATCTGTTTTCAACGTGATAGGTTCCATTAGGAATGGCTCTAAGACTCTAGAAATCTGACTTGAAGAGGTCGCATTTGGAATGGCTCTAAGACTCTAGAAATCTGTCTTGAACGTGATAGACCGCATTTGGAATGACTTTAAGGCTCTATAAATATGACTTGAAGAGGTCGCATTCAGAATGGCTCTTAGGCTCTAGAAATCTGACTTGAAGGTGAAAAGGTCGCATTTGGAATGGCTCTAAGGCTCTAGGAATCTGACTTGAAGGTGATATGTCGCATTTGGAATGGCTATGAGGTTCCATAATTCTGTCTTGAACGGGTATAGGTCGCATTTGGAATGGCTCTAAGGCTTCAGAAATCTGACTTGAACGTGATAGACCGCATTTGGAATGACTCTAAGCGTTGCGGTTGTATCAAGATAGCTTGGAAGCTTTTTGATGCGAAAGCGCGGAAGTCGTTTCAAGTCCGGTGCGTTTTAAAACAACCGCGACGCTTTAAAGCTATTCTACATGAGACCAGAGGCTTTTTTGTTGGCTGACTGAATTATTTTTCATTTCAAAGCAAACCAGAGCTATTCAAAAAAGGATTTCGATATTTTTAAAAAATTCTGAAAAACAAGTTGGAACGGTCTTTAGGGCATATTTTCAGTTGGGCCAAAACAAGAGGATAAAAAGGGGATTTTCAACTTTTACGTTGTTTTCAGTTTCTTCTGGAGCCTTTAGAACAGGGAATTTAGTTCGAAAAACAAAAAATATTGCGCGAAAATGATTTAAAAAAAACTCGAAAATGAGACTTTTTTGGAACTTTAAGGGGAGCTCTTGTCGTTTCAAAATTTGAAGAGAATCGATGATTTTTTTGAAGATTCAAAAAACCAGGAAGATCCCATGAAACAGGTCTTGACACGATTACAGTAGCCTTTTCGTGACTCTTTGGAATAAAATATAAAAAAACTTGAAAAACAAGGAACTTTTTTGACCTTATATGGAAACATCCACCGGCTCAGACAAGACCATCAAAAAAATGAGCGGATGAAAAAAAAGAGAGATATCGACTTTTTTTCGACCATAACTGGAACTGTACAGTACATAGTTTTATGTGAGGTCGTTTAACACGGGCGCCTCCAAACTAATAAACGAGAACGAAAAATGGGCGGCCGCGGGAATGGAACCGCAAGTGGAAAATTTTGAACCTTCACGCCGAATCCCCGTGACTTCTAGCCAGTCTTTTGTGGTTCGCTGACGTCTTCTGGCCAAAATCGAGAATTCTTTGATAAATAACTGACCTTTCGATCAGTGCATCTTCGTGAACTTCGCCAAAGTCGAGAAATTATCTGAAAATATTGACAAGTCGTAATTTGGAGGCGGGAAAGTTGTTGCAAAATGAGTTTTGAGAGAAAATGAAAGTAGTGAAAAACGGCAAAAGGGAATTTGGAGGTACGGGGGATTGAACCCCGGACTTCTCACATGCGAAGCGAGCGCTCTACCACTGAGCTATACCCCCATGAGTTGTGCGCGGCCGCTCTCAGGTACAATACTCCGATGTTGAAGGATGAAAAGGCCGTAATTTTATGAAAATTTCATTATGGAGATAAATTTTAATGAAAGAGAACTCATACAAAAGGAAAACATAGAAATGCACAAAAAAAATTTTATGTTGAAATTTTTGGCCGTCAAGTTTTTATGTCTTTTTCCCTGTGAGAATTGGAACTTTTTTCCGTTTATCTTGGATTTTTTGGAAGTTTATAGAAATATCATCATTTTGAGTAGATGTAGCAGTGGGTAGACAACTAGCCTTCAAAAAATTGGCCATAGGTTCTATTTTTGTTATGCAAGTTTTATTCAGAGACGTTTTTTTTTCAGAAGAAATCAATTATTTATTGAATGAAGATTTTTTAATACTTTTCATTCAAAAAAAAACTTTTTAGCATGAAAATTTTACTATAAATACTAACATACTCGTATAAGAGCCATTTTTGCAAGCATTAGTGCCCCCTCTAGGGGAGGCAATGTGTAACCTATCAAGGACGTTTTTCTGATCTTGAGGCAAAAAAAATTTTCAAGAGATAACCCTCCTGCGAAAACCGTTTCGAGTCATACGCGTAGGGGGCGCAAAGCCCCGCCCCTTCACGCCACCAAAATGACGATTTTTTTGTTGCAAAAACGGTTTTGAGGCGTTTATACTAGCTAAAGTTCCACTTTAAAAATAAACTGTCTCTGTTAATCTATGTAATCGACAACGCTCTACAGGGCTGAAAAACTTTTAACCTATGTATTTTTCAAAAATAAGCGAAAAAGTAAGATTTAACACGAAAAAAACTGACAAGTTTCACAAAATCGTCGCGTTTCTGAAAACCAAGTGAGGAACGCTTCTAAACTTTAAGTATGTTATACATTAACACTTCCTTTATTTTTTTCGAATAAAAAAATTTAAAAAAATCTAACGACGCGAAAAAAAAATCGAAGCTTGTAAAGTGACACCAAACTTTGAAGCTGAAATGCGAAAAAATTTCAGCGACATGGTATACTTTTTATTTGATTTAAAAACTCACAATGTGTTCAAAAATAAAAATTCAAAATGAAAACAATTATTGGGACAGCGAATCAAATTATATTTGAGTTTTACCAAAACCTCCTTTTTTCGCCTGCCTCGTTGACGCATGAGAGAATAGGATCGCGTCTATACTTTTGATTATGTTATTAAGCGTTCAAAACTCTATCAATGAAAAAATTATGAAAAAAATCGATCGACGCGAAAAAAATAACGGCTTTGAAAACCTCGAAAAAATGGCAATTTTTTGAAATTTCGGAAGATTTCGTGCAAGCATTCGTAGCTGTGTTTGCGTCAAACACACCGATACGCCATTTTAAATGTTGCAGGAGCCGTTTTTTTCGGAGTCAAATTGCACTTTTTCCTGTTTTATTTCGAAATAACATTATTTTTCATTTTTTCTTTTTTCCAAATCGAATGATAGTAATTTTTTTCTGAGTAGAAAAAAAGAAAAAAATAAGCTAAAAAAATCCCTTTGACCTTTTTTTCTAGGTAGTTTTTTTGATATTTTATCAAAAAAATTCTTATGAGGACTGTACAAAAGATTCATACCAAAACATGAAGCTCAGTTCGGACAACCTCTCAGAACAGAAAAACCGATTTAAAAAAACGGTCCAGAAACGCGCAAAAAAACATTTAAAAAGAAAGCGTGCGGCAGCGGGTAAACCGTGAGATTTTGCCTCAGTTGTACGCCGCGCGCGCTCGTTTTTTGGCCATAACTTTTTTCTTAGTGAACCTTTTTTCAAAAACTAAACGGATTATGAAAATGGACAGTCTCCTCTATCGAACAATGTAAAAAACATATTTTTTGAATCGTTCTGAAGAAATGGCTTGCGGTCCCTACATACGCGTCTCAAAATTGTGCCTAGTATGTCTCAATGAATCCCTGCGGAAACCGTTTCAAGTCGGTCGCGCCCCAAAATTGAGCTATTCCCCATGCAGCCATGGGAAGGCTAACTTTGTCTGTATTCGGCAAACTGTCAGTAGTCCTCGGAAAGTCTTCAAAATAAGCCACCTCGATTTATTAAGACCTCAACCTTTCCGCCGTAGCGCAACAGGTTGTGTGCCTGTCTACGGTCCACAGGGTCACAAGTTCGATCCCCGCCCTGACCCAACCAAGGGGTTTAAGAAATGTTGGTAGTGGGAAACCACGACTTCATAATCCCCAGCCGTCACACACAAGGACGGATATGTCACTCGAGCCAGTCCACTGATATCAGGATAGGACCTCGGCTAATCGACTTGGGGCGCCGACGCCACTCAAGCGGTACAAAGGCGTAAGAAGAAGAAGAAGAAGAAGAACCTTTCCAAGCCGTCTCCGCTTGATCAACGACAGTTTTGCGAACCAATTCTTCAATTATTCCACGATTCAGCACAGAACCTTCTCTGAAGACTGAATAAAAGTTTCAACCTTTCCAAGACCCCTGTCGGGAGAAACCAAACCCATGGGTTTTCAACTTTTTTTAATGTACCGATTTTTTTTGACAATTTTAAAAAGTCCGTTTATCAATATTTTAAATAAATCATAATATGTACAATGGAATTCGAAAAAAAACAATCAAATAGGAGCTAACTGATCCGAATAAAGGGGGGAGCCGTGATAAAATAATCAAAGTACCTGTTCATCGGGAATTAAGAACTAGTCAAATATTCAATTATAATAGAACTATTCAAGTGCAAGAACAAAAAAAGTCCCCACAGAAAATTTAAGATTGAAAAAAAGTGAGGATAAAGTCCACGGGATAAAGAAATTAACTTGAATTTGAGAGTTTTTCAAGGATATAAAAAAATAAATATTATAATAGTATAAGTAAATAAATAATAATGGTTAAAAAAATTGATTTATTGAAGAATTTTTTCCAAATATGGCTCTGGACCTAGAAAAAATACGAGGAAGTCTTACCAGTAATAAAATGGGTAACCGTCAGGAAATTATCAGAATACATGAAGTTTTGAAAGTGGTCAAATAACTTGAAGCTGAAGGAGGTACAATCAAAAAGGAAGATTTCGAGTAGGAGATCGAGGTATTCAATAATATTGAAAACATATTATACGAGTATAGGTGAATTAATAATGAATAGATGAGTTAAAACCTGATTTTACGACGAATTTTTTCAAACTCAGGAACCTGGGAGACGGCGTATTGAAGACTTCCAACGTTGCCTTTGAGCTCCTTGACCATCAATGCGTAAATCATCTCGTATTTCTGAAAAGTATTTGATGACAAACTTTCAAAAATGCATTAAAGCTTAGTTCAATGATATAAAAACTCACGCAATTGTGCTTAAAATGGCATAAAGCATCATAGAGGCGAAGGCACTCATAACGAACTTTATGCGCCATTTTCAGGACCTCATTGATCATCTCCTGGCCGGTCTGTCGGTGGAGAAGGTCCAGGTCCCCGATCTCCTTCTCCAGAATCACCAAGTCGTCGTCCAGCGTCGTGAGGATCTTCTGAGCGAGATTCTGGAAAAGATTCTGACGTCTTCAAGAAGTTCAAGTGGGTTTAAAGACTATTTGACGTCTTCTAAAGCTTACAATTGTCTCAAAATTGAACTAATTTCTTTTTGAAAAACTTTCGGAAGTTTTTAGAGAATGCTAGAAGACTTTTAGATGGTTTCTAAGAAGTTGAAGTTATTTTGGAGGCTTTTAGGAGCTATAAACATCTTCCAAGTGTTTGGGAGTTGGGCGCTGCTTAGGTAAAAAATAGAAATTAAAAAGAAAAGCTCACGATCATCCATTCGGCGTCGGTGCTTGTGAAATTATTGATTCCCCTCATCTTGTGCGTTAGGTCGAACTGAAAAGAAACTTTCATTCTGGAAATTTCGTTCAAAACTCACATAGAAGACCAATTTATCAAAGTCGGCTTGAACACGGTCGCCGCACGTCTTCAGAATCTGAAGTCGTGCGATCCATTGTTCTTGAAGGCGAGCCTTCTCGACGATCTTGGCGACGATGGCGGCGATGTCGATCTGGGCGTTCATCTTGAGCACGGCCGCTTGAAAAGAAAGGCGAGACGATCCAAGGATTGGATAAAGTCGGGTAGTCCAGTCACCGGAGAGCTCCTATTTATACTAAATAGTAGGCGCCGCCCCTTAATTAAGTTCTCATGCCGGAGGGCCGGAGGAAGTGCGAAAAATGTGCGAAGTCGCGCTTTTGACCGCACCTTTTTGGGAAGGTTTCTCAGGTATCAATTGTGATAATTAACTAGAGAAAAGGTGTTAGCGAATTGTTTGGCAGTTGAGTCGAGGTGTTGATGGGGGAAAGAATAGAAACAATCTGAGAAACGAAGACTTTTTCTCTACGCACACTCTCCGAGACTTTTGAAAAACTATGAATACAGAAACTTCATCTTTTTTTTCAGGGAGTTTTTCTTTTTCCAATAGATAAAGAACCTCCCTCACACACTTCCTCGTAAGCTCGACCTGATAATAGAAAATTTTTGATTTTTGAGGGTCCATGACTTTTTTCACCGACCTTGGTGACAGCTTTTGTGACCATATTTGGAACCAGCGTAAAATAATGAGTCTAGAAAACACGGCATTCCTAATGGGGTGAAGGAAAGTGAGCGAGGCGTCAAACTTTCTGAATTTACAAAAAAATTTAGTGCGCGCTACGAATAAAATGCACTGAGTATCAAACGTTAAAAACTTGTTTTTTCGATCGCCTTGGGCTGTGTACAGTAGATTTCAAATTTCGCGCCAAATTTTTTTTCGACGTCTTCCCACCCCGTTTGGGAACACCGTGAAAACATGGTCACGTTCAGAAGTCCCACTGTGAGTTGAGACCATTCCCTGTTAAGACGAAAAAAAAAACAAAAAAGGAGGTTATATAAAAATCAAACTAGACTCAATCTCTTGTTTACCAATGTACTTACGAAAGAGGAAGTTTCAATGACGAGATAATCGCTTTTTTTCGCGCCTCTCGTTCTGATTCTGAAGTATTAATCGGACGGTGTCATTTGAAAGAATTTTTGCCGCGTGTTCTCTGTCGCTATGGCCCCAACTGTTATCCCCTGTTTGTTGCTGGTTTTTGTCGAGTTTTTGCAAGGTTTTGGCAGAATTTTCAGCTTTTTGTGCTATTTTTAAGCTTTAGGAAGTGATGTGCTACACATGGATGCTGATAAGGTGATTGCCGGTAAGTTATGAACCGTGGAAAGTCGGGTGCAAATTATTTTGATTCCCAAAAAGCTGTATCAATGTTAAAAAAAACCTCAGTTTCATCAAGAAATTTGAAAGTTTTTCCTCATTAAAGCTTCAATGGCTAATGCCAGCAAACCGTTAAGAGTCGGGTGCAAATGTTCGTTTTTTCTAAAGCTGAAATTCACAGTTACCCTGTTATCTAGCCTACTGCTTTTTACTCTTTCTTGATGCTTTTTACATGATTTCTACGTAATTTGATAGTCAATGCCGTCAAACCGTGGCCGGTCGGGTGCAACTTTTTTTTTAATGATTTCATGCTTTCTAACTTCATTATGGGTGTAATGAGAGTTCCTCTGCTTTTTCAAGCTTGTTCAATAACTTTATCTCATGAACACTATGAAGATGGCGTCAAACCGTGGCCGGTCGGGTGCCACTTTTTTTTATGATTTTAGGTTCTCTTACGTCATTTTGCAAGTAATGACAGTAACTCGGTTTTTTCAAGCATGTGGAATAATTTCAATTCATTAATATTGTGTCTTTTTCGAACTATGGCGTCAAACCGCGGTCGGTCGGGTGCATTTTATTTCGAAGTTTTCAGTTTTTTAAAGACCCACCGAACATAAATACTGTAGAGAAGCTCATGATGTGACAGATTCACGTAATATTTTTTTAAGATCGTGAAGTTATTTGATGATTGAAGGCGCAACTCGTATAATGTCGGTTGCAGCCTTTTTCGATTTTTAGCTACCTTAATGGTGTTTTTTTCGATTTTTCTGTAAAATTTCTGTGTTAAAGCAATCTGTCTTCAGAAAAAAAAAATCAAAATTACTACGCCATTCTATGACTTATTGCGTTAAACCGCGGCCGGTCGGGCGCGGATCACTTTTTGGAGTTTGTCTGATTTTCCCCTGAAAAATTTCCGAACGCTGTGATCATTGCACATCAGTTTTGTTGACAGGTTATAGTTACAAAGATTTAAAAAAAAGCGCTGTTTGATCATCGACGGCGCTAAACCGTGGCCGGTCGGGCGCAGATCACTTTTTGGAGTTTGTCTGATTTTCCATGGGAAATTTCCGAACGTTGTGATCATTGCACAGTAGATTTGTTGACAGATTCTAGTTACAGAGTATTTCGAAAAAAAGCGCTTTCTGATCATCAACGGCGCTAAACCGTGGCTGGTCGGGCGCAAATCACTTTTTGGAGTCTGTCTGTTTTTTTTATGGGAATTTTTTGTTCTTTGTGATCATTGCACAGTAGATTTGTTGACAGATTCTAGTTACAGAGTATTTCGAAAAAAAGCGCTTTCTGATCATCAACGGCGCTAAACCGGGGCCGGTCGGGCGCAGATCACTTTTTGGAGTTTGTCTGATTTTCCCATGGGAAATTTATTTTCGTTGTGATCATTGTACAGTAGTTTTGTTGACAGATGTTAGTTACGAAGTATTTCAAAAAAAAAAGGCGCTTTTTGATCACCAACGGCGCTAAACCGTGGCTGGTCGGGTGGAGCTTGGTTTTTGGAGTTCTTCTGTTGTTTTCATGAAAAATGTTCAGAGGTTGTGATCATTGTACAGTAGGTTTGTTAATTGATCTTGCTGAAAACGGATCTTTGGAATGTTTTTCCGTTGTTTGATGATCTATGGCGTCAAACCGTAGCAAGTCGGATGAAGATTTTTTTTTTGTTGCGTTCATTTTCTGAAGGAGGATGATCATTATACGGTTTTTCTTTTTGTTGAATTAGTCATAAGTATTTTTAAGAAAGCTTGAGAAAGTCTAATTGGCGTCAAACCGTTACGGGTCGGGTGCAGCTTGAGTTTTTGCAGTTCCCTAATTTTTCCTTTTAAAAATATGTTAGAAAGGTATCCAAAACCGTGGATTTTTTTTCTAACTTCATCAATGGTTATAGAACTTTTTTTAACTTCTAATGTTTTCTGATTTTTTTTAAAGGTACAGTAAGCTTAAACGTCCGCACTATAGGCTGATGGGCGTCAAACCGTAAAGGGTCGGGTGCAGCTTTTGTTTTGTAGTTTTTTAAAGTTTCATTCTCAGAAGTTTGTCAGGAATCAAAATTCTTGTCTTTTCTGAGTTTATCAACCTTTTTTTTAGACCTTATCACTTTTTGGATTTTTTTTTTCCGGAACAAAGTTCAAATTAAGAACAAAAGCTACCACACTGTACACACTGTAAAATAACCCCATTTTTTGCAGATAGTGGCCTTGACGCCGCTTCGGTTCTCGAAATGATCGAACAGAACAACGCCCCCTACGTTCAAAGTACATTTTTTTTTTCTGATTCCATGATTTTTGTACTTTTTCAGATAACACTACACCTAAAGGAGCACTCTTTGGTATGTTTTAAAGGAAAAAAAAAATTTTAGAAAAAAATTTTTTTAGACGCTGTTACGTGTCCTGCTGGTTGGACATTGTACACCGGAACTAATAAATGTTATAAGGTTTTTTTTGGAAGATTTTTTTCATGAATGTAGAAGAGTAGTTGATGAATGAGCTCAATTTTTAGAAGTGACCTCTTAAGTGATATTTTTCATTTTTTTGAGCTGGAATTTGAGAAAAAAACCGCCAAGATCAGAAATTTGAAACTGAATTCATTCGCAGGAAAAGTTCTGATGAAAAACTTCAAAATGGAGTTATGAAATCAATTTATTTTGTTTTTTTCAACCCATTACTTTTCAAGCTTCAATTCATCAAAATTTTTCCGCTTTAATTTTCAAATTCCGTCCCTTTTTGCCTCAATATTTGGTGGTATAAAATCAAAGGCAGCGATTTTTTATACGGCGACTTTTCCGATTTTTTCAAATCCCTAGGGGACTCTCCGACATCCCTTTCCGATGTCTTTCCCTTTTTTTAGTTTATAAAAGACCTATTAACATTATTTTCCTTTTTCTTTGTCTTTCAATTATGAATAATCAATCTATTTTTAATAGGAAGGCTCAAAAGGAATAGTTTACTTACTTAGATAATTAGATGGTCCATCTTCGCTTTCGACCTTTTATTGTCTTTTATTGTCTTTTATTGAACGAAGCGTGGACTACACGTTTTCCAGGAGGTCTTATGCAATCGGTCATCCAGTGTTGTCGTCCTGGTTGACTGGTATTCTTGCGAAAAAGTTCCATCCATGGTGTTGAACGTGTTATAGCATAATTGTGGTCTGATTATCTTTTTTGCCTTGCCAGGGCTAAAAAAGACCGCCCATTCTGTTAGCAGAAGCAAGCCGAATTGCGTGACCGGTGTACCGTTAGCCGCCATAAATGGCGTTGCCTTCCCATCACCGCCTAGTGGTGGTACTTGAAAGGGAGGAATAGTTTATCGAGAAAAAATAAGTCGGAAACGTCGCCGAGTTCCCTAGCAATCTGAAAAAACTATCGGTAGTCGTCGTTCGAAATTTCTTTGGCTTTTTTCATACCGCCCATATTTTTCTCTTCTTGCCTCATTATTGCTCAGAATATATGGTGAAGGCGAAACATTTTTTTCCTAACCCAAATTATTAGATGACGGCAAAGAAAGCGGGCTGGGCGATGGGAGAAGCCAATTGTCAGGAACTCCAACCCGGCTCCCACATGGCTTCGTTTCACAGCAAGGATGAGGCCACTTGGATGGGAAGTTGGTCTTTTTCGGGTTTTTCAGTAGTAAATTCTTCCGAAGTTTTGAAACAGCATTGAAAATGAAAGATTTGAAGTTTTTTCGGTCAGGTTTCAAACTTTTTTTTCAAGTATTTTTTAATGAAAATCGAAAAAATCGAGTTCCAATTCTAGAAGGTTGAAGTTGTGTCTTTTTATATTAATTTCCCAAGCCTTTTTCACATTTTTCAAAAGATTTTTCATAGAAATCGAAAAAAACTCCAGTTCCCAAGAAGGTTCAAAGGGTATTTTAATCAATACTAAAAGATTTCCGGTCCATTCAGACACGTTCAAAATCAGCGGCACTTTACACTCTTGGATCGGCCTGAACAAGGTGAGTTTTGACTTTTTGAAAAAAAGCTTGAAAAACTTCAACTTCAGAAATCCGGCGATTGGGCTTGGCTTGACGGCTCTCCGATGGACTTCTCCTACTGGGACTCTGGCTATCCAGCTGCCATAACCACTCCAGATAACACCTGTTGCGAGGTTTTCTTTTTGAAGTTTATAGGCTTTTAAAGGCGTATTTTGATATTTTAGAATTTTTAACGTAGTATTAAAGACATGTAGAAGCACTAGAAGCATTGAAGCGGTGACTGAAAGTTAGGTCTCATTTTTAATTTCAGTGAGCTTTCTAGAAACCCTGACCAGATCGGTTGTGAACTTTTGAAGCTTTGCAGACATTTTAGAAGCTAGAATAGAAGTTTATATAGTAGTTTGAGTTTGCAAAAGACCTGTAGAAGCGTTAGAAGCTGTAGAAGTTCAATGCAAAAGACTTGACCAAAACATCTTTTAAGTTTTCTGAAGCTTTAAGAGTTGACTTCCGAGTTAAGACTGTTATTGAGAGAAGTAGGTTCAATTGGAAGTAGGGCAAGAAGTTCGAACTCCAGAAAGTTTGCTAGAAGTTTCCATTTCAATTTGGAACTTTTGAAGCTTTGGAGAAGCGCCAGAAGCTATATATTACTATTTTCGACTTCAACGAGCTTACCTAGATGTTCCAAAGACTTGACCAGAACTGTTTTGAATTTTTGGAGCTTTATAGACATTTCAGAAGCTGTAAAAGCTGGATTGGAAATTTAGAAAGTTGTTCGAACTTTTCAGAAACACGTAGAAGCGCTAGAAGCTGTAGAAGTCCGATTGAAAGTTGGGAAAAAAGTTCGAACTCTAGAAAGTTTCCTAGACGCTCTAGAAGGGGGGAGAAAAAATTTGAAGCTCCTTTATTGGACCATCATGGACTGTAGGTGTTCATTTCAAAATTTATCTAGTAGTTCGAAGCTCAATAAGATTTGTAAGTCTCAGTAGGTGGAGCAGTCATGCTGATTATTTAGAATGTGCTATTAACCTGTTGGGTCCACGGCTGTTTTTGAAAAAGTAGAGATTTCAGATCTACTATGGACTTCTCAGTGGTTTGCTTGGCACCAAAATTGGACAGGCAGATAATTACGATTGTACCGAGGAAATCACCACGATTTGTAAGTATGATCCGGTGCAGGGTGAGTTTGAAAGCTCAGGAAAAAACTATAAGACTTGTTTTTTAAAGTAACGACGCCTCCGCCTCCTCCACCGACCACTACTACAACTCCAACGACGTAAAAAAAATATTTCTTCGGATAATTCATAATTTTTAGTACCACAACGACGCCTACCACTACTTCTACAACCACGACAACGTAAAAAAAAAAACAAAATTTTCCAAATAGTTTAGAAATTTTCAGTCCTACCACGACTCCTACCACTACTACTCCAACTACGTGAGCCAATAATTATTTTAGAAAATTTGGAATTTTTTACAGTACGACGCCTACAACGACTCCTACAACAACCACGACACCGACGACGTGAAAATGAATTTTTTTTGAGATCTGAGAATTTTTTTCAGTACCACCACCACGCCTACAACTACTTCTACAACTCCGACAACGTTAAAAAAAGAAAATTTTCTAGATAATTCATAATTTTTTCAGTACCACCACCACGCCTACAACCACTTCTACAACTCCAACAACGTAAAAATAAAAATAAGATTTTTTCAGAATGTTAAGATTTTTTCAGTACTACCACGTCTACCACTACAACTCAGACGACGTGAGAAAGAAATTTTTCATTTAGAAAATCGTAATTTTTTTTTTAGTACAACCACCACAAAGCCCACAACCACCACGGAAGAGCCAACGACAACAAAAGCAAGGTTTGAAAAAATAAATTCAGACCAGAAGTATTTTGAAAAACATAAGTATAAACATTTTATTAGCCTTGAAATGGTCTAGATACGTTCCTACTCCAGAGAGAAAATATTAATTTAAAATAAGTTAAAAGTTCGTAAAAACAGCTCAGAGATTGAGGCAAAGTTGCTCTATGGGCAAAATGCATCTCCTTTTTTTTCTACTGTCCCGGCCCTCGGTAACACAAAAACCGAACGCGTCCCTGGCGTTTCGGAACATTTTCAGTGATCCCTTTAGCGTCAACACTCTCAAATGATCCCTACGAGGGTTCAGAAATGTCCGGAGCACGTCTGGTTTACTGTACCGAGGTCCGAGCTCATTTTTGGGAAGCTTAATTTGAACTCGCTAACGCAAACCGGCACGCCTCGGTCGTTTCTGAGCTTTTCTAGTGATCCCTTTAGTGGCCTGACCACTCTTAAGTCATCTGTGGGCGTTTCTGAAAGTTTCTAGTGGTCCCTTTAGCGACGTCAGTACTCTGAAGTGACTCCTAGAAGTGCTCAGAAATGTCCGGTTTGCTGTACCGAGGTCCGAGCTCATTTTTGGGAAGCTTAATTTGAACTCGCTAACGCAAACCGTCACGCCCCGGTCGTTTCTGAGCGTTTCTAGTGATCCCTTTAGCGGCCTCACCATCTTGAACTCATCCGCGGGCTTTTCTGATCATTTCTCGTGACCCCTTTAGCGACCTCAGTACTCTTAAGTAACTCGTAGAGTGCTCAGAAATGTCCACAACACGTCCGGTTTGATTTACCGAGGTCCGCGATTTTATACATTTTTTTCCCCGACCTCAATCTTGTTACGGCTTTCATGTCACAGTGTTCGAATATTTAGCTTCCGAACTTTATTGGTTAGAGCCACGGTAAGCCACTTTCCGTACAAAATCCTCGCTTTCTCATCTCGCAGTTATAGTTTTCTAAGAAAATACGGATCATTGTGCGATTTTAAGTGTGACGAGAAACTATACAAGATGGAATTACAGTACCGCTCAAAAGTATATTAAGTTTTGGTTTTTTGAGGATATCTCAGCGAGTACTTATCCGATTTATATATAACTTTCAGGGATAATGTAAAATATACTTCGAAACATATACGGTATACAAATACATGTCCGCAATCCCTGTGACGCGTTTTAGGAATTTTTTTTTTAATTCAATTTTTTTTGTTTTTTATGCTTTTATTTTTATTTATTTTTATTAAATTTTTTAAAAGTAATAATGTTGCCATATGTTTTTTTTCATGTTTTCAGACATGAGAAGAACCTCTCGAAAAAAGAATTTGACTGATAACGACAAAAGAGCCATCGTTGTGAGTCGTCAAAATGGACTGACCATGATGACGTTGGCAGGAATGTTCGGCGTGACAGAGGCGTGCATTTCTCAGTTCCTAAAGCGTCGGAAAGCTCAAGATGGCTCTACTAAGAGCCAACGCACTGGAGGATCACGTGTCACTGATCGTGATTACGATAGAAACATTTTGAAGAAGTCTACAACCAATCTAAGACTCACCGCCCTTGCGATCAGACGGGAAGTTTTCTTGAATTCGCCAACTCCGCCATCCGTCTCGACCGTGAAACGAAGTCTGAATGCTGCTGGAATCATGGGAAGACGTCCAGTGAAGAAACCGCTGATTTCTGAAAAGAATCGAGCCGCCAGGGTGAAGTAAGCGAAGGAGCATCTCAACTGGACCCGTCAAGACTGGAACGAGATTTTGCGGTCCGACGAAACGGTCCTCCACTAAGTTTCACAGTGGGTAATTGGTATTTCGGATGATATCTGGACCCAATTGGTTTACGAACCCACTGAATTCCGTCACTCCCGAAGAGGAGGAACTTGTTTTCGTCGGACCACAGAATCTTGTTCCAGCCTTGACGGGTCCAGTTGAGATGCTCCTTCGCCCACTTCACCCTGGCGGCTCGATTCTTTTCAGAAATAAGCGGTTTCTTCACTGGACGTCTTCTCATGATTCCAGCAGCATTCAGACGTCGTTTCACGGTCGAGACGGATGGCGGAGATGGCGAATTCAAGGAAACTTCCCGTCTGATCGCAGGGGCGGTGAGTCTTGGATTGGTTCTGAACGTCTTCAAAATGTTTCTATCGCCATTACGATCACTGACACGTTGTTTTGCAGTGCGTTGGCTCTTAGTAGAGCCATCTTGATCTTTCCAACGCTTTAGGAACTGAGAAATGCACGCCTCTGTCACGCCGAACATTCCTGCCAACGTCATCATGGTCAGTCCATTTTGACGACCCACAACGATGGCTCTTTTGTCGTTATCAGTCAAATTCTTTTTTCGAGAGGTTCTTCTCATGTCTGAAAACATGAAAAAAAACATATGGCAACAATATTACTTTTTAAAAAAATTTAATAAAAAAATAAATAAAAAAATGAAAGCATAAAAAAACAAAAAAATTGAAATCAATAAAAAAATGCCTAAAACGCGTCACAGTAATTGCGGACATGTATTTGTATACCGTATATGTTTCGAAGTATATTTTACATTATCCCTGAAAGTTATATATAAATCGGATAAGTACTCGCTGAGATATCCTCAAAAAAACCAAAACTTAATATACTTTTTGAGCGGTACTGTATGACCTGAATTTTTTTAAATGAATTATATTCCTTAAAGGAAGGTTTTTTTAGCACCAGTACAGCTCCGCCGACAACTACAGTCACTACAGAAGTTCCAAAGACGACAACGGCTAGGTTTGAAGGAAGGCTGAAAATGGATCTAGGTAATTTTCAGCACGAGTTCAGCGACGACTACGGCTCCTACTACCACTACGAATGCTCCAACAAGGTTTGGAGATTGTTATTTTAACATAAACCTTTAAAAATTTACCTTAATTGATGTTCGAAGTTCATTCGGGTCCATATTGAAGTGATTTTTACGAACTTCTTCAGCACGACTACCCCGGAAAAGCCGACCACGACGCCAAGTGTAAATACGGTCACAGTCGGCACGTCTTCGACTTCTAAGCCTCCAGATGATCCGACAAGCACCACTACAAAACAGCCAACAACTTTGACGACGACTAAAGTAGATGATCCAGTTGTTACCACGACTTCGGGTCAGACTACATCTTCTAGCACGACCACGAAGTTGCCTGAAGTTCCAACCTCGTCCAGTACGGCTGCTCCAGCTTCAAGCACAACTACAGCTCTTCCTGGAGTTCCAACTTCGTCCAGCACGGCTGCTCCAGCTTCAAGCACAACTACAGCTCTTCCTGGAGTTCCAACATTGTCCAGTACGACTGCTTCAGCTTCAAGCACAACTACAGCTCTTCCTGGAGTTACAACAACTCCAAGCACGGCTCCGTCAGCTTCAAGCACGACGACGCTTCTTCCAGGAGCTTCAAGTTCAACTAGTACGACTGCTCCAGCTTCAAGCACAACTACAGCTCTTCCTGGAGTTCCAACATCGTCCAGTACGGCTACTCCAGCTACTAGTACAACTACAGCTCTTCCTGGAGCTTCAAGTTCAACCAGTACGACTGTTCCAGGTTCAAGCACATCTACAGCTCTTCCTGGAGTTTCAACATCGTCCAGTACGGGTGCTCCAGCTACTAGCACAACTACAGCTCTTCCTGGAGCTTCAAGTTCAACCAGTACGACTGTTTCAGCTTCAAGCACAAGTACAGCTCTTCCTGGAGTTACAACAACTCCAAGCACGGCTCCGCCAGCTTCAAGCACGACGACGCTTTTTCCAGGAGCTTCAAGCTCAACCAGTTTGACAACGAAGCTTCCAGGAGCTTCAAGCTCAATCAGTACAGCTTCTTCAGCTACAAGCTCGACAACGAAGCTTCCTGGAGCTCAAACTTCTTCTAGCACTTCTGCTCCGGCTTCAAGCATAGCTACAGCTCTTCCTGGAGTTTCAATATCGTCCAGTACGGCTGCTCCAGCTTCAAGCACGACAACGAAGCTTCCTGGAGCTCAAACTTCTTCTAGCACTTCTGCTCCGGCTTCAAGTGCGACGACGCTTCTTCCAGGAGCTTCAAGCTCAACTAGTACAGCTTCTGCAGCTCCTGGCTCAACAACGAAGCTTTCTGGAGCTCAAACTTCTTCTAGCACAGCTCCTCCAGCTTCAAGTACGACGACGATTCTTTCAGGAGCTTCAAGCTCAACCAGTACAGCTGCTTCAGCTACAAGCTCGACAACGAAGCTTCCTGGAGTTTCTACTACCTCGAGTCTCACCTCCAAAGCTTCTACTTCTGCTCAAACTACAACTCTACCTCCAAGCACGACATCTAAACCTTCGACAACCTCTGTTACCTCGAAAACGTCCGTTTCAACTTCAAAAGCCCCTACAACCACCGTAAAGACGTCCACTTCTAAGCCAATTATTACTACGACTCAAAAAATACCGACACCTGGTCTTTGTGCCTCGAAATGTCCGCCGAGATGGGTCGAAAACGCTGGAATTTGTTATTTGGTCAGTTTTCAGCGTCTTTTGGGAAATATTTCAAGTTTGAAGATGGTCAATGCGACGGCGACCTGGAGCCAGGCTGACGAAATTTGTAGAAATCTTGGGGCTCAATTGGCAGTCATCCCATCGGCGGCTGTAGGAAATTCATTGAGAAGTTTGAAAAATTGGCTTCAAAAAAAATCAGAAAAACTTATGAATATTTCTTTTAGAAGCCTTTGATTTGAACAAGTCCTACGCGATTGGTCAACAAGTTTGGATTGGAATCAAGGTTGAAAATATTATTTTTTTCAAAAAAATAAATGACTTTCAAGGCTCCTTGGAAAAATTGGTCTGATGGATCATCTGTTTCCTACACGAATTGGGCGACGAAACAGCCGGATTCCGCTGAAGGGACCACTTATTTGTATTGTGGGACGGTTCGTTTTTGTCTCATTTTGAGAGCTCACTCTTGGAGTTTTGAAATGAGAGCTAGATCATTGGATAGAGCTTGGAAAGAGCTTCAAAATGACATGAATCAACCAAATTTTGATCTTCAATCAGTGAACTTAGAGCAAAAATCGTTACTTACACGTTAGCTCAATTTTAAGATGAATAGTGAAATTTTGATTTTTCTAAGCTCAAACTGAGAGTTTTCAAATGATAGTCATATCATTAGAAAGAGCATTAAACGAGCTTCAAAATGACACAAAATCCATTTTCAGTTCGTTCTGACGACCCTTTCCAAGGACAGTAAATGGGGAACGACGCGAGGAGTCTGGAATGACTACCCCTGTACACTGCGGCAACAACTGGCACTTTGCCAGAAACCCGTTTGAAATAAAAATTTGTGTCATAAAGGTCTCAGGAATGTCACTTTTTGTGAAGGAAAGGGGAAAGGAAGAAGTACTTCCAAAAAGATGAGGCCTAGAGGTTCAAGGATTTGAAGCGATAGCGCAGCTGGTAGGAGACTCAATGATAATTCAAAGGGTCATTGGTTCGATTCCTGAGCTTTTATCGATGGCGAAACGGTTAGAATGTTAGAACGTCACTAAAGGGTCATTGGTTCGATTCCCCGTCTCGTTTTTAAGTTTTTTAGAAGTTCATTACCAGTAATTTTCCGGTAAGAGATCGAAAGTTGTACGGAGAAGATGACAGAACTTGAAATGAGAATATAACTAACCCTAGGAGCGCATAAAATAGAAAGAAATTGTGCTTCTACCTATAGAGAAACGGGTAGAAGGTTAGAACGCCACTAAATGGGTCATTGGTTCGATTCCCCGTCTCGTTTTTAAGTTTTGCCGATATTTATTTTCCTTGAAATTTTGACAAAAGGCTGATAGTTGTACGGAGAAGAGACACTGCTTCAAAATGAGAGTAAACTTGAGCTTAGGGACGCAAAAAATAGAAAGAAATAGAGCTTGTATCGATGGAGAAACAGGTAGAGGGCTAGAACGCCACTCAAAGGGTCATTGGTTCGATTCCTCGGCATGTTTTTAAGTTTTTCAGATATTCATTTTCCTTAAAATTCCGATAAAAGACTGATAGTCGTACAGAAAAGATAAAAAGCCTAAAAGTAGGTGGAAAATCAAGCGAACCGCAAAAAAACTTCAAAAATTGAACTTGTATCGATTGAGAGACAGGCTAGAACGCCACTCTAAGGGTCATTGGTTCGATTCTAGGCCATGTTTTTAAGATTTGCAAGTTTTAATTTCTATTTTCTGTTCAACAGCTCTCCGGAGAAGATGACCAGTTTCAAAGCGAGAATAAAAACTAGCTTAGACGCGTAAAATTCACGAAAAATCGAGTCGAGTTTCTACCGATAGTGAAACGGCTAGAGAGCTAAACGTCACTCCAAGGGTCATTGGTTCGAGTTTTGCAGAACGAAATTCCAAATACACTCTCGTTAAACCTACAAAAAGACTAAAATACGTACAAAGTCTGAACTTTACTCTAAAAAAAAAAGAGGAAGTTTGAGCCACGCAATAATCGGCCTCGAACTGAGTCTGGAGTTTAATCTGGGCCCATTCGAAAGATATTTGCCCCGCGTTTCTGCCGCGATGGCGTCGATTGTCGTCCCACTCTTGCTGCTGGTTTTTGTCGAGATTTTGCAAGGTTTATGCAAATTTTAGGGGTTTTATGACATTTTGAAGCTTCAGGGTTCGACGTGAAGTACAACATCAGCGCGGAGCAGGTGATCGCCGGTGAGTTGTATGGCGTGGAACCGTGGGAAGTCGGGTGCAAATTTTAGGATCTGTTTGGCCCAGAGAAGGTCCTTCATATAGAAAAAATATTAGCTAGGTTTTTCTTTAGTCGGTCGAGATAAATTCTCTTGAAGCTCATGTATAAATTGATGAGCAATGGCGTCAAACCGTGAGTGGTCGGGTGCTGATTTCCTCTTTCGATTCTTGGTTTTTTTAATGTCAAGATTTTTTTCATTTACTAGGTCAAATTTTAGGATCTGTGTGGCCCAGAGACGGTCCTTCATATAGAAAAATGTTAGCTAGATTTTCTTTAGTCTGTAGAGATGAATTCTCCTAAGAATCATGTATAATTGATGACTAATGGCGTCAAGCCGTGAGTGGTCGGTTGCAGACCGTTTTCTTTTCTTAATGCACTTCTCAGCGCTTCATGAAGCGGTCTGATTCGTCTGCTCTCTTTTTTTTTCTTCTGGTTAGAGAAAAGAGACACCAGACAGTCTAGACAATTTCTAACCGAGCTGAAGGAAGTACTAAGAGAACAAAGGCGTCAAACCGTTCCCGGTCGGGCGCATCTTGACTTTTTTTTTCCTTTTGAAACACACCCTTTATAAGGCTTCTGTCATCGTACCTCTGCTCTCTAGAAAAAATTTTATTCATTTCTTAGAACTTTTTTTTTCACAGAAAGTGGCCTGGACGCCGCTTCGATTATCGAACTGGTGCAGCAGAACAACGCCCCTTACGTCCAAAGTACATACTTTTTTTCCGATTCAATTATTTTGGTGCCTTTTTCAGACAACACTATACCCAAAGGAGCGCTCTTTGGTATGTTTCAGAAATAAAAAAATTCAATAATAAAAATTTTTTTCAGACGCCGTTACGTGTCCAGCTGGTTGGACATTGTACACCGGGACGAATAAATGCTATAGGGTTTTTTTTTCAAACTTTTTTTTTCATTGGGATTAAATAATATGCCTGAAAGGTCGGTCGGTATAGTCCGTTCAGATTTTGAATGTCAAGTAGAATGACGTCATTCTGATTGGTTTATCGCGCCATTAGGGGGCGGAGCTTGAGCGAGGACTTGACATTTGAAATCTGAACAGCTATTCATTTTTTCTAGATGACGGATAAAAAGTCGGGCTGGGCCCAGGGAGAATCCCTATGTCAGGAACTTCTACCCGGCTCCCATATGGCCTCGTTTCACAGCAAGGATGAGGCCACTTGGATGGGAAGTTGGTCTTTTTTCGATTTTTCAGTAGCTGAATCATTAGGAGCTTCGATAATACTCATTAGTTCTTAAATCGTTCTACCGTAACCCAACTACAGTAAGAGCTCGGAAATGGCGTCTGTTTTCATGACGTCATATTATAAAAAGATTTTTATAGTGTTCGTTGTTTTTTCGGAATGATAGAGGCTTGAAAATATTTTATCAATTATTCTACTCAATTCAGACACGTACAAAATCGGCGGCACTCTACTCTCGTGGGTCGGGATGAGCAGTGTGAATTTTTTTTTTCCATTACTCAAAATATGAGAGGTACTGGAAAACGTGAAAAAGAGATTGCAGAAAGTCAGACAGTTTTTTTGTTGACAAAGTATATCAGAAGTTCCAACTTTCACCGAAAAAGAAAGGAAAAAAAAAGCAGCCATTATGGTAGCTTTTATAGCCCATTCCGCGCCAGCTTCATTTTCCTCCAACTACAGAACCTTTCGGGGGAGCTTCCCTCCGAAGCGCGCGGTCTATCTCTGTGCATGCGCCTTTAAAATAACGATATTTTCCCCTAACATTAAGACGCCTGAGTTTTTTTTTTCAATCCAAAGTTCCCGTCATGTTAAAGGCGCATGTAAAATGGCAGGTCGCGCGCATCGAAGGGAAGCTTCCGGGAAGGGTTCTGTAGCTTGAAGGTAAATAAAAATCGTGACAAGCTGACGTGGAATGAAGTATAGACACTTTAAAGATTCAACGACTCTTTGAGTTCAGAAAAACGGTGTCTGGACTTGGACGGATGGCACCCCAGTCGACTTTATCTACTGGAGTCCTGGCTATCCAATGGCAATAACCACGGATCCCGACAACACTTGTGTCGAGGTTTTCTATGTTCATTGCTTTTGAAGTTATGTACCACATCGCTAATAATTTTTTTTGAATTCCTTAAGAAGATGATCGAGTTTAGGATGTGCTATGGGTTTTTAAAACTTGAAGAAGCTGAGAAAGTATTTTGAGGTTCTGGGAGGTTTGAGATGTTATAGAGACTTCAAAATTTAAAAAAATAATATTGAAATTGTGTTTTGAGCTTTTTTGGGCTTTTGAGACTAAATATACTAAAGACTTCAAAGTTTGAAACAAAAAAACTGATATAGTATTTTGAGCTTCTTTGAGCTTTCATATGTTCCGAAAGCCTTAAAATCCAAAAATAAAAAGTTGAGATTATTTTTTTTAGCTTCCAGGAGCTTTCTAGATTTCACAAGAACGGATGGAATGCGTCCAAAAATTTTTGACTTTTTATTAAAATTATAACTCTCCAAAAACCCTTCAAAATAATATTTTCCAGGGATTTGAGAGGTTTTCGACGTGCCAGAAGATGATAAACTGAAACTAGGGGTTTTGAAACTTTATAAATTTCAGAACATGTTTCAAAATCGAAAAAAGGAGCTATAAAATAGTGTTTTGAAGCTCTGGAAACTTCAGGAGCTATTAGAACAAGTCTAAGATTTTTAGGCCTCTAATGCCGTGTTCAATTTGATTCCGCGAAACGCAAAATACCCGTTAGAAAAAGGAAAAGATCACTAGATTTTGGAGAGTCAGAGATCATTTTGCATTTCGCGGAAATTACTTTGAACACGGCATAAAAAAATTTTTTTAATATTAAGACGTTTAAAAACTCGGGCAAGTAGTTTCAAAATAGCTTTTCCCAAATTTTGGAAGCTTACTAAACCTTCCATGAGCTGGTAGAGAGAATCTTGAAAAGCCGAGAGCTTCGTGAAAATTTAAAATGGTTTTTTTAACTTTTGTTCATGCTCAGATGATATAGTGAGACTAGGTAATTCCATCTTTTAAAAATTTTTTTAAAGTTCCAGAAAAAAATTTTTTTAAGAAATGTCTCTTTAATTTTACGTATACGACTTTTTACTGAATTTTTTTCAGATGTACTGGGTTTTCATGTCTGGATTACTCGGAGTGAAAGTCGGACAGTTGCTCAACTGGGACTGCAACGAACAAATCAGCACGATTTGTAAATGTGACCCGGTGCAGTGTGAGTTTGAAGCTGAGAAAATTGAGAAAATGACTTTTTTGAAGTGACGACTCCGCCACCACCCACCACCACTACAACTCCGACGACGTAAATACGAAGAATTTTTAAAAAATGGTTGAGATTTTTTCAGCACTACCACAACCCCCACTACTACTTCTACAACTTCGACCACGTAGGAAAAAAATAATCTCAGTGTAGAAAATTGGGGAATTTTTTTTAGTACCACCACGACTCCAACCACTACTTCTACAACTCCGACGACGTAGGAAAAAAAAATTTATTGTAGAAAATCGGGGATTTTTTTTAAGCACGACGCCTACAACGACCCCCACAACCACCACCACGCCAACGTAGGAAAAAAAAAATTTAGTTTATGAATTTTTGAATTTTTCAGTACAACTACGACGCCAACCACCACCACTACAACTCCGACGACGTAAAAATTAATTCAGAGTTGGAAATTGGGAATTTTTTTCAGTACGACGCCCACCACTACCCCTACAACCACCACCACGCCAACGTAGGAAAAAAATTTTATTTTAGGAACTTTCGAATTTTTTTTCAGTACTACAACGACGCCAACAACCACCACTACAACTCCGACGACGTAAAAATGAATACAGATTGGAAAAATCAGGAATTTTTTTCAGTACGACGCCTACCACGACCCCCACAACCACCACCACGCCGACGTAAGGAAAAAAATGAATTTTAAAAAAATTAGATTTTTGAATTTTTAAAAAAATTAGATTTTTTTGAAAAAAATAAAAAAACCTGAAAATTAGATTTTTTTAAGTACAACCACGACGCCAACAACAACTCCAACGACGTGAAAAAAACAATAAATTCAGTTTGAAAAAAATCAGAATTTTTTTAGTACGACGCCTACAACTACCCCTACAACCACCACGACGCCGACGTAAGGAAAAATGAATTTTTTTTTAAGTCGAATTTTTTCCAGTACAACCACGACGCCAACAACAACTCCGACGACGTGAAAAATAAAAAATTCAGTTTAGATATTCAGAAAATTTTTTTAGTACGACGCCTACAACGACCCCTACCACCACCACGACGCCGACGTAAGGAAAAAAAAATTCAGATCAGGAAATCGGGAACTTTTTAGTACAACTACAACTCCTACAACCACAACGACGCCTACAACAACGTAAGAAAAATAGTTTATTCGAGCCAAAAAATGAAGCCACAAAGACAAAAGCTCAAAAAAAAAATCAGTTTTTCCGAGTATTCATCAAATTTTTATCGGAATATTCAGTACATTGAGCTGAGAAGTCTGATAATGCTGTTCCTAAAAGCTTTCAAAGATTTTCAGGTTCTTTTATTTTTCAATTATCCCTCAATTTCGTAGAAGAAGTTGCCTTGAAATTTAATCCAATAAATGAAAAAATCAAAAATTCTTCAAATTTGCTCTAAAAACTTGATCTGAATTCAATTTTGGGTCAATTTCGTGTAGATTCTCCAAAAGGTGTCGCCAACCATCTTGAAATTGTTCAGAAATCGTTTTATCCTCTGCTAAAAAAAATTCTCAGGAAGGTGAATTTTCATGAACCCAAGGTATTCGAGCAATGAATGAGGAGATTCAGAAGCACGACTACCACAGCTCCTACCACTACTTCCACGACGCCTACAACGACTACAGAAGAACCATCGACGACGACGGCAAGGTTTTGATTTGTTAAAGTTGAAAATAAGCTGGAAAAACGTGGTTCAGCACCAGTACAGCTCCTCCAACAACCACCACGACGCCTACGACGACTACGGAAGCGCCCACGACGACAACGGCTAGGTTTGGGAAGATTCAGGCAGAACACAGATTGAAGAAGAGTTTTAGCACCAGTACAGCACCTCCTACGACGACCACGACGCCTACGACGACTACAGAAGCGCCAACGACGACAACAGACGCGCCAACGACAACAACGGCTAGGTTTGGGAAGATTCGGGCAGAACACAGATTGAAGAAGAGTTTTAGCACCAGTACAGCACCTCCTACGACGACCACAACGCCTACGACGACTACAGAAGCGCCGACGATGACAACGGCTAGGTTTAGATGGCTTCAGAGTTTTATTAGGTAGAAAAAGACGTTCAGCACTAGTACAGCTTCTTCGACAACCACCACGGCGCCGACGACGACAACAGCTAGGTTTTAGAAGATTCAGAGAAAAATACTGAAAACAATCGTCAGCACAAGTACAGCGCCTCCAACAACCACCAAGACAGCTACGACGACTACAGAAGAGCTAACGACAACAACGGCGAGGTTTAGATGAAATCGGCTTCGAAATAAGTCCAAATACGTTCAGCACAAGTACCGCTTCTTCGACGACTACCACGACGCCGACGACGACAGCGGCGAGGTTTGAATAAATAAAAATTCAGCTTTCAAGTGACCGATGAAGCTGCAACTCTGAGAACGTGTTTTAAATCGTTTCATCATGTTTCAATGCGTTCAGACGCTTGTTTCCGAAATAAGAAGGGCAAAAAATGAGAACTGTTCAAATCTGGACAAAACTAATTAATAATTCACTTTATTTAGATTAATCCTAAGTTTTTTATACACGGATAGGCGTCGCAATCCATTAAGACATGCTAGTGGAATATTCACTGGAAGTATAAGCTTTATAAGCAACACTTATCAGCAAAGTCATCTCAAAATTTGATTTTCTTGAAGCTGGGTCGGCAGGGCTGATCATAGTGTTGCATATGATTTGAAATTTGCCACTTTTCGGATTTTTTTTGTCTCAAAATCAAGCACAGAGTGACCGAAAACGTGTGATTGAAATTTTGAAGTTAGAAAAAAGTCTTGGATTTGCGATCGCGGTTCGTTGTGGGCCATGAAGGAATAAATCGAGCTTTTGTATATTATTTGATGTTCAGCACTACTACAGCTTCTCCTACAACCACCACGACGCCTACGACGACTACCGAAGCGGCTACGACGAGGTTTAGATCAACTGGAACTTGAAATAGGTTTAAAAGACGTTCAGCACTAGTACTGCTCTTCCAACAACCACCACGTCGCCTACGACGACTACAGAAGCGGTCACGACGACAACTGCTAGGTTCAGATGACTTCAGGTTTTTAATGATTAAAAAAGACGTTCAGCACTACTACAGCTTCTTCTACAACTACCACGACGCCTACGACGACAACGGCTAGGTTTAGATTATTTCAGAAGTTTATTAAGTGTGAAAATATATTTAGCACTAGTACAGCTTCTTCTACAACCACCACGGCGCCTACGACGACAACGGCTAGGTTTGATTTTGGCGAAACATAGGTCCAAGAAAAGTTTCAGCACCAGTACAGCTACTACGACCACGACGCCTTCAACAACAACTTCAGAAGCTCAGACGACGACAACGGCTAGGTTTGGATAGCTCCTGCTTGGTTATGAATTCGAGAAGGTTCCAGTACTAGTACAGCTCCTCCTACGACGACCACGCTTCTTACCACCACTAGCACTGCTCCGACAAGGTTCGGAATGAGTGTTGAGCATCTCCAGACCTGAGAATTTAGCACGACCACTGTAGGAAGTCCAACGACGACGTCAAAATCTACAGAAGTTCCGAGTAGTACCACGACAGGACAATCAACCACCACTACAGCGTCTAGCACGTCTACAAAGACTCCTGAATCTTCAACGTCATCCAGTACGACTTCGAGCACGACGACGAAGCTTCCTTCAACTCAAACCCCTCCTACTCCCTTCTCAAGCACGACTACAAAGCTCCCAGAAACTTCTACCTCCTCGAGCTCCACTTCCAAAGCTTCTACCAAGCCGCCGACAACTTCCTTGTCAACTTCAAAAGCTCCAACGACCACCGTCAAGCCGGCTACTACTCCGAAAACACCTACACCTGGCCTTTGTGCCTCGAAATGTCCACCGAAATGGGTCGTACACGATGGAATTTGTTACTTGGTCTGTTTTTCAGCGTCTTTCTTAGAAAAACTACAAAGTTTAAAGATGGTTAATGCGACGGCGACCTGGATCCAGGCTGACCAAGTTTGTAAAAATCTTGGGGCTCATTTAGCCGTTATACCATCGGCGGCTGTCGGAAATTCATTGAGAAGTTTGTTTGAATACTATTTGGCTTCAAAAAATTTGATCCTTTAGAAGCCTTTGATTTGAACAAATCCTATGCAATCGGTCAGCAAGTTTGGATTGGAATCAAGGTTCAAAAACTCATTTTTCGAAAAATGAATGACTTTCAAGGCTCCTTGGAAAACCTGGTCAGATGGATCATCTGTTTCCTACACGAATTGGGCGACGAAACAGCCGGATTCCGCTGAAGGGACCACTTATTCGTATTGTGGGACGGTTCGTTTTTGTCTCATTTTGAGAGCTCAAACTTGGAGTTCTAGAAAAATAGTTATACCGTTGGATAGTGCTTGAAATGAACTTCAAAGGGATCTGAATTTTTAAATACACAAGAAATTTTTTGAGATTGAAACAGCTACTTATAACACTAAAGGCGTCGTTAATTCCCATTTTAGGCGGTTTGGACCAAAGTGAACTTTCGGAGCTTAGGATTTTTCGAAGTGATAGTCATATCATTAGAAAGAGCTTTGTTTGAGCTTCAAAATGATAGAAAATTTGAAGAATTTACCTTAATTTGATCACTGAACAGTGAACTTTAAACTAATGACGTCACTAAGTTCAAATTTTTGGTTGATAAGGTTAAAAATGAAAATTCGGAGCATGAACTAGGAGTTTCCAAGTGATAGTCATATCATTGAAAAGAGCTTGGTTTGAGCTTCAAAATGATATAAACTTTTTGAAATGTATTCTTTTTTGATAACTAAACAGTGAGCTTTAAACGAATGACGTCATTAAGTGCAATTTTAGGTTGATCAGGTAAAATAAGAATTTTCTGAGCTTGAACTAGGAGTTTCCAAGGGATAGTCTTATTATTGGAAAGAGCTTGGTTTGAGCTTAAAAATGACATAAAATTTGAAGAACTCACTTAATTTTGACGACTAATAGTGAAATTTCAACTGAAGTGGTCAATTAGTTCAATTTTAAGTTGACCAGGTAAAATAGGAACTTTCTGAGCTCAAACTGAGAGTTTTCAAGTGATAGTGATATCATTAAAAAGACCATGAAACAAGCTTTAAAATGATACAAAATCAATTTTCAGTTCGTTCTGACGACCCTTTCAAAGGACAGTAAATGGGGAACGACAAGAGCAGTCTGGAATGACTACCCCTGTACACTACGGCAACAACTGGCACTTTGCCAGAAACCGATTTGAGCAAAAAATACACGATAAAGGTTTTGAAAATGTTAGTTCTCTTTCAGCATTGAAGTTTCCAAAGTTTAAATCAAAATTAGATTCGGAAGGTTGACTTTATAGAGAATTTCTTAAAAATCGATAGACTTTGGCGTTTTCTGTCAGACGGAAGGAGAATACTTGAAGAATTCCCACACTCGAGAACCTCTCACCAAAACCGTTTCTGCCCACTTTTCCCGCACATTTCCGCTTTCCTGCCCCCTTTTTTCGATATTTTTGACATGCATTTCACTTCAAAGTGTCATTTTTGAAGAGCTGGCTGTTGCTAAAAGGGTCACTGGATCGAGTCCACTCGGCGGAGTTTATTTTTTGCCATTTTTTTTAAATTGTGGAAACACAAATTTCGCTTCAAAGCTCTTATTTCGGAATGTTTTAATAAGTTGTAGAGAGATGGTTATCGCTAAAAAGGTCGCTGGATCGAGTCCACATGATGGTTTCGCTTTTTTGCCATATTTTTCGATATTTTTTGAAATAATTCCGCTTCAAAGTTCTCATTTTTGAAGATCTGGCTGTTGCTAAAAAGGTCACTGGATCGAGTCCTCTCGGCGGAGCTGCCTTTTTGCTTTTTTTCGTTTTTTTTAACACGAAGTTCACTTCAAAGTGTCGTTTTGAGTCATTTGAAGAAGTTTTTGAGAAGCTTGGTTGTTGCTAAATAGGTCACTGGATCGAATCCACGGTGGATTTGCCCTTTTTGCCGTTTTTTCCTGTCATTTTGAGTCATTTGAAGAAGTTTTTGAGATGTTCGGTTATTACAAAAAAGGTCACTGGATCGAGTCCACACGGCGGAGTTGCCTTTTTGCCATTTTTTTCGATATTTCTAACACAAATTTTACTTGCAAGCTCTCATTTTGGAAGGTTCTGAAGTTGTAGTTATTTTGGTTATTACTGAAAAGGTCACTGGATCAAGTTTACTCGATGCTTTTGCTTTTTTGCCATTTTTTTCGATTTTTTTTAAAGGAATTCCGCTTCAAAGCTCTCATATTGGAAGGTCTATGAAGTTCTAGAGATATGTTTATTGGATAAAAAAGGTCACTGGTTCGAGTCCACTCGGCGGAGTTGCCTTTTTTGCCATTTTTTTCGATTTTTTTTAAAGGAATTCCGCTTCAAAGCTCTCATATTGGAAGGTCTATGAAGTTCTAGAGATATGTTTATTGGATAAAAAAGGTCACTGGTTCGAGTCCACTCGGCGGAGTTGCCTTTTTTGCCATTTTTTTTTGATATTTTTAACAAAAATTTTACTTCCAAGTTCACATATTCGAATGTCTAAATAAGTTTTAGTAATTTGGTTATTGCTAAAAAGGTCACTGGTTCGAGTCCGACCGACGGAGTTGCTTTTTTGCCATTTTTATAGAAAGATATTTCATTAAACGCGCGTAAAAAGTAATCTGGAGTGGAGGGGGAAGCCGTAAAGACCATCACTCAGCAGGTCACTGGTTCGAGTCCTTTTGACGTTTATTTGGTTTTTTTGCCTTTTTTTGAAGACCTCTATTGTGCTTTTTGAAATTGAGAAAATTCAAAAAAATAAAAAAATAAAATTTGAAGTTTCTTTTTGATTTCTGGGTTTTTTTGAAGGTAAGGCTTCAGGAGTTTTTTTCCTTTCTTTTTTTGCATGAACTTTTGAGCCGAGAAATTATTTTATAAAAAGAAAAAAATCGTGGAAAGGCTCATTACTAGAAATATACTGCGCTAGGAAAAAAATGCAAATTTCCTCCCTCAATTTCCTGCCGCTGAGAGAAAGGCGAGAATAAATCGACTAACATTCTGAAAAAAACGAAAACAAAAAAATAAAAAGATGAATATGAATTTTGGCTTCACGAGACGTTTTTTCATGTTTATTACTCCACATTTTCTAAAATAAAAAATTTTTTTAGTCATTTCCTTGACTTCCAGATTTGAAAAAAAAAAGCTGTACACCTTCCTTTAGGGCTTAGAATCCCTTGGTCACAGGTCGCATTTGGAACGGCTCGATGCGACGCGGTCGCGTTGCGGTTAAGACGGTTTTTCTTGAAAATTCATTGCGTATTGAGCCATTCCATGTGCGGCCAGCTTCACTAGAAAATTATCGAAATGTAGGAAATTATGTAGAAGATCTTGTTAGTTATAATCGATGCCCTCGATTTTTCCTTGTTTAGAAAACTTGGTTTGTAGGTAGAACCAAAGCGTCGCGGTCGCGTTGCGGTTGAAGAAAATAGTTTGCTTCGCTTTGAGCCATTCCAAGTGCGACCAGCTCTACTAGAAAACTTTTTATGCTAGAAAATTATGTAGAAGATCCTCTTAGTTATACCTCGAAGCCCTCCATTTTTCCTCACTGAAAAAATCCGGTCCGCAGGTAGAATCAAAGCGTCGCGGTCGCGTTGCGGTTGAGACGATTTTTTTGAGAATCCATTGCGCATTGAGCCATTCCAAGTGCGACCAGCTCTACTCAAATTATGTAGAAGATCCTCCTAATGATACATAGATGCCCTCCGATTGATTCTTAGGTAAAACCAAAGCGTCGCGGTCGCGTTGCGGTTGAAGAAAAAAGTTTGCTCCACTTTGAGCCATTCCTAGTGCGACCAGCTCTATTAGAAATTTTTTATGCTAGAAAATTGTGTAGAAAATCCTCCTAGTTGTCCTTAATTTTCCCTTACTGAAGGAATTTGGATTGTAGGAAGAACCTATGCGTTGCGGTTGAAGAAAAAAGTTTGCTCCATTTTGAGCCATTCCTAGTGCGACCAGCTCTATTAGAAATTTTTTATGCTAGAAAATTGTGTAGAAAATCCTCCTAGTTGTCCTTAATTTTCCCTTACTGAAGGAATTTGGATTGTAGGAAGAACCTATGCGTCGCGGTCGCGTTGCGGTTGAAGAAAAAAGTTTGCTTCGCTTTGAGCCATTCCTAGTGCGACCAGCTCTATTAGAAATTTTTTATGCTAGAAAATTGTGTAGAAAATCCTCCTAGTTGTCCTTAATTTTCCCTTACTGAAGGAATTTGGATTGTAGGAAGAACCTATGCGTTGCGGTTGAAGAAAAAAGTTTGCTCCATTTTGAGCCATTCCTAGTGCGACCAGCTCTATTAGAAATTTTTTATGCTAGAAAATTGTGTAGAAAATCCTCCTAGTTGTCCTTAATTTTCCCTTACTGAAGGAATTTGGATTGTAGGAAGAACCTATGCGTCGCGGTCGCGTTGCGGTTGAAGAAAAAAGTTTGCTTCGCTTTGAGCCATTCCAAGTGCGACCAGCTTCACTAGAAAATTGTCGAAATGTAAGAAACTATGTAGAAGATCTTCCTAGTTATCCATCGATACTCTTCATTTTTCCTCATTGGAAAACTTTGGTTAGTACCCAAAGCGTCGCGGTCGCGTTGCGGTTGAAGAAAAAAATTTTGCTCCATTTTGAGCCATTCCAAGTGCGATCAGCTGTACTAGAAAATTTTTGAAGATCCTCCTAGTTGCCCTCGATTTTTCCTTATTTAGAAAACGCCCTTTCTATTTTGATAGAAGCTCCCCTACTCCTCACTCTTTCCTCTCTATGTACACCTTGTTTTCGCTCCCCCTTATTTTGCCTTATTTGGATATTTATCGCCTTCCCGAGCCTTTGAAGGTTGTTTTTAGAAGGAATGACGTTGGCTTGGTCAAATGTCCTTGTTGGGGTCAGAAGTACTGATTTTGAGGGATTTTTAGTGTGGGGAATTCAGAAAGTGGCTTGGCGCAGTGGTTTAGAGCTCGTATTGAGGTTAAAAAGGTCACTGGTTCGAAACTTTTTGGTGTCTTTTGAGCTTTCTTTCGATTCTGATGTGAAGTAAAGAAGGTTGCGAGCTCAGAAAAGGGATTTGTAAAAGTTAGGGTCATTTTCGCGTAAAAATAAGTCGAATATGGTTTGATATAATGCTTATGAGCTCACTCCAACGTCGAGAAGGTCACTGGTTCGAACCCTCAGGGCGACTTTCGTTTTTGCCATTTTTTCCGAGTTAGTTTTTCGCATGAATTTACTAGTGATAGTTCAGAAAACTGAAACAAATCCAAAAAGTTTGGAATTTTGGAAAAGTCGGTAAGGTTATTCTTCAGTGTCCAGAAGGTCCCAGGTTCGATTCCTTATGCCGATTTTTCTTTTTTTGCTTTTTTTCTTGAAGTTTGAATAATTCCTTCTCTTTTTTATATTTATTAAGAGTAAAGCAAAAAAATTCAAATTTTGGTCAAGTGGTTAAACATTTTTTTGGTCCAGAAGGTCTCAGGATCGGTCCCCCGGACTTTTCCAACCATTCTTGCTTTTTATTACCCTTTATGATTCATTCCAATATCACCTATTTGAGAAGGTGCCGTGTATCTTAGTGGCTAAGATGCTTGATTGAAGCTCAGAAGGTTTCTGGTTCAATCCTGTCGGAAATTGTTACTTTTTGCTGTATTTTTTCGCTTTTTTAACAGATCCTATGACTTTGCATGCGTACAGGAGAATAGTTGAATAGTTTTCCATTTTTTTATTAAAGCTAAAAGCTCCTTATCCAAGCTTCCTTCACCTAAAATAAGTCTTAAAGACATAAAAAACGAAGCTTATTGATGAGTCAAGAGCTTGACTCTATTGTTCTGAAAATCTCTGAAGGAATCAATTTCCTCGTTCCCCTTCTATTTTTTAGACCCAAGAAAAAATAAAGATAAAATATTCCGTTTATGCTCCACTGCATTAAATACTTCTCCAAACTCAAGAGGTGTTTTTTCTTTCTTTTTTCTAAATAAGTGTTTTTGCGGCTCTGCTTCTTCTCAAGTTTTCTTCTTTTGTTTCTTTTTTCTCTTTTTTATTCGGGATCTTGGGAAAAAAAGCAAAAACGAAAGTTTTTGAAAGGAGTCGAACTCGTGACCTTCTGAGCGATGAATAGAATCCTTAGCCTCTTGACCAAACAAACTTTAAAAAAAAAAACTAAAATTCCAACTTTCAAATAGTACTGCTCGCCCGCCAGGAGTCGGTATATACGCTCCTGACTGTCGACGC